TAAATTCTAGGTAAACGTAGTTACCTTAGAAGCTATTAGTCTTACTATAAGGCTTGTTTAAAACAAAGCTTTTATTCCTTTTATTCTTCTAATTTCTTTTATTCTTTTAATTCCTTCTATTCTTTTTAAAGGTCTAGCGACCTCTTTAACGTACACTATCTTAGTAGAATCGCTCTAGCGTAAGAGGCTAGACTTATACTAGCTAGTAGACTAAGGCGATCGTAGGTCCTAAAGACCTTACGCTTTTATTACTAGAGTATTAAGTTATAAATTAAATACTCTTATACTAGTAAAGAACTCTACTTAGAGTTAGGCTAGTAAGAGTAATAGCTAGGTAATAGTAACGTTAACGTTACTACTGTTACTATTAGAAGCCCTTTATAATATATAGTAAAAGGACGCCTTTATTACTAATAAAGAGTAAAAAAAGTAGTAAAGTAGCTAAGATACTATTAGGTCTTTATAGACATTTAAGGATAATATACTACTATAGTATTATAGACGTATATATATACCTAATAATCTAGGCTTACGTAAAGAGTTACTAAAGCTTTTTTATAACGTACTTACTATAGAGTACTAGAGAGTTAGTAAAATAAAGAAAAGGCTTTCTTAATCCTTCTTTTAGTTAAGTCTTAATAAAGACGTCTACTATTACGTTTCTACTTATACTATCTGTTAAAGAATAAAGGCAAGAACTTATCTACTATATAGTAAGTTAGCCCTACTCTTTATTCCTTCTAAACTTTAGTAAGAGATCTTACTTAACTTTATTATATAGCTACCTTACTCTTATAATATAGTAAGTAAACTATATAATTTAATACTTATTATTATAGACTAATTTACAAAATTTTCCTTATATATTCTAATAACTAATTGTCTTACTAGCGACAGGCTAGCGTCTTTTCTAATATACTACATTATACGACAATTTAGAATTCTAGATAGTATTATCTTAGACTAAGGCTCTTTCTTTATAAGTAAATTCTAGAGTAGTTTCTACTAGTACCTAGTAACATTATAGCGACTTAGTACTACTTATTACTTATAAACAGACAGGCAGACAGAATAGTAGAACTAAGCTATTAAGTATTACCTTTAAACTTACTATAGCTTTATATAAGACGACTAGACAACTAAGCTAGATCTTACTAAATTTATATATAATACCTTATAGTACTCTATAATAAACGTAACACTATTATACATACTATATAAGTACTAGCTAAAAAGTAATCTAGGTATAGTAAGACTATGTTACTATCTTTAAAAAGTACGTGTCTTATTTTAAGAAAGTTATAAGTATCTTTTACTCTAATACTAAGTCGCTACTAACTTAAAGGTAGTACGTGTACGAATTACAAAGATCTAAAGAAAGTAAGAAAGTAAAGGATAAAGTAGTAGTAGATACTATAAAGGATAATAATAAAGAAAATAATAGTAGAAAAGATAGTAATAAAGACAAATAATAGACGACTAAGGGTTAAAGTATCTTTAATAAGTAAGATTATACTTTAGATTTTTTTCTTTTTTCTTTTTCTAAGATATATAATAATAAAGTTAGTAGAGCTTTAAAGAGTGTTTACTAGTAAAAGAGTAGTTTAGTATTTTTTTTAAGATACTTAGGTTTCTAAGTTTTTATATAATAAATACAAAAGTCGTACTTACGTTACTATAACTATACTAGTAACATTATGCCTTTCTAATAATTATCTTAATGTATTTATTTATATTTATATAAAAGTAGGCTATCGTTAAGGTTTTATTATAGTTCTTATAAGATTTCTAAATCGTTATACTCTTTTTATTTTATAAGATAGAGTCTGTTTCTTTATAGGCCTTTATAGTTAAGAATAGCTTTTACTTTAAATATTTCTTTATCTAAGACTAAGATATCTATTAGGCTTATAAAGACTTTACCTTCTTATACCTTATAAGGTTCTAGGCTTGTAATTAGAAAGGTAAGATATAGCTATACTAATAAAGAGAGGCGTAGTCTATAAGTAAGTCTATAGTCCTTAATAACGTCTTTAATTTAGTAAGGGCTAATATACTTATCTATAAATTTCCTAGAAGGTTAACGTTACCTTAGGTATTTTATTAATAAGAGTACTTAGTCTTCTTTTTTAAATAAAATCTTTTTCTAGTTCTAGTTATACTATTTCTTATACTATTTTTAAGAGTACTAAAGGAATATAATAATTTCTTTATAGCTACTTTATAGCTACTCTACTTGTATATTAGCTACTAGCGCCTTTACTAGCTTTAACTAGTTTAAGGGTATGTCCTTAAGACCTTATCTATAAGCTAATTATAATAGTCTACCTCTATATTTATAGTTATAGTAAACTTATTATAAAGCTCTAACTAATAAGTAATTTTTACTAGATAACCTAACTTTTACTTTATATACTCCTTCTTGTCTACTTTATTACTATAAAGCCTCTTTTTTACTAACATTATAGTCTAAGACTTTAAATGTTAAAGGCTCTTCTTTACTAAAGTTTAGGTAGCCTAAATTATAGCCTGTTTGTATTAGCTTTAACTTTACTATAAATAATAGACTACTTTACTTTATTCTTTTTTATAATTACCTTTTAAAGTTTAATTCCTTTAGCTTAGAGAGTTAAAACAACTTAGTAACGTTAATAAAGCTATAACATAAGAGCGTCGCCTTAAGAAGGGTTATACTTACAAAAATATACTCTTTCTTTAGATTTTTGTAATAGACGTACTTTACTAATATAGCTACTATACTATTAGGCCGTTACTCTTTACTAAAAAAGAATACTTATAGTCGTTATCCTTATACTTTAGTAAGGTACCTTATAAGTCTTATAAAGCTATTTAGTTTAAGTATTACTTATAAGCTACTAAACGCTTTATTAGTACTATGTTATCGTTAATAGTTTAATAGAGGTATGTTAGAAGTTTGTTAAAAGAGTCGTAAGAGAGAAGGGGTATAGCGGCGTTATATTTGTATAAGGTAAAAAGAAGAAAAAGAGGTAATAAACTAATAAAAACAAGTCTCTATATACCTCTTAGCGCTATAAGGGACAGACTAAGTAAAAGAGAATAAAAGAGGTGTTTTTTTATATTTACTTAAAAAATATAATTATAAGTAATATAGTTTAATCCTTATAGCTACCTACTATTAGTATACTATTAACCTTCTAGTAAGGAGTAATAAAGGATTTCTAAAAGTAGTAAAAGAGTAAGGAATACTAGTACGCCTAGGTAATATAGTTTGTATTACGTATTAAAGGTCTTATAACTATCTAGCGACTTACTAGTACTTTACTATAATATATCTTTACTAAAAGTAAATACAAGAGGCGTACTAGATAAAGATCTAAAAGTATAATATGTAACAGAAATCTTACGGTTTAGCTATGTGTCTCTACTATACTATAAAGTCGCTACTATTCTTCTTTTCCTAACACTACTAGTTATATAGTTATATATTTACTTACTAATTTATTCTTATGTATTTATTCTTGTTTTTAGGAAGGCATTAGCCTACCCTAGCCTCTCTATAATCTAACGGCTACCTACAAGCTTCTAAGGACAGAAGCTAAAAAGGAGAGATACTATATTAGGTACGCTAATACGTAAGACTATAATAGCTTAGAAATCAAGTATAGAGTAACTACGTACTACGACTAAGGTAATAGTAGGTATTAAGGAGTATAAGAATAAAGGGTAGAGAGGAGAAAGAAAGGTAGTTTAGAGATTAGTCTATAGTTAAAGTAGCGATATACCTTTAAATATACTACAACTGTCTATTAACTCTTGCCTCTTCTACTCTATAGAAATACACCTGACAGTAGCTATTCTTTTAAAGAGATAAGAAAAGGTTATAATTAAAGACAAAGGTTATAAACTTAAATAAAGGTTATTAAACTTAGTTATAAAATAGATAAAGGTTGTAAAACTTAGACAAAGGTTATTAAACTTAGTTATAAGACAGATAAAGGTTATAAAACTTAGTTATAAGATAGACAAAGGTTGTAAAACTTAGTTATAAGATAGACAAAGGTTATAAAACTTAGACAAAGGTTATAACTTAATAAGAAGCTATAAATAGTTATAGATATAATATATATAAGGTTAATAAAAGGTATAGGTCTTATATATATAATATACTAAAAAAGTACTACGTAATATAGTAAATATAGCTAAAGTAACGTTCTTACTTTTAAAAGAAAGGTTAAGAGAGTTAAGTCTAAGTAAAGTACTTATATTAGTAAGAAAAAGTATAAGATAAGAATAGACTTAGATAGCTTAATAACAACTACTTTTACTAGTACCTTTCTTAAGATATATATATAGCTAGTAAGATAAGTAAGCCTTTAATAAGAGTAAAGAAAGAAGAGAAAGCTTATAAGAAAAAGAACTTTATATAAACTTCTTATATAAGACAATACTATTAAGTACTTAGATAAGGCTATTAAAACCCTTAGTATTCTAGAGTTAAGAGACGTCTAGTATATTTATATAAAAAGTAAGTAATTAATAAGTCTTAGTAAGTAGTACTACTTAAAGATAGAATATAAGTTTAATAAAGAAAGAATAAATATCTTTTCTTAGTTCTTATTATATAGTAGTATTAGTATTCTCTTAAAAAGGTTTAAGGTAAAGGTAGAATACTAGACTAGACTCTTTATAAAGGCCCTAGCCTTAGATAAGGCTTAACTAATTACAACTCTTAAGTAGTTCTTATTATGTTATTATAGTAAGGTAGTAAGAGGCCTCTTAACCTAGTAAAGCTAAGACGTACTATATATATATATAAAGATAATCTAGTAGTATATATATCTTCTTATAAAATCTTAAGTAGTTCTACCTTAGGCCTTTAGTTATATAAGTATACTTTAGTTTAATACTATAAATAAGATACGTCTTAAGAAAGGTACCTTAAAGGCGTTAGTATAAAGTATAGTACCTAAAAGGTATTTAGATCTTATTTACTACGTTCTAGTAATAAGTCTTAAGAAAGGTGTATCTTAGAAGGTAAAGGTAGTACTGTTAATAGTACTAACAATAAACCCCTAACCCTAAGCATCTCGGTAGAGCAAGCACTTTCTTCCTAGTATAATCTGCTGGGTTGATCTTAAAACAGCTGCTCTCGTTTGTATATATGCCTCCATCATCTTTAATTTCAAAAATATTGATCTGTAGGACTTCTGGATCGGTATCGTCGATTGGCACAAGGTGGTCAAATGTAACTCTATAATAATCTATTATACTTAAGTTTAAAGAAGAATCAGTGTAGGCTCCTAAAGACAAGAATTCCATAAAATAATCACCTACACATGTGGTCTAGCCGCTTCCAGCCAACCTGTGTACTCATCACGAACGACCATATCCCCAGGGACGTCAGGCTGCACCTCCCGGTGGTATATTGCTTGAAACGCCAGCTTCGCCAGTTCGGGGCCGCCTGGTAATGGAAATGGAGGTGAGTGATCAGCTGTATGCCACGAAACCCTTGGAAGGAGCTTCTAAAGTGCTATTAGGGGACCTTCGACTTGGATCCGGAGAGGTTGGTCTGAAGATGGCAGATGGAGACGGTAGGGGGGGTTTTAATAGCATGGTGGAATATAGAGCAGAAGAGCTGGTCGGTCTGAGGGTGGAGGATGGAAGCGGTGGATGTTGTACTTGTGTTTAGAGTTGGTAAGGCATGGAATGTTAGGGAGAGACATTGTACTTGTTGCTGTGCTAGAAAATGTTTGGATCTGTGGTCTTGGCTATGTCACATGATTGATGGCGAGAAAGCTCCTATGGAAGCCAGTACTATGTAGAAAACCAAAGAAACTCCGAGGAAGTGGCCACCTGTCCTCTCATAAATTGAATTCTATCACGTGACACAAAGGAAATACGGCCGATGGCCTGCGCCGGGAGCAACTCCTCAGGCAGAACTCGTGTAGTGCCTTAAAGCAGGGAAATAAGCAGATACTAGGGCTTGGATTGTCTCGGGAAACTGGAAAGCTGGGAAGTAGTCGAAATATCAGGTTCGGCCCGGACGCGATAGGGCTGTATATCGTCTGCGAGCTAAGGTAAGCTATAAATGTTAGTCGCGTTCTACCCCGCGATTTAAGCCCTACTACAAAACATCGGCGTCTGTATAAATGTGTCGGCGATAGACCTGTCGCCTATAAACCTGTCACAGCCTTTGATTGCCCTATTAAGCCCATCCTTTGGCTAAGATTTTGGGAGAATTAAGGGTTTAAATGCGGCTCTCTACCACTTTGGTTTAGAGGGGATCGGATTAGCTACATGTCTGCTCAAATTTTGGGTTATAACAGCCTATGTAAGTTTAGAGTAACGACGCAAGCCCACCCTTGGTTGAAGCGACGGCCAGGGAATGGTTACCTGGACCAGTACCTAGATACAAAGCGTTCCTAATTCCATAACCCGAAAGCCTTGGTAGACCTGGACTATCAGGCTGGACTATTGCGAGTTCTGGGAACCAGTCTGACCATGGTGTATTATCGTCTCTCACTAGCTGAACTTCTACCACAATCGTTGGGTACTGGTTTATTGTGCCATTTGCACAGAGTATCCCAGTAGCGCCTTGCCAGTTATCGTACCCTTGTATATTCCCAAGATGTTGTAGGTCTGAATAGAAAAGCGATAGCATGTCCGAGCCAGTGTCGTTCATGGCTATTATTCCATGGACCGTTCCGTCACCTCCTCGATGTGGCATTAGCCTGAGGAACATACGAAGCTAAAATAAAATGAAATTATGGCAAGATAAACATTAGAAGAGCTGGATCCTTACTTCGTGGAAGTTAGGTCCAAATGGCCCGTGACCGTAAGCATGCTTTTGAGCATACTGATAACGAAGTCCCTGTAATTCGAGTCTATTTGTTAGATGAGTCCTTATAGAAGCAAGGTTTTCTTAGGGGAGAGGGGGAAGATTAGGAAACATACTTCACGCCAAACCCAAACCGAACGAGGACGATTGTCCGCTTCTTCTTTAGTTACAACTTTGCCTTCCATTACCCAGACTTCCTGGATACCATCGATCTTCTTCTCCTCGTAAAGCTTAATTAGAGCTTCGATGTTGACATTTTGTTCAGGATGGTGCCAAGGATGTTTTGGATCGAGATAGTCGTGCAGTTCTTGAATACGCTTCTGGACATCAAAAACGAGGGGAATCGGTATAGCGGGCGAGAATTCGACTTTCTTGCTAGCCATGACGACAATAATGCAGATGATTTCTGATGGATAAAAAGGGTTGACGTGGGGTAAACTTGGCGCTGGGTGAGGTGGTCTGTGCGCCGTGGTTCGCGGGGACTCGGGCTGAGACTCGAGGGCTGGGATTGCGGGAAGCGTTCAGGCAATGAACTGATATGAGAAGTACGTTGGGCTGTAAAGAGTAAAGCCAAGCGTAAGTCGTAGCTGATCGTCACGACGAGTGCGACGCGATGGTAGGGCAGCGCAGTGGGGATGATCATGGGAGGAATCTATTTTTTGGCGAGAGCGGTGGACCCCGCTAAAAATAAATAATTACTAAAAAACCAGCCACACCTAATTCGCCTTCTACGCGCCTCCGAGCCCAGTCACCAACAACTACTCCACCGAATTGACTACGACGATCAAGGGCCATCGGCTATAACATTCGACGAATATTAGGGCATTTTCATGTAGTTCACCTTGCAGCGAGATATAGGGAGTTGCGATTTTCTGGGCCGTGGTGTTGAGTCAAACGGTCAGACAAATGATGAAAATTTCCTCCTTACTCTAGGAATATCAAACTTCTTGGTCCTCTATTTAAAGGATCAAACCTTGTAAATGTTGGTTTATAACAATGCCGACCAAAAATTAGAACCACGAATTTAGAACAAGAAGCTCGCCTTCGAACTGTTGGCTCCTCATGCCCCGGCAAACCCGAATCACGGCCACTCCGGTCTCCAGCCCCGCATCCTTAACGCTCTCCGTCAAATATTTTGTTCTCTGCGAGGACATCCCCCTACCATTGGTGAGGTAATAAAAATAAGCGCTGAATGTTATTTTTGTTGTGATGGTCTGATGGAACCTCCGGAGGGGTATGTTGGAAAGTACCGACATCTTAGAACATCCAAAAATACATTTCATATTCTGTTTGAACCTGACCTGAGTATCTCAGCGTATCGCCTGGGCCGCCTGGCCTTTTCCTTCTTCGGAGATTCAGGTTTGAATATTGAGTTCTTTGGTATTTGTGCAACCTTGGCGTCTGCGCCCAGGCAATGCAGCAATTCTGTTTGATAATGTTGGAAGAAACAACGGAAAGTGGATATTACCTTTGAGCCTTGTGTTGGCAGAGGGCTCTGGGCTGTATAAGACCCTCCAGATGCCACCCTATTTCTACCAGAGCACCAGTATCAACATCAAACATCCAAGTCTTCTCGTCAATATCACATATACAGACCCATACAGAAGATCGACCCAGGCGCCAAATCAAGCTTTCAAGTCCCCTTCGATTTCCTCCCCAAAAGTACCTCTTCTTTTCCAATCCCGCAAGCCAGGTCGATTCCTGTATCAACAGAGGCAGTATGGGCGGTCTTCGTTCCGGACACCGCCACAGGGCCGCCACTCCTGAAGATGCTGTCGAGGCGGGGCCATCCAATCAAGAGGCCCAGGCTGAGAAAGTACCCCAAGATGTCTGGCAGCCCGTCTGGGTGGCCATACATGAAGGTTTCCCCTTCAAACACTGGGCGTTGTTTGTCGAGAACGAGAAACACCCTTCGAAAAGTTTCATTTGCAATGTTCAAGGTGACGCGGGAAGATTCCGATACGAACAGACATACAAGAATGCACACACTTCCACCACATTAGTAGACATTATACACGTCGGCTACGTTCTTTCTAGCAACCTCAAGGCTTTGAGAGATGTTGCAGAAAACATCCCGATTCAGAACAATGATCCAGCTTGGAATTGCCAGGACTTTGCCTGGGCTCTTCTTGAAGAGCTTGCTGCTACGGGACTGGTTGATCCTGATGACGAAGCATACAAAAATGGCCGCAAAACCGTGTGGTCAAAAATGGAGGGTCTTATTTGAAGGCCGCAAGAGAGGCTTCGAGACTTGGGTATGGTAGCCGGGTGGTCAAGGCCTATAAACAAGGAATGGGGATCTACTTTCATGGTTTACCCTTTTGAAGTTTAGACCGTGTTGGAGTTTAGACCGCGTTGGAGTTTAGACCGCGTTGGAGTTTAGACCGCGTTGGAGTTTAGACCGCGTTGGAGTTTAGACCGCGTTGAAACTTTTGTCTTTTCTTGGTCTTTGCTTTTGTTCTGTTGGGTTGGGCTTGGGATACAATACTGTAACTCTACCTTGGATATTAAGCGCTTTGAGGTTATGATTGTATTTCAAGGAATGAATATACTCCGTACTCCTTACTAGCATAGCCACAAATGTCTTTGTCAAAACTCACTGCGTAACGGCTATATCCCAGAGCCGACCAACTAGCCATCTCTCTGGATTCCTCGCCGGCGCAATGCAGGGTGGCAAGTACTGCCACCAATCTGACTCCTGATATATGTGAAAAAGGTATAAAATCTTTTCCGATTCAAAATAGTCCGGATAAAATCCACTAGTTTCCCAGTCGATGATGCCCGTCACAAGGTATTTTCCGGTCTGATCGATATCCACCATGATATTTGCTGGCCGCACGTCTCCATGAGTGAACACAGTAGTTGATGGAGCAGGTGGAAGTAAGCTGCGGAGAAATTTGACCCAGGATGAGCTATTATGAGGAGGAATCGAGAACTGGAAGTCTTCGAATTGAGCTACCGTTGAGATGATCTCGCGGGTCATGTGGGTCTCGCGATGGTCATCTTTGACACCTTCGCCGTTCACCCCTCCAAAAAAATGACCATCGCCTGTCAAAGACCGAAGCTTGATGAAAATATCGTTCAGTTGCTTTTGAATCGATATCTTGTCCTCATGCATAAGATTTGGCCATGCCGACTCAAGCGTCATTGACGGGAAATATGTCATAAACATAATCCGTACACTATCAAACTTAACAAGGCCGTGAGGTCTCGGAGCGGGTATCTCGGGAGCATACTCTGCGAGATATTGGATTGACGTGTACTCCGTATAATCGTCATTGCCACGAATAATCTTTGCGATTAGGTTTGCATTGCATTTGAGTACGACACCCCTTGTGGGAAACTCCCATAACCTCTCGCAGCTTAAAATCATCTGCGATAACGAGGAAACAAGAGAAGATCCAACGAGCTCAGATCCAAATTGTGGCTCTATATAGCTGGAAAGGAGTTTTCTGGCTTCATCAGACAGTGCGTACACGATCTCAGCATTGCGGGCACGTGCAACCAGGTCAGCGCAGAAGTTCTGTGGTCCTACAGGTCTGCCTTTCGGAGGATTCCGATCCCGCCTGAATGATGCCGGCGTCCTGCCTGAATGCTTCTGCTCATAGACTGCGCCCTTGTAGATTGTTGGAAAATTAGTGAATAATTCGACTTCCGGATTAGCTTTGATGGCGGCTTGTAGGCGTTCTAAGACGGCTTGGTTCAGCTTTGCTTTGGCCGAGCTTGCTTTCGAGCTATCTCCGTCTTTCTCATCATTCGTACTTTGAGAGCTGTGGAGCTTCAGTCAGATTTGTTCCAGAGGAATGAAAGGAAGCCTTACCATGAGGCGTCTGCCATGTTGAGACAGTTCGTGATAGACAGCCACCTGACGGGTAAGGTACAGCTCTATTCCTTAGCCACCCTAGTTCGTCGCGCACTGAGCAATTAATTGAGAGTGTCTGATTTGTTTGTTGCAGAAACAGAAGACGCTTTGTATGGAAACAGAATTACAGATTAGGAGGTTGAGGGAACCGCGAAATGTTGGAGTCCGACAGGGCCAATCACGAAGCCAAAAAGGTTAGCGCTTACCTAGGTAGGCATTAATATCACGTGCCTTGACTTCCAACAGTAATAAATGAAAGGTCTTGTTAATAATGTACTACTACTGGTATAGTTACAAAAAGCTCTTTTACTAAGAGGCTCTAGGATTCTACAGATAAGGTAGGTAGGTACTACCTTACATATAGGTGGGCGATACCTATCTCTTACGTGTCACATGATGTAAGTAGCTGACGCTGTCACATGACGTTCAACCACACCTCAGCAGCTGTGAAAGCATGTGACCTTAATACATGGTGCACGAGAAATGACTCATAATCGCTCACTGCTCGTCACTCCTCAGCATTGTCCATCATTACTATACTTAGATGTATCTTTGCCATCCATCTAAGAAGTAACTTTGCTAGGAAGCCTTGGTGAGCAGCTTTTCTCAATCTGTACGGTGCGAAACCCATGTTTTGGAAGTACCCTCTTTCTTGATGTTATCAGAGAAGCACATCAAGGGTTAGGTCTACGAGTATCTGTCGATTCGACTCATAATGATCCTGGGTGATTAACTATGGGAGTGAGATAGCAAATAAATGTATAAATGTAAGGCGTGGATTGCAGAATTGGCCTGATATTGGGACCAGTTTGCAATCGATGCTCCTTGCGTGTATGCTAATGGGTTTTCGTAATTGGAGGATGTCGCTGCTAAGAGCGGTCCAGAGTCTGACACGGAAGAGTAGAAAGGATTTCGGAGTTGATATGGCGTAGGAGATGGTAATGGCGCCCAGATAGAGGTGTCCTCGGGTGGCAATTCGTGAGAGTATCTAGAGGACGTTGACTGCAACCTCGAATCGACTGGGTCTGGCGCAGAGACGCATGATCTGGCGGGCAACGGTGCAGCTTTCAACTGTGTGTGCGGCCATGGCTGAATTGTTTGCTACGGGCCTGGTGACCCGAACGATCAATCCTTTGAAGATGTTGGGTTGGGTTTTGATGTTGTTGACAGAAATCGTAACCCAAAGAACTCGACGACAGCAGTCAACGGTGAACCCAAAGAGGCTAGACCTGCCTTACATAAGCTGCGGGCCAGCATCGTCAATGCAGTCCGCCCACCTTTCACCTCTTATCACCACACTCCTTATCATTCCCCATTTCCAAAATGGGTGAAAAGCTACTTTCCCTGTTCATGTGTTGGACCAGGGCATTTTGTTATATAAATGCCAACTACAGCTAAGTCTCTTGCTATATCTCTTATATTCCTTTATCTATAGGTAATCTTGTGGTTCTAAACTACAGAACGAATTCTTTCCTATACTTCTGAACATGGCTTTAGTTTCCTCGGGAGCTCCTCCAGGCATTCTCAATCAGACACTCCCTGAAGATAAAAACAAAGGATCCGACATGCCTCCATTCGACCCTGTAATCCATCTGGCATTCGAACCACCTAGCGCACGCCATTCCTTCACCGAACTTGGACTTCCAAGACCGACGAACACACCTGATATGTGCTTTACCGAACCATTCCAGCTCTTTTCCGAAGAAGGTGTTCGCATGATTCGCCGCGATCTGCTGAGAAAGGAGGTCTTGGATAAGCATCTCAGCGCTTGGGATCGGGCTCCGTGCTATGTTGGCGGACAAGAGGAGGTGCGTATCTGTGGCATCTGCAGAATACAGAAGCTAAAGGCGAGATAGATAACGACTTGGATTACTAGTATGTGGAAGCATCCCGCTACGGTGGAGTGTATCAGCAAAGCTTTCGGCCTTCCACTGAAGATACTCGGACGACGGGGCGAGGTTGGGTATGTGAATATACAACTAGGTCCGGAAGGCGTGGATGGCGTCTACAAACTGAAGGAGACCCCGTCTAAGCCTTTATCAGAATCTACCGCCGTCATCTCCGAGTTTGACAAAGTTCTTACTGATTCATGGCATCGCGATTCGACACAGATCGTCTGCGTGGTCATGTTAAGCGACACAAGTAGCATGGTGGGAGGCGAAACAGCCATTCGGACAGGAGATGGTCGAGTGCTGAAAGCTAGGGGGGCCAAAATGGGAGGCGCTGTTGTAATGCAGGGCTGCCATACACCGCATGCTGCTCTTCGCGCCACGAATGCTGCAGAGCGAATCAGTATGGTTACCAGCTACTCCTTTGTTGATCCAGATCTTGATGATAGTGGCACCTCCCTTCGAAGTATCGACACCAAGCATCACGACCTTGCACTCATCCAAGACCATTTTTTACTTCACAAGCTGAGCAAACTTCGCGAGAGGATCGATGCTGCTATGGACAAAGTCAAGGAACGGCAGAGCACTGGGGAACTGGCCAAAAGAGAGGAAGTTGAGCCTTGGGTTGAAGATCAGATTACTTTTTTGAAGCACACCTCGTGGGAACTTTTTGAGAGGCGTCCCAACTATCTGTACAAGGACGTACCAGAAGATACTCTTCGCAATTACCTACCCAATGTCTGAAGTTGTCCTTGTCCAACGGTCTAGGCAAAATGTGGGCCCCTGGCTCTGATGTGTTTGAGTGTTTACTGTTTACATAATGTCGGTCGGTCGGTTGCTCTGGTCTTGTGTTGACCTAGGCGAATGTCGAGCACTTTGGGGGGCGTAGCCAAGCCTCTTTGGTTGAGCGGAAATGGACCTCGATCCTTATAAACATAGCGGTCGTCTTTGACATTATACCATGCTTTAAGACCGGACAGTTTGTTTGGCTTGTAATAAAAGGCCTCTATTACAGTGTATTACAGAGGAACAGGTAATAGGTAATACTGCTGCACTAACCCTGCCTCCCGCCGCGATCCCGAATCGCTACATCGCTTTCGGAATCGGATCCACGATCCAAGCTCTGCTCTGAGCTTGCTGTGACTGCTACCTCCCCATGCTCCTCTCCGAGATGCCCACTGCTGTCCCTTAAGCCTTTGCAATAATTGGTATCCATCGAAACCCTCGTCTTCCTTCCTCCTACCTGGATCCAACAATAGCCCATAATTTCACGTGGCTTAGCCCTTACCACTGGCCATCTCATCTTCCTCCAGTAAGATCTCCCAGTGTCAGGTGACTCGCACCTAAGCGACACCCTGTAGCTACCTACCTCACCTCAACTTCCCCCACCTAGCTAGCTCTTCTCTCCTTAGACGTCAATTCCAACACATGCCTATATATACTGTTTCGCACAGAATACGTGAGCTGCGTGAATACCGCTTGATTCGACAAGACCTTCAAACCAAATCGAGCCCGGTAGCGATCGTAAAAGTCTCTACGAACCACCGCATCGCAAATCCACAGATCGACCCCACCTTTAGTATTTGGGCGACACATCAAAGGCGCCGGCTAATAGTGTGACCTCTCCGAGCGCACAAGCCGTCTCCCGGTGCAGCTAGATGCTAGCAAAGAAGAAAAAGGCGGCGATCACAAGAGGGGAATCCAGGGATCTGCTGTAGCGTCAGCCAATCCAGAACCTAGCACGCCACGATCCGGCGCTCCCCTCCAAGCAGCGACCCTAGCGGCCCGTCGAACAGATCGATCTCATAACATCCCAGTCATCCTAGTTCATCCACAGATCCCACAAGCCCAGACGCTTAGTTTCCCCAGCCCTCGGATCTGCAGACTTCGACCAGCGACTCCACGCCTATACAGAGGGGGGTTTACAAAGTGAACAACGGCAACGGGAGGAAAGAGCGAGAGAGGAGGAGCAGGAGAAGGAGCGGGTCGGACGTGAGCTCGAACAGACCCCTTCCCCGATCTCCCAACAGTGTACCTTGGGCCCTAAATTCTTTCTCCTCAACTCCATCGCACGTATCCACCCCCACGCTCTCAAAATGGACCCACAACCCATGCTTCCGAAAAGCACCCCATCGCCTTCGAAGAAGAGGAAACGAATAGTGTTGCAGATCCAAGAACTCGGGAGCTCGTTGGAAGTCGAACCAGATAATTTCCAGACTGCATGGTACAGCTTGCGAGCTCTCGTTAACGATATCTCCACCTCCTCAGAGGCAACAGTATGTATCTATATTTAGCATACTCTGTACACGATTGGCTTACATTTATAGCTTGCTCCATCGTCTCTCAGGACTATTACCGAAGCTCTAGATCTCTTCGATTTGCACGAAGACAGGACGGATCCTTTCACAGGTGTACAAGGCTTACCAGTACCTGCATATCTCGAGCAGAACCTTGCCAGGATCTACTCTGTGACGACTAGCGGCCCAATTTCAAGCAATGAGGCCTTATCCCGCATGATCATAGATCAGATACTTGTCTGCTGTTTGTATGAGGAGAGCCAAAGATCCGACCAGCAGCCACCCAAGCCAGCTACACACACAGACAAAGACTCCTCGCACACGCCTTCCCGTGCGTCAGACACAAACACAGAAAGAGAAGAGCCTGCTATGCTGGAGCTTCTTCATGAGACACCGTTATCGAGAGTTGTAACCCATCAGGGACAGACCAAGCGACTGTGTGGATTCTCGGATTACAGTATTTGGTATGATAGATCTAGGGAGGGAAAGGCAACAATGGCGACGAATCTTCTGATCGTGGAAGCAAAACGTCAGTTTTATACTGATGCTGCATTGCCACAACTCGCCAGCTACATGGGGATCGTCCATGCTTCACGTAAAGACGCATCAAACAAGAACTGTATAGTGTACGGCATTGCGTCTGATGGGAGGAACTTTCGCTTCTGTCGGATCGATAACAATGGAGTGTTCACCAGCAGCTGTCTTCTAGAGTGGGACCGGCACAAGGATCAAATCTACAGTATTATACGCTCCCTCCTCCGAGCAGCAGCCCTCTCATCGCCAAGTACAACGCCAATCAAGGACCCTATGCGTAGGAAAATAGTCCTCGCATCATTCGGTAGCCCACAACGGGCCCAGAAGTTCGACTATGGTTTTAGTCAATTGCACTTTTATGACTTGGATGATCTGGAGGATGCTGAAATTGTCCACTTGATCTCCGATTGGCAGGAATGAAAGGACATGTTGTATTCGCGGGTCGTGTGCCGTAGCAGCACACTGTTGGTGTTGGTCACTGATGTGTTACGATCAATATATTTACAGTATTTCTATTTGAGAGTAAGACCAACCAACACCAGGAACTCTAAGCCACCTCGTTCCTCTTGAGATTTGAATATGGCGGCAGAGACTTTCCCGCTCTTCACCTATCTCCCCGCAGAATTACGCTGTCGCATAGTAAGGATAAACGGTTCTTTACTCCCCCGATACAATCATCGTGGTAAAGCGTTGTCGAGATTGGAAGCTCACTAACATCTCACAGTGGAACTTGGCCCTCCCAGGTCCGCGAATTGTCTACGTACAGAGACGCCTCACATCGGGTCTCGACGCGGTAGAGGGATATACTCTCGCGAGTGATGACGGCCCTCTCGAGGCGACGTATTTTATATCGCCATCCTCGAGCTATCCAATTGCATCGATGACACAGACGTGTAAAGAGTCTCGCTTCGTGGCCACGAAACATTACACACTCCTGTTCCCGGCATCCTCGACTTGGTTCTCCTTCTCAGCAGATTTCCTGCATCTCGACTTTGGCCGCTCGCCCTACGTGATGGACTATGACCCTAGGCATTTTGACAGATCTATCCCCCAACCACCGCTCACGCCTGCTAACCTGAAGTCATCTCGATACTCATGTCCGGCATTTGACACGCGGTTGGCCACAAAGGTGAAGAATCTGGCAATAAACAACTCCAGTTATATGCGAGCCGTTCCTATTCGCTGTATTCGGGGGGCGGCTTTACGTGGGCCGACGTGGTGGCATCGGTCATGGATCGCTTCTGTGGAGTGGAAACCTTTGTTATAGCGGATCAGCTATTCAATACCTGCTATGACCCGTGTCCAAAATATCTCACTAGCATTATCAAAATAAGAGTGGAATCTATAATTTTTTCCACATACATAAAGCGCCACGCATAACGGCGGTATTATATTCATATCGACTAAAAGAAACAATCTTGGCATCTAACTTGCTTGCAGTTTTTCATATGAGTTCAGGCAAAAGAACTACTAACAGTCATGAGGACAACCCACAAGCTCCCAATGCTCTTCAGTACATACGTCCACAGGGTCCGAGTCGGGGCTGCTTCCGGCTCATTAGCCTAGGTCCGGCTTTTTCTATTCAGGGCGGACCTGCTTCTTCTCCCGAGTGTCGACACCAAGCCAGATCAGATCTGGTCGGCTATAGTGACCACAGGTATCGAGGAAATGCTTGTTGCGAGTAATCTCCTCCATATTGCAGTCAGCAATGACCAAACCTTCCTCGTCCGGGCCAAGAGTGCTCTCGGAAATTTGCCTGCCATCAGGGCCATAAATCGCAGAAAGTCCACCCCCTGGAACTGACCACATGATGGAGTCTTCGAGGTCTTGAATCTCGACGTTGCGCTTTGATACGACTGAATTGCAATATAGAGAAAAGGTTCCACCCTCAATGCAGTGAGTGCTGGTCAAAATCTTTGCGCCTAGAAAAGTGGGAAAACTTAGCCCTGACACTGTTTTTACTTCTGGATGTCGAACATTCATTACCTTCAGCAGCCTGGCTCCAAAGAGCATCTGGTGTTTGCGCTAGCGGCAGCATGGGTGGCCAAGCAGCAACGTGAAACTCCTCTCCCTGGGTATAGGTATGGTATCTCAACAAGGGCTGGGTATGCTCCCAGCAGCAGAGACCTCCAACCTTACCAATACCAGGCAGGTCAACGACGTTGTTCAAGGAAGCACCGCTTCCATCACCATAGATGGTCCTCTCCATGTGTGTTGGCTTGATCTTTCGGCGGGTCATTTTAATCTCTCCATCAGCACCGATCAAGGCCTGAGAGATATATAAGGACTGGTTCTCATTTTCGGAAAAGCCCAACATGACTGCAATCTTGTTCTCCTTGGCGGTGGCGCAAATGAGCCTCATCTGAGGTGAGTCGATTTTCAGGGAGCTAGCTATGTACTTCTTAACGGACTCGATGTCGACGGTTCTTTTCCTATGGCACATATGAGGAACTTGATTGGAGTGTATAAGTAAGTTTTTGGATTATGTACCAGATCCAATAAGGATATCCAGGAATAAAAACCTCGGAGAATCCAATGAGCTGGCAGCCCTTTTCAGCAGCCTCTGCAATGTACTTGCATGCCTTGGCGACGTTGGCATCCAGGTCGAAGTCTATCGACTCGAGTTGCGTGGCTGCAACACGGATGACTCTTGGGTCTGACATAGCTGCAATGACTTGTTGATGGATGGAAGACGGATAGATAGAAGATGGACGAATTGATGAAATGATGAAGTGATGGATGAACTGAGGAGTCTCTGCCAATTGAAAGCGCTTATGATTATATAGCCGTATAAAAACAGCTACCAGTCTATCAAGTCATCGTATCCGGAACCTAGATATCCTGAACCAACGTACAATATCCGGAAGTTATTGACCCAGTCACCCAGGCGTTGTATGCTTATCATCTATTCAAGACCCGAAGACCATATGCACATGGAAGATATGGCGCTGCAAAGAAAGCGGAAAAGCTTATCTATCTCGGTGACACAGCCTATAGGCCCATCTAGTATAATCTCCTATCCGGAAACTTGTCATCCGCGGCTGCTATAGGTATATGCGACGGAGAAGAGCGTGTTCTCCATAACGATCGACTACGTGGGGAGAGAGGGTGGCCTTCGCTAAGGTTATCATTATCCGGGAAATTGTTATCCTTAAGGTACCTAGCGAAAATCAACTACCGGCGGGGATGCAGAAGTGGCAGTGAAAAGTACATAATAACATCCAGATAAGAACTATCCCAATCGGATGAAAAGATTGGATAGGAATCCTGGCCAACCAAAATGTTTCTCAATCGAGGCTGCGGCGAACAGGTCTATATACCGTTTGTTGCCCGATACACCCACGAGTATAAGAACATGCCACTAGTCCTACCCTTATTTTGATTCCTGGCACAAATCAATCAATCAATCATTACTTTTGTTGAAGACCAATTCTATCTATTTCGACGCAAACAACGACGATATGGCTGAGGTCTCTCATTCTCGATTTACGTGGTATAATGCCGTAGTAAGTACCTTAGTCTCGCCTATTCGCCCTCTACATCATCTAATATCCAAAACAGATTGTATTGACCTTGTCTATGGGAAGCGTCTGTTATGGCTATGATTTTAGTGTCATTAGTTCCATAATTGGCATTCCAGCTTGGTATTCGTACATGGGTCTCACAGAAGATAAATCTCAGACTGCCCTGTACACCCATTCCAACAACATGATCGGAGCGCTCTTTGGACTCTTTTCCGCCGGTGCAATTTTTGGCGCTCTTTTCGTCGGCTGGATGTGCGATGCTTACGGGCGCAAGAAGTCTCTTATGCTAGCCGCAGTAGTCAACATCGTTGGTGGTGCGCTCCAGGCTGGTTCTGTCCATATTGGAATGTTTATTGCGGCACGATTCGTTACCGGTTTCGCTGCAGGTAGATATACCTTGATTCAAGTCTTTCGACTTAGCTGATGGATATTCTTTAGCAATGTTCGTCGCACTGGTACCCATCTACATCGCAGAAGTCGCCCCTCCTGCAACGCGAGGACTTTTGGTTGGACAGCATGGTGAGTATAATCGTATTCAACCAAGAATCCAAGATAGTGGGCACTAACCTTCAAAGGTGCCTTCTTTCTCTTTGGCTACAGCATGGCTGCTTGGTCATCTGTTGGTTCCTTCTTTTCTAAGTACCCTCAGTTTCAATGGCGGTTCCCCTTGTCGCTGCAGATTCTCTGGCCCTCGCTGGTTCTCATATTCATCAAAGGTTTACCGGAATCACCTCGATGGCGTAAGATATGCTTCTAACACTACCATTAGCGAGCAAATAATTGACGTGTGTTCTTGCAGTTATTAGCCATGGACGGGCTGAGGAAGCTTGGGACGTTCTTGGAAGGTTGCATTACGACCCCAAAGATGCCTCTCAGTCATTTGCTCGCGAAGAGTTTCATCAGATAACTACACAGTTGGCCGCGGATCACGCAACCTATGGCCATGTAACTATCCTTGATCTTTTCCGCAAGCCTCATTTTGCGAAACGAATGCTCTGTGCTGCAATTGTTATGTTCACTTCTCAAGCTGGTGGAAATCTTGTTATTTACAGTAAGAGTCAATTATATTTGAAGTATGACTTCACTGCTAAAAGTTAATAGGTAACATCAGTATCCTGTGTAAAGGCCTGGGATTCAGTGACAGTATCTCGCTGGTTCTAGGCGCAGGTTATATCACCTGGGCATGCGTAATGAACTTTGCAAACGCCTCTTACCTCGACCGTCTAGGTCGTGTTCGCTCTCTACGTGCGTATTTCTAAATATGTATTGGATTTGGATCTTGCTAAGACTCAGAAACAGTCATTGGTTTCAGCTCTGGAGCAGTGATGGTAGCCATCGAAGCTGCGATTGTTGCGAGATTCGGGTCATCGACTAACAAGCCCGCTTTGGCCGCTGGCGTCGCTCTTCTGTTCTTCTACATCACAACGTAACTAGATACCATTCCCGAATTTTGCTATGAAAGCCAGCAGCTAACATCATAACAGCTACGCAGGATTCTGTGATACAACTATCTACGTTTATTGCTCAGAAATATTCCCAACTCACATCCGTGCGAAGGGAATGGCCTGGAGCATCGCCATATTTATGCTCTCGACTATTCCATTCCTCGAATCTTCTACAACTGGCTTCTCAACCATTGGTTGGAAGTATTACATGGTATTTGTGTCGCTAGCCGTAGTTTGTTCCATCGTCATGTACTTCACCTGCCCAGAGGTAAGGCAAAGAAAACTCAGTGCTCCTGTGGGATATTGCTGACAAGAGTCTTTTCAGACCAAAGGTCTATCTCTTGAAGAAATCAATGGCCTGTTTGGAGACGAAGTGGCTGTCAACATTACGAACTTGACGGAGGAACAAAAAGCAGCACTCGATCAACAAATTCGCCTCGACCAGCTTAGGGAGAATGACAACGCCAGCACGGATTTTACCGACGATTCAAAAGAAAAGACCCCTAAGGAGCAGTCCAAGAGTGTGCTGGCGGAAGTGTAATTAGACTCCCCTCAGTATAAAGAGCGAAGCCCAACCATACCTGATATTGCTGGAGCTACGTCTGATATCTGGGCCGCTGGGCGGTCGCTGTCATTCATGCATTGTGGGGTAAGAATTGAAGCATTTTTTTTTATAGATGATAGCCCCACGGGCTTGGGCAAAGTAGAACTAAAAGTATGAAGTAACTTGAACAAGCACATTTTCGCGGCCCGTAAGTAGAGACTATCTGATTGAACACGAAGGACTTGTGATTCCTTAGTCAATTCCCCTTCTCAGCAAATTGAATCCAACCAGTCATTTCCACTAGAGTATGTCGGCTCTAGGCCTACCCCCAGAAAATTGAAATTGGGATCAGAAGTCCACGCAGCCTCGAATGAGTTTTCACCGGTACCATAGCCTGTCGGTTCAGCATCGGTCCCATGTCTTTGCTCGACCGGAATTTCTCCTTTATATCTTTGAAACGACAGTAATGACGCGGGGTCAATTTCCTTTGCCAAGCCAGTACCCCAAATATCCACCTTCCACTCTTCCGCCAGTGATTCGATAGATCTGATGGATCTGTTGCTCCAATTCCACGTGACATTCATATCGTACAAACTCTTGATCAGGATTTTCAGACAATGCATCGCTTTGCTCTGTGATTGCGATCCCTGGCGTCTGACATTCACAAGATGAATGATCGCTGCAGTAACTGCGGAATGAACGGCAGAAATTGGTATATGGCGCTATTCATGATACGAATCAGAACCCCTATTTCAAGGTACAATTTAGGGCAAAAAGCTGACTCACAAGGTTGTAGTTAGAGTGATAAATACGGAAAATGTTTGCCATCTTCTCAGCAGATACTCTGCATGAAGCGGTGTGGATATCTTCTTGATCGTCTTCTCTTTCTGGTTCATCAATTTCTCCGCTTGGTTTCCGGCGGAATCCTCGAGCGAACGGACGATGTAGTAATATCATCGCAACATGAAACTGAATACTGGGCAAATTGATTAGTTGCGGTACAAAAGACTTCGAGGTTCTATGAAGGTCATACTGTAGTTGGTATACATGCGGCAATGCAGGTTTAAGTGAAGAGGTTGAGATTTTGAGAATCTTTGGTAGTCGATCATAAAATTCAACGAGTCGCAGATGAGTTTGCATGATGCGATCCTCTCTCTCTGAGATGGTCCAACCAGGACGTCGGGAGTACCTGTTTATATCAGCCTGTTCTTTACGTCTTAACTAGGTTTAGAGCCGCCTTACAATTGATCGTGAACTTCCGATGTAATGTTAAATAGCTCACATGTGTAAATGGAATTTATGGATATATGCGAGCTTGAGAAGGGTGGGGTACATCTTGTTTTGATACTAGGCGGCCAAGGGGAGATGTTGTCGCAAGAAGTTGAGGGTTTTGGCGCGGACATATTACATTCTTGAATACATCCAGGCCTTCCATACCCAAGGCCAAAGAGTCTGTAAGAGTGAATTAGCATCTGTTGTCTGCACAGTAAACTGAATGGGCATCGCCTTACCGATCTAGGACATAGATTCCCCACCAGGCCACGTTGCGTGCATCGGCATCTTCTGGTGATAAAATACCTTTCCGGACGTATTCTGAGCAATCCGAATGCAGTCCCAAGTTGATAGCTATACGGGATGCTATACCAACATACAACCACCCGAGAGATTCTCTATCCATAGCAGCAGAATATAAGCTAAGCAACCCTGCCGCCTGTACCGTTGAGGTTGTAGGTGCTTCAAATTCACAATGAAGCATTGTTTTCGCTTGCGTGTATAACATCATGCCTGCGGTATTTGGATCCGTGGGGTCCGTCCTTAGCTCAAGTCGATCAGAGTATCGAGATGCATAAGCAAGCATGGCGGTGAGAAGAAGAGGGGTACAAAATCGACCAGACTTCTCGATGTGCAGATCGTGAAGAAAGGATTCCTGGGGTACGAGATACTGCCAGGAATTTTGCCATCGCCAATATAGACCGAGAAGGTGATCACGCAGATCGTCCGAGATTTCTAGACCATTCAACTGCCGAGCTGATTCGATACCTAGCATTCGGGCGCTTATCGCGGACGTCTCTTTGAAAGAAAGGTTTCGATTGAAACTAAAGTTGCTGGCTGCTCCGAAATATCGCAACTCACCCGCATCACCAAGAGTAAAGCTTCCTAAGATATCAGTGAGCTCGTCAACAGTTTCTGTTGCAGCCGGCTTCCCAGCCAAGGCGGTCTTTAAGGTGCTCGACCGCGGTATGGACGATGTTGCGGATTGCTCTTGAATTTCTAAGGATACAGTCCCGCTCTCTCCGGATGAGCCTCGAGGGGCGGTTGACCTGATTGCCAGTCGCTCCTCGAGACATGCTAATCGTGCCTCCAAGGACTCAACATATTGTTTGCTGGGGCGCCTTTACCAGTCCACTGTTAGCTTCTCACTCTTTCTCTCAAAAGCTTGGTGCTAACCTACTTCCTTTTGCTTTCAGCTTGGGTGTATTCGCATGGCTCGTTCCGGTACTTGCAGGCACTACACTGAGGTTGCTGCCCATCGCACTATGTCACAACAGGAAGGGTAAGAAAAGCCCAAGAAAGAAGAGTCGGGCAGTTGGGACATTGAAGCTCCTTGCGTACCTTGGTTCTCTTTAACCGGCAGCCATTGCAGGCGAGAGTAATTCTCTGCCTCACCCGGCGATTCTGGTTCTGGTCATTTGCAGGCCTCATCATTGGCATGGTCATATGAACGGCAGATTGTTTCTGTTTGGGGGTGGGGGATGCAGCACTCATTGCAATTGTGTAAGGTTAGAAGCAGAGACAGATACGAGCAGAAACAGGCAGAAACAGGCAGAAGTTAAAGATATATAATATATATGTTTCAAAGTGACCTCTGAAGTGGGCGTGGTACCTGAGGTCCTGAGCAAAGGAGCAGCTCTCACAAACCAATTAGCAGGGGGCGTCAGAACTGATGATAAGCCAATCAGTAGGGGACGTCATGGTCGGTGATAAGCCAATCCGCCGGAGAAGTAAGAATTGATGATACTCCGAAATTCTGAGTGCTGAAAAGCAAGGCCCCCCTGTGCCAGAGCATATTTCTGCCGGTACCTGGTTTTACGTAGTATTAGTCTCTGCTCCGTATATGATCCACAGGGACCCTCACAATGCACTCTACTATTCAAACAACACCTTTAGAACGTGGGACGACATCTTGAGTATCAAATATAGAATCATAGAAGTGTGATATAGGCGACAGCGAGGTATACGACGGCGATGTTGATAGCGATAGTGAACAACACTTGGCCGCCTACTCTATTTATGGCTCACCGCCGACGCATTAGGTTAGCAGGTTCGCGTAACAATAGGAGGGGTTCGTGTATCACGATCCGAAATTCAAATGCCGAATAACGTTCCTTTAAGCTCTTGATCTGTTATCTACGTACTTATCTACAGCCAGTTAAACTAAAGCATGCAATTCAGACCAATCGATAGTTCTTTTCGGGGTTTGAATAATGGCTAGTGGGTTTGATTAGGATGGTACGCCACATAAAAGCCATATGAAGACGATGAATGCACATCCCTCTCTCGAAACAGATTGAATCAATGTATTGTCTCCCACTTACGGTGTCGATTCCACCTTAGAATAATTCTCAAGGTTCTTCGAACGACATCAAATCCTCCTTCAAAATGAATAGGGCTCCGACCTCAATTCCGGACAATTTGCAAATCACAAAAACCGTGCGAAGCGAATCGAATTCGAGTCGGTGAGTTTGAGATTCGGATATATTACGAATCAGAGTGAGAAAAGTCCAATTCGTCTCACATATCCTTCCCTATCCTTATTCAGAAATATTGGTACGGAAATATCATAATAGTGAGAAATTGACCTTGATTTATCTACGAACGAACTGGATCTTGCCTTAAGAGATCCACGAACGATTATGCGTTGATCGGACGCGCTTATCTCCGTGGATTTATGGAGCGTCGGGCCCTAGTAGGAGTCAGAGTGGAAATATCAAGCTTTCTAATATTGTTCTCGCTTGGTCATTCGAGAAAAGACGGTTTGGAATTGCTACAACTACCTGATCGATTGGAGAACCTTCCTGTGCTCCCTTTTCCAGCACTTTCCGCCACGACACCAAACCGTCTATCTCCTCAACAGTAATAGTGAACAACCCCGGACTTCCATCACAGATACTCCTTGACTGATTTGCGCCATTACTCGGTTTTATATCGTCATACGGAACCGTATAGCCCTTCCCATCCACATTCGCCTTGTACACAATGCAGGCATAATTTGTAACTACATTATCATTGTGCGGTGACTTGGACGTCTAGTAAGACCAGACGTCGGAGGATACGGCAGAGAAAACGATCCAGCAGATTTCTCTTGCGCTATATTGCCTACGTACAGTACCCAAGCCAATAATTCGCCGAGGCGGCGATCTGTAACTATTCTCTGCCGAGGTGACAGACTTCCATCTTACTGGCTTTGGTATTGTAAATGTCGTCGACTCGTCGTTAGGTCACAGACTAAATTGGAACGCAATACTAGACACTAAAACTTGATATATATACGCTTAGTATAACAAATCTCGAGTATTTAGGAGAACTGTAAGTCCTATCCGAAAGGCATGCTTGCGAAATTGCCAAAGAATGGTATGCTGGCAATTCTACCTATGGCTGATGTTCTCTCCTCTAACGTCATTAAGGGTACTCAATAGGGAACGCCAGAAATGGGCACACAACCTGGTGATAATGATATCACCGTGTTAAGTAAAGGTAATCTAAAGGGGTTAACAGCTTCTATACCCATAGGAGGTCATTGAACTCCTAATTCTACAGTAGGTGATAAGGCACCATGAAAGCATGCCCAGAGGGCTGAACTTTTATGAATGGGTGCAAGAATTCAGTCTGCCCAAAGTGACCAAATGATTGGGACTAACTGACGAGGAAAGTTGTAAAGTTCGTTACTATATTACCAACTTACTAAACTCATACTAGGAAAGCAGGGTGTTATAGTATAGTGGGATTTTAGGACTAGGAGACTTCTAAGTTCTCACAGATCATTAGGTCCAAATAATTATTCAGTTATACCTTAATAATAGTCTTCGTTGCTCACACAGTCTATATGCCCCGAGCTTTAATGTAGTTCGACGGCGTAAACACAATTTAACAATGTAAATTTGCCAGTTCTTTAAGTATTCGCGAAATTTTCATACTAAAACAGAGTAGGTATATAATGTTTAGCTATCCTCCTCTAAATCACGTAGCTCGAAGGTAAGATGGGTCCTCCTCCCACTTCTTGACGGCCTCCAAGATCCTCCAAATAGACTAGACGGAACAGGACCGATTACCTCCCCCAGTTCAAGCTGGAAGATCATACCCTGGAATGCCGCGCAGCCCGCCTCTTGGTTATCACGATTTGGATTTGCTGCAAGTAACAGGTTCTTGTCTGCCTCTAGCGAGTATATCTTGCTTCCTCTCTGTACCTCAGGAAAGCCAAGTCCAGCGATGCGCCGTAGTGGCGATGTTCTACACTCTTCCTCATCAACCTCCTCCCATATCACGAGAGCGAAACTCTCCTGCATTCTCTCGAGATGGGTTCGTATCGAGAATGCGGAAGAAGTAACAACAGAGACAGTAGTGGGTTCGTGTTCAGCTGTTAGGTTCTCCCGGAAATACTCCTCCAGATCGCGGAAGGAAAGAAGAATGATAAAGATCCACATCTTTATCGATGTCTTGAGTGTGGCAGGTATTGAAAGCACAGTACATATGTTTCCAAAGGCGGGTTCTAGGAGTAATGGTGCGACAATTTCGAGAGCGGTCCGGCGGAGCAGCCAAGGGATGTATTTGAGACTTTCTACTTCACTCGGGGACGAATGATTAAGTATATCATCGAAATTAAACTTCTTCTTTTCGAGCAGGTCTTTAACCTCTCGAAGAACACGATGCAGTGGCTGAACATAGGTAACTACGCCGAGTTGGGTCGCGTCGAAGCCGCGAATGCACTTACTGATGGAAATGCTTCGCGGCTTAGCCATTAATTTTCCTCCATCTAGTCTAGTAAGGACGAAGGGAGCCATTTTATTGCTCATAAGTCTTATCCCGGTACCTTGAACAGATGGAGGAATTGCATAGAGCCATGACAATCTGCCGCATTGTGTCAAAGCGTCTATAATGGCGTGCAATGCCCTATCAGCAGTGTGTGTTGAATTGTACTGTACACGCTTTAATCTTAAAACACCACAGAGGGCGTAATATTTATCGCAGGGAACCGTAGCTTCTAGCTCACTGGACATCTGCAAAACGTTGGCATCCGAAAGGTCAGAGAATTGGTGGTTGCTATAGTATTGACGAAGATATTCCAGTCGCCTACACCAGCTTGCAAATTCGTCCAGCCATGTCTCCTTTGGCTGGCGCCGGAAAAGGATGCTGGCAATCACTCCAATGTTGGCAAGGCTGGTCCAACCGGACTGCGACCAGCTAACAAGGTAATTCCTCGACAGAAGAATCTCTTGGAAAATCCAAGCTCGTCTTCTCCAAATTCCAGATGCAAAGGATCTCAATACCCGGAGGCAGTCATTTTCACGTTCTTCAGTCAAGGCTGGCAAAATCGTGCAGCTCTGGGTAAGCACGCAGGAATGAGGTGCCAACATTCTTTCAGCGAACGGAACCTTTCCCTCAAATTCGCATCTCATCTCCTGCGCAACTTCCATGAGGACCGTGAGATTGAAGCCTCGCAGCAGGAGAACCGTGCACTCTGCCTCGTGGTAAACCTCGTCCATCCTAGGAATCCAGTACATCTTGTCGACCTCCGAGTCCTGATTGATGCATTTGCTATCCAACCAGCAGCATGAGGCATTCCATGTCTGACGTCGGAGAGCCGGAGGTGTTCTAGGTCCGACAACAGCCAGGAGCCGTTCACGAAGTTGGGTCCAGTCAGGCAGCTTGTCAGAAGGGTCATCCTTCCATTCGCTCCAGACGTAGGATATCACCACGTGCATTTTAAGTCCGCTTCTAAATGCTCCATGCCGGTCAAGTACTCGATGATATCGCTCTGTGGAGGGATCTATCAAGGCAAAGCTAGAGCGAGTACCGGAAAAGAACGCCTTGGGGATATTTTGTGACATAGAGAACTATTAGAGAGAATGCGAGGGGTTTCAGGGTTTAGGTTTTGGAGAGAATGCAACGGTTTCGCGTGACTATTTTGTTTAGAATTGTCAAAAGAGACAAATACTCTAGAGAGAGACGGACACAAGCCTACCTACCTACCTTACCTTTACCTTACCTACCTTAACCGAGGCCAAAAAACAGTATCATGTGATTTGAATTTCCGTGAGGTGCAGTGGTATGCTGACATTTAGCCACCGCTTATACAACCAGATCCTATAACTGTTTAGCTAAAATGCGAATGCGCCGAACAAACAAAACACAACTGCAGTACTTTTATGGACCCCGCAAATCAAAGAGTACCATACAGAAATTAAGTCCAGGAAAAGCTGTGTTCAGCTCAAAAACAAAAGTGCAAGCACTCTTTAGCCCCCAACATTACCCCCCCCCCCCCCAACATTACCTTACACCAAACGGTCCTTGCTAACATGTAGTCAGCATTTCCGCATTCTGAACCGAAAATACCCCCCGGTGCTGTTGTGCTAGAATAGAGTGAGGAGGAGGTCATGTTCTGTATACTCATGCGCTGTCTATGGTCGTGATATCTGCTGACCAAGAGGCAAAAACCTTTACTTTACTATGTGTCGACATCGACGTTCGAGTTTACTACTATTTGACACCCTGCTATAGCCTATAGTCTGAGGCTATAGATAGAGGTGCAAGTAACGTCAAGCTGTCATTTGAGAAAGGGAATTCAACATCCTCTACGACATAAGTCTGATTTGACGTTATTATTACAGGTTGTGACAAAATCACACCCGATGTTAATATGTTCGTTACTAGAACGTGATATCTCTGGGCCGAAGACGTCTTTTAGGCGAAGCTTGCCTGAATGTTAGAGTAATACTAAAATAGGTATTAAATTATTAATTCCCCCAAAAGTTATTCTTCCTACAAGGCCTTAATTAATCCGACATACACGATATAGGGTTAATGGCACGAGGGAAATAACCTATCCGAGCACGTTTCCTTTCTGGAAAATGGTGTAAAATCTGAGGCGGATGATAAAACGAATCAAGATACTACCCTGTGCGTAGATTGGGCACTTAGGATCGAACAAGTTCCATTGATCACATGTAATATACGAACCCTTTCCTCATGTTTTCAAAGGCTATCGACTAGATTGATAATTTAGTTTCCAGAAGATGACTGGTCGATCAACAACTGAGGGATTTTAATGCATGCATGTCTACCTACTGTACCATCCATCCCCTGCAAGCAGTACTCGGTCTTATCAATATTTGCAGCAGCCACATCCCGAAACGGCCAGGTATACCAAAGCTCACTGCCGCCTGTATCCGTACGGTAAATGACAACCCACCCCCCAGATATATAGATGGAGCAGTCTGCTATATTAAATCGAAGACTCTATTTTCTATGCATCGAAGTTATCCAGCTCAACAGCAGCATCAATTATTCTATCATGTCATCTTCTGCTTTTCGACCCCATGGGCTCATTAAAAGCCCAATAGAAGAAGCCTTGTATCACAGAGCTCATATTGCGAACGTCTACACTGGAATAGCTGATCCGAAAGAGCATGAAACGTCCGCTCTTATGGAGGTTATTCTTTACAGCAATGTCTTCACTTCCAGCGAGAACTTTATAGTAAACTCCCAGCAGCCCCCCACAACCCAGTCCGACAAAAAGTGCGATATTGTCATCAGGTATCTTGAAAGCGGAACAAACAGAATCAGAGTGCTTTGCTTCGCCGAATGCAAGCGGACCAGAACAAGTCAACCGTTTAGTTTGAAAGCACTAGAGAAGCAAGCCAAAGACTACTCTAGATTGTACCTTGACTCTGAAGATAGCATACTATTCGTATATGTCGCTACAATGGCTGGCGCCCATATTCGGCTGTGGACATATTGGCGTGATAAAACCGAGTTGGCACCATTCTGGGGTTCCCAGGATCCTGGAAAATGGGACCAATACAAAGACGTCGGTGATAACGAAGCTGGGCGAGATATCGAGTATTGGTTTGGGATAATGAAGCAGTTTCCACCTACACCACATGCGGGCCAGAGCAGTCTCACCTATGGCACTTCAAGCACGGGCGATATGAGATATCAACCCCCTGCCTCGGGCTATGGAGCCTCTGCCTCGGGGTATCAAGCTCCCGCGTCAGGCTATCAAACAAGCCCATATGCCATACCACACCTCTCATCGAGCAATATACCGACGGGCCAATCCACCAGTACGGGTGGAGACATGAGCCAGCCGACGGGCGGAGAGGACAATGACAGCGATGACTACGATGAGGACGACCAAACGGTGGGGTACATTGAAACACAGCAAGTCTCCTCGTCGAGCGCAGGATCTCACTATCACGTCGTCAAGGTGACCAAAAAAGCGCATAGGTTCGGGAATGATGAGTTCAACTTCAAGGACAAGAGAGGAAAGCTGAGGTCAACTGCGCGAAATGATTGGAGGAAGACAACGCACAATGGACGGTCTGCTTGGAGACATCGCAATTATATCTGTACTGAAAATATTTTCTAGTGACAGTGTAGGAGGACAAAAAGGCGACGCTCAGGAATTTCTCCATTTTTCTTCATACCTTCGGAAGTCCCGTAAGTTACAAATGCAGTCTCATTGTACTCTCTTGGGGGATGTCTCGAAGAGCTCCCGTCCAGCGCAAGACTGTGTCGTAGCGTTCTGAAAACCACCAGGCAATGTGCTGTACAAGGGTGTTAGCAGACGTGTTATGTATCTGAATTAGTTTGCAATTTACCTCCCCGGCATCAAAGACTCGATAGTCATGAACCGGCGTTGTCTCACTCGTGTCGGGTGAGAAGCTAATATCAGTGACAATTTGATGGTCTCCAGACTTTAACATTCTGAAATAGATTTTGGTAATGCTCGGCCCGCTACAGTTGTAAATACAGGAGCATTGCGAGACACAGGAAGCGTGCCACTGCCCAAGGACTGTGGTGTGGCCGTTCAAGTAGTGTATTAACATGCCGGTACAACGCTTATCGATATAGCACACATCAACTCTTTCGAGGCCGCTTAAGACTGCGACTGACAAGAAGAGTCCGGCATTCGGGCTACCAATCGGAGGTGAAGGGAAACCACAATCGTGATATTGAGGAGGAAGGGGAGCGGCTCTTACAGTAGTGCTATCACCTATAACACCAAGTCTCGTGATCGTCGTACCGGACTTTACGTTTTCGTAATATAGCCCCGAAACACATCCTTTATTCTGCAGGAGAATCCATTTATAGCTGTTACTAACCACAAGGGATGGTAGAATGTACGGCCCAAATGAGTGTATTCTTCCGAGTGTCGTTTGAATCTAGTAACCCGTATTAGCAGCGACCGAGAGAGAAGTTGACAGAGACCAACCGTTAGTGTTGGCGCGGCAAATGCAGGGCTAATGGAATTAACAATGCGAAGCCAAGTATAAGTTATCCGTTCTTTTGTAGAGAGCGGAAAGTGTAGTGCGCAACCGCTACGGTATCCAGATAACCTCGAAGTCTGAGTGAAATAAGCTTCTACACCTACTATGCCATGTCCGGAGACATAAATAGTAAGGCCTTTAGTGTACTCGTCCCCGCTATACAAGGATAGGTATCTGAAAAAGCGTCGCTCAGGATCCTTTGTAACAGAACGGAGAATATCTCGATCGAAGTTAAACAATGCGGCATCTGGATCGAGCAAAGTAGACGGGAAATCAGGCTGATCCCATACCACTTGATTTCGTGAAAAATGCCTCGGGGGCGATATAACGACGCAGTTGAGATCCTTCCTAGTTCAGTCGGAATAAATTGGTAGATATAATACCAACTTACGTTATAGCCCCAGCGAAAGCTCGAGACACTTCCTTCTAGCAATCCATGCCAGGTACAGTCTGTCCTGGGAATCTTGCCAATCCAACCACTTTCCCAATTATAACCAAGCAGCTGAATTGCACAGATACCCCCAAGACTCGTGACATATTTAACCCCTGTAGTATCCTCAAGAGGATTGGGATTGCCCTCACAATCTCTATCTATGACGAAGTCTTGGACATATTCAGTACCAAAAACCGAAATCATCTTGGTTGACAAATGTGATCCTCGTTCCAGTATTAGACGGCGACTTGAAGGGCAGTGTAGATGGTGAGCGAGGCGAGACGTTTCATCTGCAACGAGGATGAACGCGCTATATGGCGTCATTAACCCAATGTACCGCCAGATGTAGGTCCTAAGCTCCGCAGGTAACCTAGATAGAAAGAGCGGTTGAGACTGACTACTAGCTAGCATCTGAAGCCTGCTCACTGAGTCAAGATCCAGTCGTCGCTCGCAAATATTCTCCCATATTGAGGGGTCAGCAGTAAGCGTTCGAGCTAGTTTGTAGATGACTGATCTAGGACAACCATTGAGTTTCCATATCAAGATCGAGTAGCACCAGTCATGGAAACAGAAAGCGGTTTGCTGATTTCGGGTTTTCTGATTGATTCGTGGATCGCGCGAGATCGTAACTGTCTGGGGTCGTAGACGTCCGGTCAAAGGAACATCAATGTCATCGTCAATATCCGGGAGGCAGGCGACTTCAGTAATCTCGATGCTATCGTCGCCGTTCGCGTCTAGGCACAGCGCTGCAGGGAGTATCAGTAGTGTAAATAACAGAGGAGTTGACTGGACTATACCGGCGCGGAAGTTAGATTGCCAGGCGTCAGCACCCTGCAGACTGTGCGGAGGGAGTTGCTCACGGCAGAACGCACAGCAGTCGGTCGCATTAAATGAAGGTTTGGGTGATTCCATAGCCGGTGAGAAATGAGTCGGTATGGCGGAGAGTCAAATTGGCATGGGATTGAGATTAATCGTCGACATAGGGAGAGGTATAGGTGCTCTGTAGATGCCGCCACACCGCCGGGCAGAATTTGTACGGTGGTCGTTACCTTATCTCCGTGCTCACCTATCATCACGTGATTTGACATCCTCAACCCACCTGGTCCAGGATCCAGGGACCTTGAGGACCTATATATAAAGGCCAATAAATAGTACATGTACTACGTCTGTCTGGCATACTCCTGCCCTTGCTTGCAGGGAAGATTGCCTCACCTAAGGTTGAGGGAAAAGAGCCCAGTGACTTAGATAGCGCGGAGAACAAGAATACTGTTAGCTCTATTAGTCTTCCCCGGAAGAAAAACGCCAAGAATTGTCAAGATCAGCATCTCAAATGCAGACCGGTGTCTTGGCTATTCTCTCCACTCATTCTTCAGCCAAGCATACCTAGGTAGTTTTCCATGATAAGATAAGGTAGTGTGAGATGATCCGAAAAGGGGAGATGGCTAATGAGTTTCCCACGTTTCGGCTATTTCAGGGGGGTCAGTGCAGGAGCCGCGAATCTTACATAAGCATGACGCAGCCCCTCGGATCTGGGCCGAAGAATTCTCTCGACATCTTGAACTCCATTCGTCAATTCGTCAATCGTCTTTTTCGTCTTATCTTGTCTTTGTCAACTCGGATTCTGTGTGAAGGAGCCTCAATCTTCTGGAGATGCAGAATTCCCGACAACACCATGGCTTCCCACCAGCCCCCACCGCCATACAGTGAGCAAGGCTCTGCGCCGCCCCACGATGCCCGCCAGGATCAGAGCCAATTCCGCCTGAACCGCAAGCCAGTCTCCAGCCCTGCGCCGGCGGTGACATCCCAGCATCACAATGGGTCCTCGAGCAGCCCCGCATACCGCGTGGGAATCAACTCGAGACCATCCACCTCAGGCGCCCCAATAACGCCGCCGTTGCCCTCACGCCCCGGCTTGATAGTCCAGACATCTCATCCGCCAAACATCACGGATTCTAAACTGTATTCAAGCCCTGTCTCGACTCATCCCGGGAGAGTCGGGACGTTCGCATCGACAAGCACTGTCTCTTCGTCTGCAGCCAGCTCCCTCCCGTCCAGCAGCATCTCCTCGGTCTCTACGTCGACGACAGCTACCTCTCCCGCCCCCTCCCAATCCTCCCAGCCGTCCCAATCCTCTGCTGCATCATACTTCCAAAAGGCATATCGCGAGGCGCGCCACTTCGCAGGTGGTCTAATTGAACACCCCACGGAGAGCACCAAGCACTTCACGATCCTGCGCCACTCCCACGGCTTGGTCTTCTACCAAGGGACGAGTACCTCCATTGCGATATCAATCTTCGCAGATGCGCCACTACCGCCTGACCGGACGCTATGGCTGCAAAGCAAGGGCTGGACGGGGAAGACAGGAATGCGCGTGAAAGCCCTGATGGGACAAAATGGTGATTGGTTGAACGTCACACCTACAATGGCTGTCGGATCCCAGCAGTTGAATCCGAGTGACGAGCGGGCATGGCAAAGGGATATCAAGGCGTTTTACAAGAAAGCGCACTCCAATGTACGAGATCATAAGTTGCGGGAGACTGCCGTGGTGCGTATTCCGGCCGAGGCAGGGGATGGGTATTTCCAGATTGTCCTCTGTGTAGGAAGCAAGAAGAAAGTGCTCTGTCCCAGCCCCGTCTTCCGCGTCTTCTCGACATCCAGCGACCCCAGCTCCATCCGAGGGGCAAGCCTGAGTACTCTACCGCTGGAGCTAGGGGCAATGGTGCTGAGCACGGGGGTGCAAAACACGGTGGGGGCTTACATCGCGCCCGTGACCGAGGTAGTGCAGACCTCGGTGGAGAAATACATGCCATCTTGGTGGACTCAACAGGCGGCTATTGCAGCTGTTGGTGTGAGTGGTGTCGGGGACAAGCTCAGCACGACGCTTGAAGACGCAAACAACGAATATGACCAGAAGGCCGGCATGAGCCTCGCGGGGGCTAGCAGCGAGGGGCTCTCGCCTGAAGGGGGGCCACAACCACCGTACCCAATCCGCTTCGGCGGCCGCAGCCAACCCAACCAGACAAGCAACGAGATCACTCAATCCCATCTTCTCGCCTTCACCCTGTCCAACGTCGACGACGCCATCATCCAGAAGCTCTACGGCTACTACTTCGGCTGGGTCCGCGTCCTCGACAAGTTCTCCACGGACCCGAGCACCAATCACTGGTACCAATCCGTCATCTCCTGCACCCTCATCGACGCCTCCCAACTCACGCGCGTCAACCTCGCCCAAGCCAACAAACGCACCATCACCCTCCGCCTGCTGCACGGGCTCTCCAGCCCTCCCCCCGAGCGCACCCCCATCGACGTCCTCATCATGGGCTTCATCCGGCCCGACGAGCCCGCGCAACGCGCCGGTCTCGCGCGCGGGCTCCAAGCCGGCGACCAAGCCGCCATCGAAGCCGCCCACCTCTCGGAATCCAACGACGTCGCACTCCTCCGCACCTTCCTGGACCATCCCGCCTGGGCTCCCGAGCTCCCGCCGCCGCAGGCGGCGGAAGAGACGCGCAAGCTGGACAAGGCGAAGATGGGATATGCGAACACGCGCTTGGCGGTGCAGAAGAAGATTGACAAGGTGCCGCTGCATAAGATGGGCATTAGGACGCAGAGCGATCTGTCGAAGGAGAAGACGGTCGTAACGAGTGGGTTTTATGTTGTGCGGGGCTGATCTGATCTGGTGTGTGTATGTGTGTATGATTTTGATCGATTTGATGGTTTGTTTCTTGTATGTAGTTATCGATGCTTAGAACTCTTGTAATTTGAGATGAAAGAATGAAATGATCGATATATGCCTGGCCATACTTCGTATCTCTGGATTCATTCCTTGGACAATGCGCGCGAACATGAGGAGGATCTTGGAGCGGTCGGTATATTATATAATATGTAATATTGCACCCAGGAGATCAGATATAGATGAGAAGAAATCGTTTATTTTATCTATTTCATTCGTATCATGAGGCTAAAGCAGCAGAACTAACCCAACCCGCACGCAGCCCGAACCGCCCCTCTTTTATAAACAAAAAACATACATAGCTTGATCCAAGAAGCGCCGGATCTACCACCAGTCACCCAGGTCGTGCATAGCGGCCGCGACCTTGACGAAACCGGCAATATTGGAGCCGGCCACCAGGGACGGCAGCTCGCCCTCAGCCGCCTTGACGTACTTCTTGCTGGTCTCGAGGCCGACCTTGAAGGCCTCCTCCATGATGCTCTTCAGCTTGTTGTCGACCTCCTCGCTGGTCCAGGAGATGCGCTGGGAGTTCTGCGCCATCTCGAGTCCGGACACGGCGACACCGCCCGCGTTGGCCGCCTTGCCCGGCGCGTACCAGATGGCCTTGCCCCCGTTCGACTTTCGGTGCGCCTCGAAGACGTCAATCGCGTCTTGGGTGCATCCCATGTTCGATCCCTCAGCAATGAATCTGGCGCCGCTGGCGATCAGCGCCTCGGCCTCCTCCTTCGAGACCTCGTTCTGGGTGGCACAAGGAAGAGCAACGTCGACCTTGACGTGGGTCCATGGTCGAGCGCCGTCGATGTACTTGAACTTGCCACCGTGGGAGAAGGCAGTCAGGGCCTTGTGCTTGAGCTTCAGGGAGGCAATCTCCATGATGTCGTCAGGGGAGAAGGACGAGCCTTCGGGGGCGATCAATGAACCCTTGGAGTCGGAGAGGGAGACCACAGTGGCGCCCAGCTCGATGGCCTTGAGGGCGGCGTACTGGGCGACGTTTCCGGAGCCGGAAATGGCGACCTTCTTGCCCTTGAAAGAGCCTTGGCCAGCGTAGGCGATCATGTGGTCGACGTACTGTACATTATTAGTTAGGACGTGATTTGAGAGGGGCGGAAAAAGGGATGACGAACGTAGACGAGACCGTAACCAGTAGCCTCAGGTCGGATCAGAGAACCGCCCCAGGTCTCACCCTTACCGGTCAACACGCCCTCCCACTTGTTCTTCTCCGCACGGTAGGCACCAAACAAGTATCCAACCTCACGTCCTCCAACCCCGATATCTCCGGCGGGCACATCAGTGTCGGCGCCAATGTGCTTGCTCAACTCGCGCATGAAGGCGACGCAGAACTTCCGGATCTCATTGTCGGATTTGCCCTTGGGATCGAAATCTGCTCCTCCCTTGCCACCACCGATGTTCACTGCCGAGTGATTAGTTCATGTGCAGGAGGAGATGCATTAGATAAACAATATTAGGGCACTCACAGCCAGTCAGGGCATTCTTGAAGATCTGCTCAAAGCCCAGGAACTTCAGGATGGAGAGGTTGACGGTAGGGTGGAATCGAAGACCGCCCTTGTAAGGACCGAGGGCTGAGTTGAACTGCACACGGTATCCGCGGTTGATCTGGAGTTGGCCCTTGTCATCCTCCCAGACGACGCGGAACTGGATGATGCGCTCTGGGATAGAGACGACCTTGAGTGCGGTCCTGTACTCGGGGTGCTGCTCGAAGAGGGTGCTTTGTTCGAGGGTCGAGACCAGCTCTGCAAGGCATTAGTTAGCACTGAAGAACCTGAACAGAGGAATCTTGTTGCGTTTCAATCGCCCCCTCCCTCGCCCCCCGCCTCACCCTCCGTGACAAGCTCACCCGCTCTTTGCAGAGGGCAGGGGAAAAGGATAGAGTCGTGTATGGGCAATGGAGGAGGCCATGGGGGGAGGAGCAAAAGTCAGGGAGGATGTCAGTAGTACCTTTGTAGGCCTGCTCGAACTCGGGCTCAGATGGAAGGACAGGCATGATTACGGGTGGCAGAAGAAGGGTATCTGGGGGACGGCAACGGAAGGGGTATCACAGGAATCAGAAGTACTGGTCAATGGAGTGACGGCGGAGATTGCTTGATGGGGGCGAGAGACGAGAGTTGAGAGAGAAGAAGAAGAAGAAGAGAAAAGGAGAGAAATGTTGCGCGGCGCCAGGTTTTTATGGGCAGAGAGGGGGGGACGGAGGGGCCGTTGGGGGGGGAAGCCTTTTGTGTTTCTAGAAGGGTTTAGGGCGGGAAGATATTACCGTGTCTATATAGGGGATTTACCGTATTAACAGAGGAGTGTGAGGGACAGGGCGTGGACTTAGGGCCAGATTGGTGTATTAGAGGAGGTATTTTACAGAGGTTTACAGTTGGTTTACGGTGCCTTGGATTTTGCCCTTTTTCCCGTCGGCGTCGCCTTGCCTCTGTGACGTGAAGAATCATCCCATCGAAATTCAAGAGCCGCGATCGGAATCGAAAAAGTCGGACGGGCTAACCTGAAACGGATCTGGCTCTTGCGCGCGCGGGTTTCTTCTTCTCTCATTAATAATTATTATTATTATTATCATTGATGTTGTTGTTGTTGGGACAGAACAGCAGAGCATGAGTGCCTTACCTTACTGTCTCGATCTTCCTCCTTCTGCTCTGTCCCGCCCCTCTGTTTTTCTCTCGATACCGTATTTCGCCCTTTGGCATCCCGCCACAATCAGATATCGATATCGGATATCGGTGCTTATCGTCGCCGCGCCATTCGCTTCCTGAGGGGGGCTAACACCCAATCAGGGACAGCGGGACCGCGGGGCCACGAACAGAAACAGGGGATCCCCCCCCACGTCGCGTGAGACCCTGCTCGAGGCAGCTGCGATGGGTGATTCCCGGGGAAGAAACATGTGAGAGGAAAAGCTTCTGCACAAGTTTCACAGCTGCATTATTATCAACATCGTTGTCCCGTTGCCCACGCACACACCGTCGTCGGTCGGCTGACTTCTCCCGAAACCCGCCGCAACCCGGAGAGCCGGTGTCGGACGCCTTTCTCCCCCCCCAAATTCTCTCTTTTCCTTTTTTCTTACGTTTTTTTTCCTCTGGTCACACTCACTAACAGCGTCGGGCCCTTGGTACCTGGCGCGGTGGACCCTTTCAGCCTTACTGCGTGTTTGCATTTATCCTCTTGCGGTCTAGGTCTGCGGCCCTTCATCTCGGACAGGCGCAGCTTCCGGCCGTTGAGAGCCTCACAGCCCTACCTTGCCTGATACAGCGATGGTTTGATGCTTGATGCCCTCGGTAGCGCAGTACAGTACCAGTACACTACAGTAGTCCTGAACAAACAGAGCAAACATCCTTCACTCGTCCCCTCTCCGCTCATATCTCTCTCCTTCCTTTCCCCCTTTTCCCCCCTCAAGGCGCATCAGTCGGATCCCAATCCGTCACCAGGTGCTCGTCCAGCCCATCCATCGTCTTCATGTCCTCCGCCGAGATCTCGATGTGTTCCACGTGTCCATTGGCGATGATCCTCTCCTTCGTCACGCTCTTGGGCAGCGGCACATAGCCATGCTGCAGCGACCACCGCACCATCAGCTGTGCCGGCGTGCACTCGTACTTCTTGGACAGCTTCACGATGGTTGGATGCTTGAACCGCAGCGCGCGGGCGAGGGGTGCGTAGGCCTCGATCACGATGCCATGCTTGGCGCAGAACGACGTGATGTCCGTCTGCGTGTTGAAGGGATGCACTTCGATCTGGTTGATTGCCGGCAACACCCGTGGTTTGGAGTCGAGGAGTTCTTGTAGCTGCATCGCAGACAGCCGGTCAGCTTGGCCACTCGAGAATAGGGAGAGGAGGGGAAGGGAGAAGGGAGAGAGAGAAAGGAGAGAGAGAAGAGAAGATGGAAGAGGCAGAAGCAGAAGCACAAACACAAGCAGGACACATACATGCCGCACCCCAAAGTTCGAGACCCCCCCAACCCGCACCTCCCCCTCCTTAATTGCATCCTCCACCGCCTTCCAGCACTCCAGCCGCTTCTCCCGCCCGCCATACGGACTGTGAATCAGGTACAGATCCAGGTATTCCATCCCGCTCTTCCTAATACTCTCCTTAATCGCCTTCCTCGTCGCATCGTAACTCGTGTTATTAGCCAGCTTGGTCGTAAACCAGATATCGCTCCTCTGGAGCTGGGAAGAGGCAAGGTATTTCCGGATCGCGGACCCCACCTCCCTCTCATTCCTGTACATCTCGGCCGAGTCGATGGCTCGGTATCCAGCGTCGAGCGCCATGGCGACGGCCGACGACGTCTCGTTGCCCGAGGTCATGTAGACACCCAGGTGGATGCGCGGCATCGAGATGGCCCCGACCTTGATGGTGCTGGCGAGAGAGTAGGGTGAGGAGGCCATGGTGTTTGTAGTCGTACTGTCTGTCTGTATTGCTCGCTGTATACCTAGTTTTCCAAGTCGTGTATCGTAATGCTTCCGAGCGGTTGTCCTGTTCGTCTTTTTTCTCACTGAGAATCTGGAGAATCCCTAGATGGCATCAAGCCCGTCGAAGGCGCGCACACACGCACATATATATACAAATCCCCCACTATCGATGATGTCGCGATGAAGTCAGTCTTTTGGTCGTCACCACTGTAAACCCCTTCGGACTTTCGGCGATGCCCATCACTTAACGCCTATAAGCGGTGTAAGCCAGCAGAATCACCCAAATGACGTATCTATATCCCCTCCTCGCATGGTGCCTGCCCCCGCCCGAGAATCCATCCCACTTATATATTTCATTAGACCAAATGCAAACACAAAGCAAACAAACTTGCCATCCCTCGGTCGTCTAGTTGGTTTATGGCGTCCGGCTGTAATTGTCACAGTCTCACCGGAATGGTATGTTCTCTTCAACCCCAATTTCTCTCAGACATCTGCTAACAGATGTAACAGTCGCGCGTTCGACTCGCGCCTGAGGGACTTCAAAAAATCTTTTTTTATTTCTTTTTTTTATTTTTATTGTGCCTCTTTTGGCGGAGGTGCTGTTTTTTGGGACGGTAGGTGGAGTTTTGACTCTTGAGGTGAGGTAGCGGATTGGTTGGTTGGTTGGCTTGCACCCGATCGCATAATCGTGGGGTATAAACGGTTCCAATCTTCCAGAACACTTCCACAAACCTTATCACCAGCATGAGCCTAATCTTCCATTTCACTCCTCAAGCTCGCTATCATCCCCTCTAAACATGATATGGGAAGTCATTTTTATCCCCCTCTTATTCATTCCAACTCTGGTGCTCATGGCACTCTGTGACCTGCCGGCGCGGTTCCGGCGCAGCTCGCGGAAAGGCAAAGGCGAAGGCGAAGGGACAGCGCGGAGAAAGCAGCAGCAGCAGCGACGGCGGGTTTGATTTCGATGCGTTCTTCTAGGTCTTATCGAATTGTGGTTTTTTGGGGGGAGGGGAGGATGGGTGGTGAACTTGCTCTGTACCTGGGTAGGTACGCATGACATCTGGTCTCTCTCTTCGTGGAGCAGCTGTTGATGTCGATGGGTTTCAGGACGGAGAGTTCGGATTCGGGCGTCGAAGGGGTTTGAGGGGATCGGTGGTGTAGGTTATATAGTAGCAGATAACGTTAAATATCTATATCAGGAAAGGTTTCCATCATACACAGTGCTTACCTGTTCTGCTCGTGCAAAACTGCTCAGGATGCGGTTCTAGATTAGAGGTTCAAGAATGTATTCTATAAATCATTCTGCATCGAATTCATCTCCTCTGCTGTTATTTCCTACCGCCTGAGTATATTATAATAAAACAGACGGTCGAGTAGCAGTTGAATAAAAGGCGTGTGAAGTACTGGAGTTAGGGAGTTAAAAAGAATAGGAGAAGAGAAGAGAAGGGGGGGGGGGGAGGGGGGGCGCATATCACGTGTTATCGCAATCGATCGATCGTTTTCAGAGAAGAGATTCTTACACAGTACCTAGGTAGGTGAGGTACTTATTACATGGGTAGGATTGTAGCCACCTTACTGTCACATCTCATAATCCAGGAAACAGTTTCTTTGAAATTCCAAAACCTGGTGTTCCCCAGCCTTTGATACCCAAGGTAAGGTACCTAGGTACAGAGTAGAGGTGATTATGTAATTAGGATCGCCAGTAACGATGGATACCTTGTGTATGCGTGCCTTATATGTGAGGCAATTATCAACATCGTATACCCAGGGAGCCTTTTGATCGTGGAGCCGCCGACGTTTTTCTGGGAGTGGGTTTGTATATGCAGTGGCTCTCACTGGAATTAAAGCGGTATGGATGTTTTCCGGATGCTTTTCTGTTACACCGCGCGTGGAACTAGGGGCTGTGTAGCTGTTTCTTGGGCCTTGGTCTTGCATGAAAATGACTATCTAATGGACCCCGGACGTCTCCTTGCGGCATAGGCATCTTGGTATCTACCTAATCGTAGACTTTCGTTTTAGTGTGTCTCCTTTTGTATCCACTCAGAGTTCCAAAGTTAACAGGAGCTAGTTAGTCGCGAAGTGAGTTTGTCCGAGATATAGTTTTGGTAGTGATTCCTATACAATCTTTATTTTGACTCGACCAAATAGACTACTATGTTGACACTAAAACTGTATCATTATTGGTTAACCAGTCAAGAATAAACATAGACTCATCTAAGTCTCCCTCGTTATATAGGGACAGAAATCCTTTCAGTACCACAAGTCCCTCCTATATGGACTTTGTATACTATCAAAACTGTATCGCGGATTATTTCCGCTCCGCGGACTAATTCGCTTCTGTCGATTCTAAGTAAACGCGAAAAGACGACGCACTTGAGCGAAATCGACGATTAAAATAAGAAAATAGTCAAGGATCTCATCGGATGCCTCGGCATCCATCTGGCCAATTCGCACGTGGGAGCGTAATTCGGCCCCCTAATTTGCCGATCAACAACCAGTTCGACGTGGTTGATTAAGGTACCTATTGACGAATACAGCTTCAAATTGCCTGCCCTACATATATTGCTGTAGATTCTGCAGGTTCGACGATTGGTCTATTACATGCAACATCGTATGCAGACTCTCTATGACTTCATCAATACCGTGGTGCATGGAGGCACTGCTCTAAAAGTGGAGGGAGCAAATGGGTCAAGGGGAACCTCAAGGGAGATATACTGGAAAGATGGGATACAGGGTGATCGATCAACCTTGCAAGGTATGATTATAAGTGCCAAGACAGACACCAAGCTGGCTAGCAACGGCTACAAGAAGATGCTTAGATGATATCGTTAAGTCTGGTTGATCTCCATCGCATCGCTGTCCTGTTTTCGGTCACAAGGTCCACCGGCTATATATAATAGATTTGGAATTGGATCAAGTTGTCGATTCTCCAGGCCGCTGGTTGAAGAGCGACAAACTATTAACCGACTAAGGTAGGTACGCATATCCCATTCTTTACCCCGCACCCCGCACCCCATGGGCCGCTATTCCGGTTCGGCGAATCAGAATTCGTCCGAAACATGAAGCATTAGATTCCACGAAGCTGCTCCTAGTCTCGTGGGAAGTCTTGGGACGGCGGACGGCGTCTTTCCCTCCTATCGACTATAAAGTACCACGCCTGCTCGTCGGTACCAACAGACCCTGTCTCCTTGACCAGCTTCACTTCGATTTCCAGGCTGTAGGATTGGAATAGGGTCAAGCTAGACTTGTACATCTATCTTCCCATCATGGCGTTCCTGATCCCTCTGGCGCTCTGCGCCTTTGTCGGTCTCACTTATGTCATTCTCTTTGTCGGAAAAAGAGAGCGTAACCTTCCTGGCGGTATGCGTTGCCCTGTGTAAATATTAGAGAGCAGAGCAGCTTATGTGTTTCTGTGCAGGTCCACCGACATTGCCTATCATTGGAAATCTCCATCAGATGCCATTAAAAAATGCCCACTTGAAGCATGTCTCCCTCGTGCTGGCTCTTACCTGCGCACTCACTGACCTGACTTAGGTTCACCGAATGGGCCAAAGAGTACGGTGGAATGTACTCGCTGAAGCTCGGCACTGGCACAATGATCGTGATTACAGACCGCCGGCTGGTCAAAGAACTCGTCGACAAGAAATCCTCCATCTACAATGGCCGACCGGAATCCTATGTTGGAAACGGAATCATTACAGGAGGCGATCATCTACTCGCCATGGATTACGGAGAGCTGTGGCGCGCTTTCCGCAAGGTTATCTACCAGCACTTCAAGGAGACCATGGTTGAGAAAGAGCATACCAAGGTGGTGAACGCCGAGGCGATCCAGATGTGTCGGGACTTTCTGCTCGCCCCTAACAAGCAAATGTTACACCCGAAGAGATTCAGTAATAGCATTACCATGAGCTTGCGTAAGTTTCGTCTCCAGCAGGGCTCCTCTATTTCTTCTGACATGCGAGATAGTATTTGGAGTCCGCACACCCACGCACGACACGCGGCACATGATCAAGCTGTACGATATGATGGAGGATTGGTCAAAGGTTATGGAAACCGGAAACACTCCCCCGGTGGACATCTATCCCTTCCTGCACTGGATCCCTGAGCGATTCTTGGGTATGTGGGCTTCACGTGCGAAAGCCGTTGGCGACTCCATGAACCAGCTATACGCCGAATTCTTAGACGTCGTCATCGAGCGACGAAAGATTAAGGGGAGCAAAGGTTCTTTCATGGATAAGGTCCTGGACGAGAACGAAAAGCATGGGTTCAACAGACATCAGTTGTATTTCCTGGGGGGCGTGATGATGGAAGGTGGTTCAGATACTTCATCCTCAATTGTCATTGCTTTTATCCATGCAATGACAAAGTGGCCCGAGATTCAGAAGAAGGCGCAAAAACAGATTGATGCAGTTGTCGGAGAAGACAGGACACCGGTCTGGGAAGACTATGACAAGCTACCTTACGTGGCTGCGATTGTCAAAGAGGCCATGAGATGGAGACCGGTTGTTCCCCTTGGCTTCCCTCATGCTCTGTCTGAAGGTATGTAATCTTTCTCTCACTTCCCACTAGTATCCTGAAGTACATTTCTAACGTGGTCGCAGATGACTGGGTCGATGGTAAATTCCTTCCCAAAGGTAGCACTATCATCCTCAATGCATGGGGTATGCATCATGACCCAGTTCGCTTCCCCAACCCCGATGTCTTTGATCCAGACCATTACTTGGGCGTCACCAAATTGGCTGCCCACCTCGCCAGTTCCGCCGACTATGAGGATCGCGACCACTATGGATACGGCACTGGACGCCGTCTATGCCCCGGTATCCATCTTGCAGAACGGAACCTGTTCCTTGGAATTGCCAAGCTGCTTTGGGGCTTTAACATTAGTCCCGGCAGAGACGAAAACGGTGCGATCATTGAGCCGGACGTTGATCCCAAGAGGGCATACAGTGAGGGCTTCCTGGTTTGTGCCCATCCGTTCCCATGTGAGTTCAAGGTCAGGAGTAAGGCGAGGGAGGAAACAATTATGAGAGAGTTCAAAGAGGTGGAAGAGAAAGTGTTTTCAGCCTACGAAAACCCTGTGGCTTAAGAGCTCAGCTGCTCGGCTGTGTCAACCTGTACTGGATAAGTATAGCTAGCATCTCTAATAATAAAGCGAGTCAAATGAACCCAGATGGGTGCCAGCATACCCTAGGTACTTTGAGCATAACGAACCTATAATCGCAGACAGAGTGCTTATATCTTCACAGGTCAATTGACCCTTTGACCTTCTCAACTGATACGGCTGCGAAATGTCGGGCGCAGAGCTTCGAGATAATATCTTTATTCTGACTTCAACATTGCCCGGCGATCCGGAGGCATGGAGTTAACACGGAGTAATCTCCTAGCCAAGATCTCTGCACACCATGTTACGCAATTTGACAATGCATGATCTGATCAGCACCAGTCCGCCGGGGCCTGTATCAGGTCTTTGTTCCTTTTGGAACTTGAAACGCGGTACCGGTACTTGGAGTGCCGCGACGCAACGTTCCATCTGATATAGAACTTGTCGATGAATCTATTGAGATGAGATTGAGGAATGACCGTAAGATGGTAAGCAGATCGTAATAATTGTGTTCATGTTTATATTTCGAATATTTTATAAACATAAAAGATCATACAGAGGTATCTGTGGTGTTGCTGGTATTATTAATCTTTACGAGCGAATCACAAGCCGCCATCGCCGCACAAGCGAAGAGGGGCAAACCTTGTTATCATGTCTGGTTTGATCGGCGCATCCTTCTTCGCGGCTTCTTTGCTATCTGTGATCTATCTATTATCTGCTATCTAGATAGCTTCACCTACAGTCCAAACTTCTATTTATCAATAGCCATTCTTCGTCTCTTCCTACCATGTCCCGCACCGCCCCGCGCTCCGCCAGGCTGTGCAAAGCCGGATTCCTAGTGGAATCGGGATCTCGACAGCTGTTGACTCCGTCATTCCGCTGGATCCTGGATCCCGAATCCTGATGCTGGTACATCCGCTGAAGCTTTTGAATTCACCACGGGCCCCCTCGGTCCATAAGTACTGTACCTGAGTACGGAGAGTATTTCCGCCAGGGGCGAGCTGCTCCGGGCGGAGGACCGCGGGATCATCCTTCTCCTAACCAATCACAACTCATGGACCTACCCCCCAATGCTCCCTGCGACAGCCGGCAGGAATCTTATTTCGAGGACATCCCTGCCTCTCGAGGTGACTGGTAGGGCATCTCATGGAGCCGGCCAGGCACATTATGAACCTCCCGTTTTTGTACAACCTTATCCCAACTCGACCTTCTAGAAGAGGATCATTAACCATGTCGAATATGCGTGAACGGCCAAAAGATAACATAACAAATCCATGAGCTGAGTCGGATGGGTCCTAAAGGACCGAATCCGTACTCCATGGCAGCAGTACTTTTACGTGCTTTTATTCCTCTCGAACCCAAGGCGGGCTTCGAACCTCTACGCCTCTGTTGAAATGCATTTATAGAGCGATCATCCGCTCATTAAGTCTTAGTTTTGATCAGCCACGTTTGACCCACCTTACCAGAGCTTGCGCCTTGTATACTTGTTGAATCTTGCATTTATCAACATATTCATTGCTTTGGAACCATGCGTTCAACACATTCCTTCACCTTGGGCGCAGCGCTCTTGTGTGTCCTTAGTAGCACGAATGCGTATAAACTGGTCGACACGTTTGACAGTACGAACTTCTTTGACGAGTTCAGTTTCTTCACGGGCACGGATCCAACCCAGGGATACGTCGATTATGTCTCTGAATCTGCTGCTAACAACAGCCATCTGGTACGGACTCAAAACAACCAGGTCTACATGGGGGTCGACTACACCACCAAAAATCCATCCGGCGGAAGGAAGTCCGTACGAGTAAGTAGCAACAAAGCATACAGTAAGTAAATGTGCCTTCATGTAGGAGTACGCTTTTACTAACTCTTAACAGCCCAGGGGCTTTTCATCGCTGACATCGCACACATGCCCGGTGGGATTTGTGGGTATGTTCAACCTGACTTCTAAGACAACAACTCTATAAGCATTGGCTAATGAAATTGGAACAGCACATGGCCAGCATTCTGGACATTTGGTCCCAACTGGCCATCCAGTGGTGAGATTGACATCATTGAGGGCGTCAACAGCGCCAATACAAACACAATACATCTCCATACCTCACCCGGATGCACAGTAAGCAGTCAGAACTCAGCGTCTGGCACTTCGTCGCTCGGCAACGACTGTAGCGCGGGAAATTCAAACACAGGCTGTGGCGTCAGCACGTCGAATACCAACGCATACGGAACCGGCTTTAATGCCAATAAAGGTGGGGTTTACGCCATGCAGTGGGCGTCGAACGGAATCTACATCTGGTTCTGGCAACGGGGCCAAGTGCCAGCCGGCATTACCAACGGCTCCCCAGATACCTCACATTGGGGTACTCCTATGGCATCCTTCTCGGGGTCGGGCTGCGATTTTGCCTCGTCCTTCAAAAACCATAACATAATCTTCGACTCGACGTTTTGTGGTTCCTGGGCCGGGCAACAAAGTGTGTGGTCCAGCGGCTCGTGTGCCAGTCTTGCTTCCTCTTGCAATGACTACGTTTCAAACAATCCGTCTGCGTTCAAGGACGCATACTGGCTGATCAACTCGGTGAAGGTTTACCAGTAGTCGTTGGCATGTGTACTTTTTGCTATGGTTGCGTCTAACTTTTGCGGGCAAGGGGGAATGGCGACTTGGGCTCCTGGAGTTTTCTGGCGCATGATATCCCAAACGGATTTATATTTTTTGCTTCGGGGCACTGTTTTTTTGCACTGATTTTTACACTGTTTCTTGTTTGTACTACTTATGGATTTCTATTGTACATTATACATTCGGGAGGCAGGGTTTCAACGATATGTCTTCAACCTCATTTTAGAAGGTGTCTATGTTAGGAGTTGCTGAATTACGGAATGAAAACATTTTGCAGTATATTCACGTTCGAGTAAAATCGACAGTATTGACTATTGAGTAAGTGGGAAATAATCAACTATTCAAGCCCTGCTGCTCGCAACATACGGGGAGAAAACCTCCTACAGCCTATAAGAAAATAAAATCTTTATTTATCCACAGACAGCGCTTAGTTAGTGAAAAGCAAACTGCTCGCTCAAATACCACCAAACCCATTAATTATACTTCACATCTACAAACCCTATATAATACTTAACACCGCTGACTTCCCGTTCACGTTCACGTTAAAAAAGACCTGGATGTACGCCCCAAGAATCATTCTCCAGAATTGGAAGATTTGTTAGTGATATATCAGTCACGATATTATAAATCTTGATGATTTCTGATTCTGATTCTGATTCTGGATAGGAATAAGAACAGTGCTAATAAGGAAGACACATATCCAGATTTCAAATTGTATAATCAACACTGTTCCATTTCCAGTGCCATAAATAGCGGAAACTAAGGGCCAGAGGCACAATGTATGCAATTCTCATTTTCAACCCCGGAGCGTCGGCTTGAAGTTTTTTCTTTCTTGTACATGTCTCAAAACAAATGGAAAGGAATCGAGCTATATATGTTTTCTGTTGTTGTACAGAAATATAAAGCTGGGTCTCATGTAGAAATAGAATACCGAGCGAGGCCCGGTTCCAGAATATTGTATGTATCCTTGATTCATTGCATGGCGATTGTATTACCAGTTTTCTGACATGCGTCTAGGATTGACAAAGGTAGCACTAATGATGTGTAGCCGGGAGAAAAAGCGTGAGGACGGAAACCCTTGTGTATGGTCATTCATGATGTGATGAGTAATAGCATGTTATGAAGTTAAGTTACTAAATTACACATGCTAATAGAGCTGTGGTATTTATTCTGATACTTGCTGGACATGAGGAACGGAGCAAAGACCCCCAAAGCAGCAATAGGGACACCAAGGATCATCATATCTCAGCAACACACAGATATCCGGGACAGCCTTGGTTCCTAGTGCATCCATGTTTCAAGCTTACTCCACAAATATCGGTGTCACAGGATCTTCAGCATACAGCTTGAAGGTATTGACATACTCGAAGAATGAGGCTTTGTAATTTCTCTCATACGTCGTAAAATTGACGTACTGCATCCCGAACTTCGCATGATAGCCTAAAAAAGGTCAGTGGTAAATTTGTACTGAAGACGAAGAACTCACCAGAGGTCCACTCGAGATTGTCCATAATCGACCATGCAAGACATCCTACCACGTTCACACCTTCCGATATGGCAATCAAAACGGATTCCAGATAATTTCGAAAATAAGCAGACCTTGTATAATCGCTCAAAATGTCCTCCTTCAGAGTTCTGAGTTCCTCATATGGTTCCGTCCAGCCAAATTCGCTGATGGCAATACCACCAGAGGGCCAGGTGTCTTGGATATAACGGAGAAATGCTGGGACCCAATCTGTCGCACGCTGTAGCCATGGTGAGTACATGTCGGACGCGGCGCCAATTAGCCACCCGGTAGGACCAGTGTTACTTGAGTTGTAGCATCCAGGGTAGAGCGGGTTGGAAGAATTTGTAAGGCAGTCAGCGACGCCGACGTCAGGTGCGAAGTAGAAGTACGAGGTGTAGGCGTCATGAGCAAAGATATCAGCGGTACCATTTATCAATGACTTCTGCTCATTGGTAAATTCAAGCCCCAGAGTTGAGACGTGATCTTTCAGCGATTGTGGATAATCGCCATTGACGAAAACTGGATTCGCAAACCACCCCTCATTAAAATCCCAAGCCCTCTGGGTCGCTAAGGCATCATCTGTTGAATTTGTCAACGGAATTTTATATCCACCATTGTTTTTGAATGAAATTGTTCCATTTATACCCATGGACTTTGCTAGACGGTACGCAGAGGCGTGTGCTAACAACGCATGATGACCACAGAAAAACGGCTGGGCCTCAGGGGGAATGGTCACGGCAGTGAAGTAGCCTTTTGGCATCTAGCAAAAGATCAGCAGAGATTCATTTTGGACAGGGAATGTCCAAAGGGTTTGTGAAATTTGGTGGAAATGACTGACTGGATATTCCTGGCAAAATTCGATAGGCTCGTTGAGCGTGAACCAGTGAGATACCCTATTTCCATATCGACTGAAAACTACCTTGGCATACGAGAGGAAATCGTCCACAATTTCGTCACTCAACCACCCGCCATACGAATTTTGTAGGAACAATGGAAGATCCCAGTGATATAGAGTAACCATTGGCTTCACGCCGTATTGGAGGCAGGTATTGATCACATCGTCGTAGTGTGCTAGGGCGAGCTCATTGACAGGTCCTTTACCAAAAGGGAATATCCTGGACCAAGAGATGGAGAAAGAGTAATAGGGCACACCGAGAGCAGCTATCCGAGCGATATCTGTTGAATAGTCAGTAACCGATTCTCATAGATCCAAGCCATACTTTACCCTGCTTGTACAGGTAATACTGGTTGTCACCCACGTCACCCGTATCATTCGAAACCGTAAGATAGGTAGCTCGGTGGGTGAAGACGTCCCAGATTGAAGGTCCACGTCCTTCAGCCTGTGCTGCACCTTCGATCTGATATGCCGCAGATGAAACCCCCCAGAAAAAGCCAGACGGGAATTTCCAGCTCTCATTCATTGATACCAGAGGGGACTGGTAGCCGCTTGGGAAAGCGGAATAGTATAGAGGAGGTGGAGGAACCAATTCACTGGTAGGAATGGGGGTGGCTTCTACAGTTGTATTGATGGTGGCTGTCTGAACTGGGCCCACGAAGAGATCCCAGTATTCTGCAGAAATGTTGGTATACAACCAGAACATGCGGGATAATAGCACCTACGCTTGAGATCAAGTGTAATGGGCGTAGCAAATGCCGATGGGTTTGCCACTGGGGATCCGTTGTTGGCTGTGGTGGTGGCATTCTCTGTGAGTAGAAGGGATCCGGTAGAGTTGGACGCTGCTGCAAGTGTGAGACCTGCGATTAGCAGGCAAATGTTCAAGGAGAGCTTCATAGCAAGAACGTGAGAAAGAGACAATAAACACGGCCAATTGATGCTATTCTAAACCCATCATCTGCAACGGGTTAATTTTCCTTTTGTATGGTTCCATGCCCCGCTCAATGGCGGGGTTGCACCTTCTTCCACGATCATGGTCAAGATCGTCTCCTCATTCAGGAGTTCACTTCAGCCTTTATCCGGGGCAGCGGGGAGCCTCGTCAAGGATCGCAAGTTGCTGCGTGGTTATTGGTGGTTATTGGCGTGGTTGTTGAAGATGGATGAATAGATATTTACCAGAGACTGTTCACGAGCCTCGGCAAAGCACAGAGCGAGCGACATTCGGCAAGGCACGTCACGTGATCACGTGAGCCCCTGCAAGACACGGGGACACGGGTATTCCACGGGTATACCAAGGGTATCCCTGCCGGCACGGGTATTATACGGGTACCCCTGCCGACGCGAATGAGGGTGAGCGCTCTGAGACCCGAGATCCATCGGCCCAAGTATACCTATGTTGTAAGGTTGCACTGTATCTCTTGTGACCTCGGAATGGCTATCGCGATGCTCGACACACATGCAAGAAGTATCTGCGCATCAACACTTGCTCTGATCATCTTTCAACATTGTATATTGTCTCGGTTTCCGGGTATATTCCTGTCTTCTGCGGATCCGTAATCCTTGCCCTACATAAGTATTCCTGACTTCCTAACTCCTGAACTCCATACTCACATATGCAATGCCTTGGGCGACTCATCTAACTCATCAAATCAAGTCCCTTATCCCGTTTGAGTTTATCCGCTAACACCGCCAACGCGCTACTGGCCGCGCTTCGCTCAACTGCGCGACCGGGAAAATCTACCAAAGCGATTCGCAATGCTGCCAGTGCTGCATTCCCATAGAAGCCCAAGAACCTTTGCTCGTAATTCTCCACCATGGACTTCAGGACGACATACTGCGTTGATGATGCCTCGGAGGGTGGGGTTGAGGTGATGCTTGCCATTGCCCGCCAGTAATGCCATGGCGGCCAAGGGTTTTCATTTCGGGATTTTGAGAAGTCTCGGAGGGAAATAGCAGCATACCCGGCCCCGAGACCAGTCATTCGAGTGACGTGAACCTGCTCCGGAATCCAATTCCCCTCATCATCTTTCTTCCATCCCAACCTCGCTCGTCCTTCCTCCGTCCTTTCGCTTCCTCTGATGCCCCACAAGACAGGACATGCCACCCGCATTTTAGCCATCAGAATGTCTATCAGGCTGTGTCCACGCCAGCCTAACTCGGGATTGGAAAATATGGATGCCACGACAATTCCAATGGGTTCAGCAGCCTTGGGCGACACGCCAGCTTCGTCAACAAATTGAGCGACGACCGCCTTCGCAAATTGGTTGAGAAGGTATATGAATAACATTGGAAGCTCATCGCCGTTGTTCCTGACATCCTGTTGGCTGGGACCGGGCTTTGAGACCATGAATATACTTGGATCAACGCCAGGGCTGCCAACCTGGAATGATTCTTTAAGCACGGCAACAATTTTTGCCATCTGTAGTGAACTGTTAAAGCCGTATCACCAGTAACGGAGCAATGCATACTTACAGGTTGTTTATTGGACCCCTTCTCCCCCGTCAATTGACCCATGGAAGTCCTGATTGCTCGGCGCATCTCCCCCGTCTTCTTCTTAAAGGGGAGATTCTGCTTTCCTTCATTGACGATCGTTGCTCTCAACTTCTTTAGAGATTGGTGAATTTCCGTGTAGCGATCGACGTCAGCAAGAATATGGGGGGGTTTCTTGGAGGCCGACGGAGCTAGTTGTGTGGGAGCCGGTTTTGTCTGTTCTTTTGAGGGAGGCTGCACCGTGGTTACGGAGCTCTGCTGGGGCTGCGGAGCCTTTTGAGGAGGAGTTTGATCTGCAGGACTCGTAGGTTTTGAGGTCGGCTTGGGAAGTTGGTTGTTTGGTTGAGCTGTGAGTTTCTGAGCAGCCGGGACTTGAGGCTTCGGTGCTTGAGCCGCTGGCGCTGGAGCGGCTGGAGCTTGAACAGCGGGTGGCGGAGGTGAAGGTGCGCGGGGAGGAGGGGTTTTGACCCTCGGTGCCGGGACTGGTATTTGTTTCTTCTTGTTCTCGATCTCTCGCAGTCTACACTCCTCCTTCGCGCGCTCCGTTTCAATCCGGACGCGTTCCTCCTCTTGTAAAGCTTGCAGCCGGAGCCTTTCTTGTGCCTCCCGCAGCTCGTTCAATTCGTAGGCGCGTAATGCAATTGCTCGAACCCTCTCGTGCTCGGCGAGGGCTGCTGCAAGGGCGTCTTTGTGAACGTCCTCGGCATTGCGAGTTTCAAATCGCATGTCGTGATTGTAGGGCGATCCAATATGGCTTCTCCTCAGCATAGACGGCAAGTCATCATCGCCAGAGGCTTGGGACCCCATGGCTTTGTTGCATGGAGAGGAGAGGCTGGTGAGGAAGCCCGCACTCGATCGTTGAGCAAAGAAACATTTTGCCCAAGGCGGAGGCAGACGAACCGGATTGCCGCACTACGGCCACGGCGAGGACTGTTATCTGCACACCCCGCATCCCCGGCCCATAGGAAGACGCCGTCGGCTGGAGGCTATGGTTGACGAGGATGGTCGTGAGCTGGCCGGGAGCAAAAGAGGATGAAGAGGAGAGGAGACTGGATGTCGAAGAGCTGCATCGATACTATTCATAGGATTCACCCACGCAGCTTTCATTCACCCCACGAAATATCACATGGTGTCGGCAGCTACCGAGCACGTGAGGCGGCTCCTAAAAGATTCGAGACCAACCCTTCTAAGGGTGAGGAGTCCAATGCGGTTCTAGTTACCTACATTACATACCTACAGTACCTACCAAGACATATATCGAGGAATGCGTCCGTCAATCCACCTCCATCTCTTTGTCGACGTTCTTTATCCTCAGACCCAACTCATCTCACCACTTTCGTAAACGCATCAATCCAGCCCCGTGCCCTTATTACGCGAGCTCTCTCGGCAAACTAGGCGCCAAGGTTGCCACCTTATTAGTCAAATTCGCAGTCGACAGGGAAAGCGTCAGGCGAGAAGCATCGCATAGCTCGAACCATCATATCTCTCGACAACATCCCCAAATTCTCCCTAACTCCAACTCTCCCACACCCACATCCTCGAATCGTCGAGAACCACTCCTTCACACCAGCCTCTTCATATCCTCTCCTTTGCCCTCCTTTGGTTCTTCTGCTACAATCTTTCGGACTGCCCACAAGAAATCCATCTGTCTCGACCGCACTCGGCGTGCACTTGTCCCATTAGCCATGGAGCATAAGCAGAATCAACCACCCCCTGGTGGTGTCCCGGGCCCAACCGGCCGCAGACTGCATATCGCCCATCGCAGGAGTCCTTCTGAGCTTACGCCTCTGATGAGCATGTTCTCGTCGCCTGGAAGTAAGTTCTCTCTGTTTGTTTCTTCAGCTGCTCCAATGGCTGTCGTCATCGAATGCCATCATCGATATCGAGTCATCACTAACAACGCCTAAGTGGAACAACTTGCAATACAGCAACAGATCGAACTGCTCCAGCAGCAGCAGCAGCAGATTCAAGCTACGCATCAGCAGTATGTGAACATGGGAATGATCCCACCGAGTCAACACCTCGCACCCGGCGGTTACCCCATACAGCAACAGATGCAGAATCTGTCACCACAGTCGGCGTTCCAATTCCCAAACCAGCTACAACAGCAACAGATGAACGCACCAATGGGTGCTCCAACGCAACCGTTGTCACATCGCCGTAATCAATCGGCACTGCCCAACATGGGCATGGGTCCTCCACCTGCTCCGTCCTCTGGCACATCCGGATCCGCATTCGGTGATTTCGGAGGACACAATCGGGAGAACGTATCTGCTCGAGGTGGCAGAGGTGGTGGGCCTCCCGGCGGTGGGCATCAACGTCGACACTCTCTCGCGTTACCGGAAGCCAAGAAGGCGGCGGAATTAGCCCAGCAGAAACGGACCACGTCCGGGTTCCAATTCCCCATTCCTGGAGCTGGCGGTGCTTCCCCGTCAAATGCAGATCAGACGGATAGTCCTCCCGCAGATGACAAGAATGGTCAGGGTCAGAACACTGGAAATCATGTTTCGACGGGCTCAAATTTGCGGGGTCGGGGCTCTGCTCATGGAAGAAGCCAAAGTTTGGCTATCGGCGCAAATGGACGAGGTGGTTCATCTATGCGCGGTGGCGGCTCCTTCCAATTCCCCCCGATGCAAGCGACAGCAGATGCAGGCGCTGGAGGTCAAAACCAAGGACATGGCAATGACTTCTCGAGACGAGCAGGTTCTACTGGACATAACCGAACCTCATCTCGAAATTTTGAAGGTAACTGGAGAAACCAGCCACCTCAGCAACCCCAGCAAGATCAGCAGGGGCAAATGGGTAATTTTCAGGGCCAACAGCAAGGCGGTTTTCAGCCCGGTCATCGCAATCGTGGCTCGATGAACCAGTCGATGAGCTCCATTGGCAACTTCCAGTATGGTGGACAACCTCAACTGGTCCAGTTGCCACAGGGCCAGATGGCTCTTGTTCACCCTCAACTTTACCCTGGTCAGCAACTGAATCCGTTGCAGATCAGTCAGCTCCAGGCTCTACAGGCTTCACAGATGAATGGCCATGTCGGACTGCAGGGCAGCCAGCACGCCCCACAACTCTCTGCACAGCAACAACAGCAGCAGCGCAAGACACTTTTCACTCCCTATTTGCCACAGGCCACGCTTCCAGCCCTCCTTGGTGATGGCCAGTTGGTTTCCGGCATCCTACGTGTTAATAAGAAGAACCGTAGTGATGCGTATGTCTCAACTCAAGACGGCCTTCTCGATGCCGATATCTTCATCTGTGGTAGCAAGGATCGAAACAGAGCTTTGGAAGGGGATTTGGTTGCTGTAGAATTGCTCGATGTGGACGAAGTCTGGGGTCAGAAACGAGAGAAGGAAGAAAAGAAGAAGCGCAAGGATATTACCGACACGCGGACCGGTGGATCAGGCAATGGGAATGGCGAAAGATCACACCGTGACAACTCTACAAACGGCGATGATCAGTCAAACACTGCTGATGGTGGGATCCGGAGACGCGGCAGCTTGAGGCAACGCCCGACTCAGAAGAAGAATGACGATGTTGAAGTGGAAGGTCAAAGTCTTCTCCTCGTTGAGGAAGAAGAGGTCAATGATGAACAGAAGCCACTTTACGCAGGCCACATCGTTGCCGTTATCGAACGCGTTGCTGGCCAGATGTTCTCTGGCACGCTCGGGTTGCTTCGCCCAAGCAGTCAAGCTACGAAAGAAAAGCAAGAAGCTGAACGTCAGGCCAGAGATGGGGGTAACGGTCGCCACCAAGAGTCCCGTCAACCAGAAAAGCCAAAGATTGTCTGGTTCAAGCCAACTGACAAACGAGTCCCACTGATCGCCATCCCTACCGAGCAGGCACCACGTGATTTCGTGGAAAAGCACCAAGAGTACGCCGATCGAATCTTCGTTGCTTGTATCAAGAGGTGGCCAATCACTTCCCTCCACCCCTTTGGTACACTTGTCGAACAGCTCGGCAAGATGGGCGAATTGAAGGTCGAGACGGATGCTCTCCTCAGGGACAACAACTTTGCCTCGGATGAATTCTCCGACGCTGTCATTCGCAGCATTGGTCTCGACGATTGGTCTCTTGAGAAGGAAGACCAGGAAGCACTTGCTGCACGACGGGATTTCCGAAGTGAGAGGACCTTCACGATTGACCCTAACCATGCAGAGGAGCTTGATGATGCCATTCACGTCAAGACTGAAGTAGATGGGAAGATCGAGATCGGTATCCATATCGCCGATGTTGCTCACTTCATCAAAGCAAACTCTCTCGTTGATCGTGAGGCCAAGAAGCGTGGTACGGCCGTTTATCTAATGAACAGAACTTGCGCAATGCTCCCACCGAAGATTGCTTCTGATATCTGCTCCTTGATCCCTGGTCAGGAACGTCTCACCGTCAGCGTGGTCTTCAAGGTCAATCCTCACACTGGCGTTGTCTACGAGGACGAGACATGGATTGGAAAGGGCATAATCAAGAGCGGCGGCAAACTAACATTCAAAGAAGTTGACGCTGTGCTCTCGGGCCACCTTGACACAAAGCTCCAGGGAGCCGAGGTCAAGGATATCCAGATTCTCCACGTGAGTTAATTATCATTCTCTGTTTTTCTGGCCTTTCTAACAAGTAGCAGGCTGTTGCGCAGAAATTCCGAGAATCTCGCCTCGGAACAGACGGGGAGACCATCGCTCCTTTGAGACTCATTTACCAGCTTGATGACGAAAATGTCCCTGTCGAGCAAAACATCTTCCAGTCCACGCCTTCCCATGAGCTAATCGAGGAACTGCTGCATAAGGCGAATGCATATGTCGCACAGAAGATCGCAAAGGGCCTGCCCGAAAAGGCTCTCCTCCGTCGGCAAGGGCCCCCCAACCCTCGGCGACTCCAAACCTTTGCCGATCGAATGAACAAGATCGGCTACGAAATAGATACGACCAGCAGCGGAACCCTCCAGAACAGTCTATTCAAAGTCGACGACACAAACATTCGCAAGGGGATGGAAACCCTTCTGGTGAAGACTATGCAGCGCGCGAAGTACTACATTGCCGGAAAGACCCCTCAACACCTCTACCCGCACTATGCTCTCAACTTGCCTCTCTACACCCATTTCACAAACCCGTCCCGCCGTTATGCCGATTTAGTCGTTCATAGACAGCTCGAGGCCGTTCTTTCCGAAGGCAAAATCGAGTACACTGAGGATATTGAGACTCTTGTCAAGACAACCGAGTCTTGCAACACCAAGAAAGACTCCGCTCAGAATGCCCAAGAACAAAGTGTGCACATCGAGTCATGCAGGATCATGGACAGAAAACGCGAGGAGGTCGGCGGTGAGCTCATCAGCGAGGGCATCGTTCTTTGCGTGTACGATTCGGCCTTCGATGTTCTGATACCTGAATATGGTTTTGAGAAGAGAGTGCATTGTGATCAGCTCCCACTGAAAAAGGCCGAGTTCAGAAAGAATGAGCGCATTCTGGAACTGTACTGGGAGAAGGGCGTACCTTCATCCGCATATGTTCCAGAGGATGAGCGCCCAAAGGCCGGTGTATCCCAACGCACGGCCAATGCCGTAGCTGCCGCCAAGCAGGCTGCAGTTGCCGAGCGAGCTAAGAAAGAGCACGAGGAGGCTCAACGCAAACAGATGGAGACCGGAACCATCTCGACTGACGATGTAGACGCCCTCTTCGATGACGATGATGATATGTCTGATGTCGCGGAAAGCCTTGCTGGTGTTTCACTTGCCGAACGCCCAACTCAGAGTGTCCCTCCATCGCCCACAAAGAACTCTCTGACGGCTACCGGCGACCTTCATCGCACTCGTTCCGACTCGAAGGTCCCCACGGCCGAACCACCAATCGAGTCTAAGCTCAGTGCCAAGGATAAATACATGAAGTTCTTCACATTACGAGAGGAGAACGGGGAGTATATCCAGGATGTTAAGGAAATGACCAGAGTTCCTGTGATTCTGAAGACTGATCTCACAAAGAGTCCTCCGTATGTAACAACCATATCTTGCTCTGTTCATTGCTGACATATCTCAGATGCCTTACCATCCGTTCCGTGAACCCCTATGCTCTCTGAACCCTCATCAAGATATCACATAGCTTTGTTGTTCACCCGACTGTGGTGTCGTATCATTAGCTTTATGGTTTTCCATCGTATGGTTGGAGCAGGGAGACAAATGCCTACAGACATACAATATGTGGGCGGCTCTTGGATCCCACAAGGTGCCACATTATACGGGTGCCTTTAACCCGCGCGGGATAACCCCATTAATAAGATTGTCATGGAAATGGTCAAAAGCAACAGTCTGGGAAAGATAACCGGTATTCACAGTCGAGCGACGGAAAGAAGGCGTGATGCGCAGAAGTGAGAACCAGGAATTTATATATCATGGTGTCCACTATGTATTTTCTTTGCTTTAGCGTTTGCATCTATATTCCTTAGCGCAAATCATATATTCCTGAAGCGCGGCTCTCGATGCCGTCCCAAGCATATTAGACCGGTGAAGCAATTGACCTGTGCTTGTCAAAACCCGCGACTCGGCGAATCCATTCACTCTCTGCATATCCTTCCCAGCAACTACTTTATTCCAGACAAGGATCGTGGACGAGCACACTGCATGTTATATACCCACAGCCGCCGAGGTATTATCATCAGTTCTAATTGCCCCGTTCAATGCTTGACATGGCATGTTCATCTGCAACGCGAAGTGTCATGACCTACGGATCTAGTTACTTCCGAGGGCCTTGGCAAGCTCTCAGACGACCCTCAATTAGCTATACGGCATTGTGGTCTCGAACTCTATAGGCGAATTCAGATTCCAAATGCTTGACTTGAAACCGATGCGATACGCGAGATCCTTCATCGTCCAACACTTAACCACTGGAAATCACACAGTACCCTGTCGGCCATGGAGCGAATCTGACCTATTTGCAATAAGCTTGTTTTTAACGTTGCACTAGGCCCGAGCCTCCAGCCTCCAAGCAAGCATTCCCAGAGCGTGATGACATTGCTTTCCGGAGTCCCAATTGGCCCAGTCGTCCCAGCCAGCAGGATAGTTCCCGCTGCCAACGCAGGAGCTTTGATGGTCTTAGGATGACTGGCTTCTCACGGTTCAGAAGGAGTTTTTAAGGTTTTGCGGCGAGGGACAGGCATCTTCTCGGTTGCCCCTCGTCCCGTCCGGTTCATGGGGGTCTGAGAACTACTTCATTAATGAGCTTCCCCCTTGATACCTGAAAGCCACCTCGTTGAATCTCCCTCGGTACCACTTCAAGCGCTGGTCTGCTTCTACGAGGAGAACCCGATTCCTTTCGTTCTTTGATATTTTTATTTTCATAATTTTTTAATTGTCCAATCTAGTTATAATTACTCAGGCTGGCCTTGTCGTTCTTACTTCCTTGCATTCTCTACAATACTGCCAACGGCGACGGTCGTTTCTTCAATCGCATCAAATTGATACTCTTCTCTGGACCATAACCAACTACCGACAACTTCATACAATCTCATATCTCGCAATGCCTGGCATCAGACAGATCTTCGGGGTGGTGGCAGTGGTATTTGCTATTACCGGCTCTGCTCTTCCAGCACAGCCAAAGCTAAGCAGTCGGGCACTGAGGGCCTACGATATCTCAGCCAGGCAGCTTGCAAGTACAGGACTCCCAGCGGGCTTGACGGACATCGATATTCTACAATTGTATGTGGCCGTGACCCCGCGAGTTTTAACATTATTAACTAAGGATACATACAGCGCCTTAACGTTGGAAAATCTCGAGACTGCCTTTTACCAACAAGGCTTCGCGCAATTTCCAGACTCGGATTTTCTAGCCCTGGGGCTTACACAAGCACAACTCACTGATCTGAAGTCCATTGGTTCAACAGAACAAGTTCATGTCACTACTCTGTTGAGCGCCATCGCTGGGGCCGGCACTCAGCCTGTTGCACCCTGCCAGTATAACTTCGGATTTACAACCGCGAAAGCCATGGTAGCCACGGCCTCCATATTGGAAAACATCGGGGTCTCTGCGTAAGATAGCCATACCTACCTACCTCTCTCTCGCCAACTGCCAGGAATTCTAACAGTTGTCTACCTAGGTATCTCGGAGCGGCGCCCATGATCACTACACCTAGCATCTTGACCACAGCAGCCGAAATCGTAACGGTGGAAGCGCGCCACCAAACCTTCGTCCGCACCGCATCGCAAGTCGCCGCCGTGCCCTCCGCATTCGACACTCCTCTTGGGATCCGCTCCGTTTTCACCTTGGCCGCGGGATTCATCGCCTCGTGTCCGTCGGGCTCCAATCTCGCCATCACTCCCTTCCCCGCGGTCACCACGATGGCCTCGGGCTCGTCTAATAATATTATCCAGGCTGGGACCGTACTGCAGCTGCAAACTACTGCGACGGGGGGGACGTTCTGCTCGTTCACGAATGGCGGCGAACCTGGTGGCGCGGCTTTCGTGCCTTTCGCGAATGGTGCGTGCGCCGTGCCGCAGAATCTGGCTGGGCAGGTTTATGTTCACATTACGAATGCAGCGCCGTTGACGGGGTTGCTGACTGATGCTATTACGGTTGCTGGACCTATGGTAATGGTTGTTTCATAAGAGTCTGTGGTGGATTTTCATGGTTCATGAATGAGATGTATGCTAGCGAGGTTTAGACATGGGGAGGTTTTGACTACAGATATCATATGTTAATGTTCATATATCTACCAATTCGATCATCACCGTTGTGTTAGTCCTTTCAAGTTCATGACATTTCAATGTCATCCTTTGACAATCCCGATGTGATCTTCTCGAAGACGGGTATGCCTTCCCTTCCAAGTGCCGTCCCGACCCCTACTGCTGTGGCGCCCACACTCTTCATTCTCCTGAATCCATCTGCATCACTCACACCCCCAATTCCGATAACAGAGATGCGACGCAGCTGCGAATGCTCGGACGCATCCAGCATCTGCCTGATCGTCTTCACATTCCCCAGGGCAATCGGATGAAGGGCGTCACCCGCCATTCCTCCAATGCCAGTCCCATTAGCCGATCCCAGAGCAGGCTCGTTACTAGCATTAAGCACGAGGCAGGAACCCAGCGTATTCGTTGCCGTGATGAACGAGATAGGACATCCATTTGGCAGCTTCGCAGATTCCTCCAGGGCCATAATCAGGTTCTGAAACTGGCCGTGGTAGGTATAAGGCGGGGTTTTAATGCCCACGTGTACAGGGTGTTTAGGCGCACGGCCAAAAGACTGCCCTGCTTCCGCGATAGCAAGAATATATTCGGACAAGCTGGCCGCATCGTAGGCTGGCGGTGGTTTACCCGGAATATTGGGACAGGAGAGGTTAATCTCCATCATCATTTCCAGATCGTCATAATCCTCATCCGGCTTCCACCTGCACTTCTCGGGGTTGTTTTGGATTTCCATGAGATGCGTGTAGCAGGCCGCAACTTCGAAGGCGGAGCCCGTGACGGACACAATGAAGGGCTTCGCGGGGCGCCGTTTCAGCTCACCAGACTGAGAGAAGTTGATCAGCATCTTGGTATAGTCGGTGAAAGGGATTGGGCTGTAGCCTAGGGTATTCAGGGAGCTGGTCTCGCCAGGGAGGACGGCGCCGCGGCCTTCTGCGAGGGAGACATCGACAGGCGCAGTGGAGTGGCCTACGGTGGGAGAGAAGAAGGTGTATTGGTGAGTTGAGGAGTGTTGATTGAACGCCTTCCAGAGAGAGGTCCGTATCGTCACCGCGCCGGTGTAGGGGCAGTCGTAGAGGGCTTTAAGGTCATCGTAGCTGCTGGCCCAGGGATTGGCAGAGTTGATGAGGGGCGGGTTGAAAGTTACGATGTGTTTAGACGGCGGCTCGGCAGCCGCAAGAGGTTCGGGAGGAGGTTTTGCGTCCATCGATCGGAGTCGAATTGGCAGAGAAAGGGGGGAGAGTGAGAGGTGGAAGATGAAGATGAAGATGCAGAAGTGGGCGGGACTTTGGAGTCAATTTCGATGGTGGGGTGTCTTCAGCCGCCTTCTGCGAACCCCCATCTTTCACCTCCCTCTCGCATCGGAATCGCCATGGCGCTTTTGCTGGGACTGTCGTTGCGTTCACCTCGGCGAGATGTTGATGCTGCTATCGATGTTGATGTCGATGATGAGGCTGATGATGAGGCTGATGTTGATATACCGACGCACATGTATTGATACAGATCGATATAGAATCGAAGGGTGAGTCGTGACCTCACGAGCCGAGGTACAGTAGATTCCGGTCCAGAGATCTCCGGAGACTTCTCCAAACCAACCAACACGCATTAGTGGTGCACCATCAAGTTCAGTTGCTTTCAATTAAATATGCAGGCAATTATTGAAACGTATCTTCTTTCTTTGCCCAGATCATCCGTCCGTGGATTTATCAACATCTGATTAAATTACAAAGTGTGTACCACTGGCCAGGTAAGGTAGTTCCTTGAACAGGTCTGGCACGAACTCCTCATGAGAAATACGCGCAAAAGGGTACAAGTCTCGGAATTGAGATCTTTAACTTTTTATATCTTGTAGTAGGTGCACAGATTCTTCAGATTAGGCTGGGTATGTGCGTATCATCTTTTCGTTGGATTGGACGGTGCTGACCCTTTCTTAGCCATCGCCAGTCGAATGCCCAAAGACAGCTTCGTACAACGGCATCGAACATTGTCTGTGTACAGAAACTTGAAGCCGGGTACAACAAGGTACTATGTTCAAGTAATATAGCGATGGCATAAATATTAAGAAGATTGAGCAAGGCATTCTTGGGCAGTACAATACAGCCGAATTGAAGTGCTTGGGTTCCAGATTCTTGCTTTAGATGAAGCCTCGCGAACTCTTCAGCAAGAAAAGAAGCCAACTTGGGACATCTCTTGAATTGCTCCGTATTATCCTTGGTCTCTGGATTGGCTTTTGCTAGAATATACTATCCATCCGCGGGCTGGTTCTGCGATCCTGAAAGACACGAAGTTAAGCATTCATGAGACCATCCATCGATGGCTTCAGGAGCATGTCAGAACACAACCTGAGAAAAGTTCCTCTCATTGTTTGAATATCGATCTGCTCATTTCAATTGCAGTCTTCGCAAACTATATCTCAGCCTCAGCGGGCGGGCATCTTTCTCCCCAGGCACACGTCTCCAATCATCGAATCCGTAACAGCTCGTCGGGCACATTGATACGATGCGTAACTAGCCGATCTACTAGCTGGTGTAGCACAATCATCTTAATCTCATAAACCGTCATGATACCCCATATCCAACTATTCTGCCAAATCCCTTGTTGCACAAACACCCGATTCCCCTGACAATCCCCTCAAAACTTCCTCATCACATCATTAACCACATCCCCTCCAAAAGTCGCACCTGCGCCGAACATGACTGCGTTCCCGAATCTGGAGGCCATATTTTTGGCCCATTCGTGGTGCTATACACTGTCAATGCCCGATGCAAAAGATGGTATGTACGGAAGAAGGGGGTAATGCCTTTGGATGGCTAGGATGCGCAGCATTCTTCGGATCTTGCGCCTCCTGTGCTACCTGGCTGGGGTTGAAGACTGGCTGATTGGGAGCGAACTTTGGGTCCATGTATTGGGAGGGTGTGCCGTTTTGTCCCTTTCGAGTTGGCATTCGTTAGCCTCATATCCATTGACAGAGCATCACAGGCATATCGGACCGGAATGGGGTATGGGAAGAACAGGAAAGACGAAGGGATCAGCTTACAGGAAGCTGGGCCATAATGGACTGGAATTGCGGGGGAGAGAGGACGTTCGAGGCCTGCAGGAACTCGAGCTCGGTGCGGATGGTGGAGAGGGAACGGTTGATCTGTGCGGGGTCTGGCATTGTGACTGGCAATGTTTCTGTACGATCAGGATAACGTCAATTGAGTGCGGGCTCTACGCTGTCCAAGAGAGATGGGTGGATATAAGGGAGGAAGAGAAAGAGAGAGGGCGTGATCGTGAGACCGAAAGACCGGGGATTCGAGAGGGACGATCCTGGAAGAGCTGAAAGAGTGGAGGATGCGGGTGATTATGCTTGGTCGCGATCGCCGATTACGTACTCAGCCGTTCGCTTATCGTCACAGTGTTAATCGTCGGCTCGCTTATCGCGGGCCGTCTACGGGCTAGCCCCCTCTCTTCTCTGTCGGATTATGCTTGAAGGCTCCCGCTGATTTTCCCAATGAGGTTGTTGCTGATATTTTTGTACCACCTTGGGCGCAGCATAAGGCATTGAAATAGCCGCTTGACAATGGCGAAGCGAAGTTTCAAGAAATTTGAGGGAGGACAAGTCATGGAGAGCATCCATCTACTAATAGGGTCAGGTAGCGTATAAAGATGCTTCTATGTCAGGGACCCAGGGTTGCTGCCGTTGGACGGTCAGCAGTAAATCTGTGTATTGGGTTAGACAGTTAGTCGTCGATCGTAGCTACTGAGGGCGTAGACTTGCGAAGGGCCTCTTGAATCAACTACACCAAGACGACCTCGATATATCCAGATTCAAGTGTCATGAGCTCTTATTCCGCTACCCGTCTGGCGGCTGCGAAGGCAGTTGGAGGTAAGCGTACTAAACTTCTACATAATGGAACTGACTTTTAAGAACTGTAGACTGTATTATTACATACCTAGCTCTTAAGGCGTTTTCATCGAAGGGGGACTTCCAAAATCAACGTAAAATCGCTTTACCTCTCTTCCCCTCCCCGCACTTCCCACCCCGCTGAGCCTCGACTCCGGGCCTACGATAACCCGGGTTACATAATCCCGAACCGTCAGAACCCATCCGTCGAGATTGTTTCCCATGGATCAGGACCATTGGGTTAAGCCTGCGGTACGTCAGTATTTCTCTGGTATCCAAAGATTGTGAGCCACGTGCCTAAAGTTGCGTAGGTGGTTTTCCTACCATTTTCTAGAATTTCATCTCGTGCGAAGGCTACCGCCCCTACTAGGGTCTAACGCCAAATCAGCATTTTCCCACCACAACTTTTGTTCCCAGATACAAATAAAATTAGAATAAATGAAAAGCCCTAGCTTGGGGCATCAACTTAAGCTATTTAAAATATCTGTGCGGGGTGGTGGTGGTGAGGTACGAGGGGGTGGAATGTTTTGTTGCACGTCGCACTTTTGGACGACGGTTTTCTGAATCCGAAAATTTCGGGCGAATATGAGGCTACGGTACAGCCTTACCGCCTGATCATTGCCAACTCGGCAAGGCTGACAAGGTGGTGCCTTGGAATTGCATTCACACCAGATCGATTATAACCAGCGACCATGAGATCACATTCTTCTACATTCCTCTGAAGAGTCGGCCTCAATGCCTCCACGACGTCGAATAAAACCTCCCTAGAGAAGAAATGTCTCAAAGCTGGCTGCAGCAAGGCCCAACTTGATCTAGTCTCTTCCTGGTAATTCATACGAATTCTTTCGCTGATCGAGTCGAATTCGTCTGCGTCCATGAGTCACCATTCCTCAGGTTCCTTTGACTTGTTAAAGTCCAAGTATGGCGCGGTGGATTAGAAGATGGCAGGAACTCTTTCTCAATTACCACTTTTGAATTATTAACTAACACTCAGTTGGATATCAGGACTGTGAAGGCAGAACCTGGAACGGAAATACTAGTGGGGGCTAGTTAAACGAGAGAGTTAAGCGACAAAGGTATCTCCACTCTCCGTCGCCTTCTCAGCTATCGCTACCATCTACCTTATACTAGAAATCTACCTTATACTAGAAAATAGACCGAACTTTTGCCGAAAACAGGGGTATTTTTTCGTATTCTTATTAGCCCGCTTCTTACCTTACTGCCTTAGGCTTTACGACGCGCCTACGCGCTCTCTTACCTCCTTACCTCCTTACCTCTTACTTACTTATATATTTTTTATTTAACGCCTATCCTTCTCTTACCTCTTCCTTACTCTTTATAGATCCTTCTGTTTCGTCCGTTTTAATCTACTCTCTCCCTACTACCTAGCTATTCTACTTTTGTTTATAATAGAATCCTCTACGCTAACCCTTACACTAACTCCTACGCTAACTCTTATACTAACTCCTACGCTAACTCTTACGCTAACCCTTACGCCGTCCCTTCTTATTTAGTGCCAGATCTATAGCTTACGCTATCCTACTGTCGACTTTACTATTAAGAGGAACAAGGCCTATTACTAGACGTGTTTTTAGTACAAGGTATATAGTTATAGCTTACTATAGTAAAGCTAACCTTTTTATTACTATATAAGATCGTATATAGTAGACTCTTCTATAAGATCTTAATCTTAATACTACTAGGGCGTGCCTTACCTATTAAACCGCTACCTAGCTAGCCTCTAAGGCCGAGCTTATAGATGCCCTTACTCTAAAACGTACTTATAGACGCCTTTACTAAGGTGTTATTATCTAGTGTCTACCTTTATAGCGGCTAGGACGCCCTTACTAGCCTCTAATAAAAGCTACTCTAGAGCGTAGAGGTTTTATAGTATATAAAGACCTTATTTCTAGACTGTCTCTAAGTCTATAAGACGCTATTATAACTAATATCTTATACTTATAGCTTTTTATAGACCTATAATCCTCTAAGTTCTATAACCTAAACTTTACGCTACTATTAGACTCTAAGCTCTAGCTTTACGACCCTTAACTCTCTCCTAATCTCTCTAATCCTTTCTTAACCCTATAGTCCCTAGTTATATACCTCTTGTAACAGTCTAGTAGTAGTCTATAACCCTTTATACCTAAAGACAATCTTATACCTAGTAGACACCTAGTAGTGTTCTTATCCTACTTTAATACTATAGTAGAGGCCTATAATTTAGGCTATATAACAGACGTCTGTTATTACTATTACGCTTTATAGTAGGTTAATAAGAGTATTTTATACTACCTTAATAAGAAGGTAAAGCTCTTACGTATTATAGACCTACTACACTTTTTATAGAGGCTCTTAGATAAGACAGATACTTATAGCTAGGACTTTATAAGAAGTATATAAGTATATAACTTAGTACTTATACTTACCTCTTATAATTTTAAGAAAGACACCTGTTTTAATACTACTTAAGGTATCTACGTCTTCTCTATCTATAGTAAGCTTTACTATAGCTAAGGCCTGTTAGAGCTACTACTAAGTAAAACCCTTACCTTTACCTAGCTGTTTATTTACGACCTAGATTATACTAACTCTATTTAGCTATAAAGGTTTATAGGTTTAAACCTTAAGGTCCTTTATAAGCTTTTAGAATAGCTTTATAATAATAATTATTTTATAAAGCTATATAAGACAGCTAGTAAGTAGCTCTATAAATAGTAAGGCGATTTCTAAGTACTATTAAATCTATAAATACGGCTGGTTTTAGAGAAGGGTATAGACTATTATAAGTATAACCTACCTACTACTAGCGATAAGCTAGTAGCTATTATTATATACAAAACAATAAAAGAAACGCGCTATAATATCGTTCTTATAGTCTATAACCTAGGTAGAAACGGCCACGTTATTTAGTAGATTAATCTTACGACTATAGTGTACATACCTCTTTACTACGTACTTCTCTTTTTATATAAGGACTACGGCTAGTACTATAGGTTAACTTTCTATAACTAGAATAGTACTTGTTAGTAGACCTGTCTATAATAGCGCTAGTACTATTAGTACTGTCTTATAGCCTATAAACGCTAGTTTTTAATCCTTTACTACTCTAGACGCTTGTTTTAGTAATATTATATTAATAGTTACATCTATTATAAGTATACTAATCTTGACTAGATTAAATAAAACTAGCCTAAGATATAGGCTAATCTCTACTAAGGCTTAGTTAATACGATAATCTATAAGGATATTAGCCTTAACAAGCTTAGCTATAAGATCGTCCTCTTAGCTACTTATATAAGTAGTAATAAGAGTATATAATAGTAGTTTTAGGATTTAATAGCTATTGTCTGTTACTTTAGTAAGCTAACTCTTTTTATTACCTTTATAGTAAACCTAGACTAGCTAGAGATTAGGGAATAGCTATTATAAGGCTAGAGTACTAGTAATTAGCCTAATATAGTAGTCTATATCTTTTACTAGAAAGTTAATAAGCTATTAAAAGACGTCTATAAGGGTGTTTTTAGGCCTTATAGTACTTACGTATACACGATTAAGTACTAGAAACGCGGCCTACTATACATGTACCTGTTATTATTCCTTAGGGTATATATAGATTACCTTACCTCTAATTAGATTAATTAAATCGTCTATACTAAGCTCTTAGACCCTTTATAAGACCTAATAAGTAAGTTAGTAAGCGTTATTATAGTTTAGATAGCTTATAGCCCTTATAAGGATAATAATCCTAATAGTCCTTATATATAGAGTACAATACCTAATAGCCTAAAAAAGTACTTAAAGTACTTTCTAAAGGCTTTTATAAAACAGACAATCGTCTAAAAGGATTTGTACCCTAAATACTAACGCTAAGATAATAGGTATACGTTTATAGTCTTTAAACTAGGCTACCCTAGAGAGTAAGTAACCTATAATAATCGTTAGGTAGTCTCTTATAACCTGTACTTACTCTAAAAGTTCTACTATTATATTAATGTTAAGGTTTATACAAGTATTATAGCTATTAAGTATATATATAAGTACGTTTATAAGGGTTTAGATTATACAACTATAGCTGTTTTAGAATCTATAGACAAGATTACATAGTATATTTAGGCCTATTACGTAAGTATAATAAAGGTATACTAGCGTTTATTTAAGTTTAGGTATTACTAAGAGTACTTATACGTAAAGTGTTTAGCCTTATACCTAAAGAGTTAATAGCCTGTCTATTATAGTAAAGACTTAACCTCTTTTTAGTTAGCTATAAAGGCTAAAACAGCTAAGACAACCTTAATAGGCTTCTTTAACTATAACACTTGTTATAATCTAGATCTAAAAAGACTATACTAAGAGTTCTCTAACTACTATATATAGTATAAGAAGCTAGAGTAGTAGTGCCTATAGTAAAAGAAGTAAGATATTAGACGTATATTCTACTATAGCCTTATTATAAGTAAGCGTTACTACTTATAGCTCTTACTTACTATTATTCCTAGTCTAAAATCGTTTAAAGAGCTATATAATTTTAAAGACAAAACCTACCTAACGTATTACGCTACGTATATAGTACGTAAGTTATATAAGAGTAATTAAGAGTAGTTTTAATACTTTAATAAGGCTAAGATCTTTATGTCTAGAAGTAGTTTATAAGCGCTTTTAGTATTAGGTATCTATTATAAGGCTATTACAGATCTAATAGCTCTATAAGATTAGTTTAAGGATAATCTATATAACGATCTACGCTACTAGCTTAGACAGGCGCCTACTAGCTCTTTTCCTTTCTTATTACTTAATCCTTACTATAATTATAGACTATTTCTAATAGAAAAAAGGCTTATAGATTAGGGTAAGTCTTTAGTAAGCGTATAGTTACCTAAAAACAAGTTTAATTAGTCCTAGGTAAAGGCTATAATAGAACAAGAGTACAATCCTATAATAGAGGCGGCTCTAGCTAAAGAACAAGTACTACTATTAAATACAGGCTAGAAAGAGTACTATAATTAGGTTGTTATAACTATTTAAGATAGTCTAGAAACAGCCTACTTCTATCTTTAAGGCCCTAGTAGTACTAGTAAGACGTTTCTTTACTAGACTCTTTACTACTACTTTTAGAGCTTAGGTAAGACGGTTTTTTATATTACTTTTATAAGTATTACAGCCTTCTTACTCTTAGGTAGCTATACTTTCTACTCTTTATTTAAGATCTCTGTCCTTATTTACAAGACATCTAGTAGTATAATAACTAAGACTTTATAAGCTAGAAAGCTCTTATAATAAGCTAATTTAATTATCTAAGATAAGGTTTTTATATAAAACAAGTACTGTTTTAAGGTAGTCTACTAGCTATTTATAGACTTATAAGGTACTATAAATAACGTTCTCTTTAGTAGTGTACTTATTATCTTTAGTAGAGACTTTACTTAGATCCTCTTAGTCGTCTGTTACGGCTTATAGGCTAATATCGTTATAGTATTCCTTTAGAACACATAGATCTAGCTACGGCTTAGGTAGTTATACTTATAGACTAATATATAAGTAAAGGACAGTCTATAAGATTAATAGTTTATATAGTAGATTAGTAGCCTACTATACAACCCTGCCCTTTACGGCTAGGTAACAATACCCTTATATATCTCTTGGCCTTAGACTATACATAAGCTTATTAACTCTATTTACTTACAGGCTTTATTAGAGTAGGCTATTATAGACCTTACTGTCTTTTATAGACAGGTAATCTTATCTACCTTAAACAAGACTATAATAGAGCTAAATTACTTAGTCTTTAGCCTATTTAATCCTAAAGGTAAGTTATAGACCTATATAGTAGTTAACTTAGTAGACGTAAACAATACTAATCCGGACGTTATAGTACTACTAGTTAAGTACCTATAAAGTATCGATCTCTTATTATTACCTTTATTAACCCTAAAACTTAAGAAAGGCACTCTAATTATAGTGTTATAAAACCTGTACCCTTAGGAGAGGCTGTATAACAGGTTGTAGATAGTCGTTACTAGGCTATAACAGTACTATATTAAGGCCTGGTTTATTAGTAGTAACTTTAACAAGTAGTTATAGACGATCTCTTATATTAAGTTATTGTCTACTAAAGAGGATTCTCTCTCTTTTACCCTAATCTATAAGTAGTTTCTAGTCTGTCTAAGTTTTACTATAACGATTAACAAGTCTTAGAGGTAGTCGTTTTTATAGATTAGACTAGATTTATAGTTCCTTGTTTTCTCTTATAGTTAGTTTTATATAGCTGTCTCTTAGGTTACGTCTATAGTAGGCCTATCTATTCTTTTACTAAAAGAGGTAAGTACTACTACTAATATCGTCTACCTAGAGGTATTATAAGATATTAATCTAATAGAGTAATCCTTTACGGTTTAATAGCGTATAGTGTTAGCTATATACTTATAGCGTTATTTATTTTTATAATACTATATATGTTATATACTATATATTATTCTTTTATAAGTATTATATCTATAGTTTATAGTCTGTTTTTACTATTTATAAGTGTTAAAGAGGTTTTAAGTATATACTTTAGTATAATTATTCTAGTTCTATTATATAACCCTTATAAGGACGCCCTTTATAAGACTTAGTAGTCTATAAACTATACCTTTACTCTTTCTCTTTATTATTATCGTCCTTATCTTTTACCTTAGCTTAGGCTAGAGTAGTAAGCTTAAGCTAGATTTTAGCCTAGCGGCCTATGATTTTAGCTTAGCCTAAGGTTTAGGCTTTATTAAGAAGTTAGGTAAAGTAACTACGTAGTGTAAGTAGTACTCTAATAGCGCTAGTACTAAGGACAGTAGAAACAGGGCTATAAGGGCTAGGGCTATAGTAAGGACAAGGGCTAGTAGTAAGGTAAGTAGTAGGTATGTATACTAGGGCTAAGGCTAACAAGAGGGTAGTAGCTATTAACAGTTAGTTATAGACTTATAATTAAGATGTTATAAGGCGTTACTATTAGTAGCTAAGGCAATAGTAGAGAGAGCTACTATACGTAGTAAGTTTTCTGTCTATATATAATAAAGGTAGTATACTTATAGTAATATAAGGAGTAAGGGCCTAAGGCTAGGGCTAGGGCTACTAAGGCCGTAAGTATAGCTCTTAAGGCCTATACTAGTAAGACAGGTAGTATAATAAGTAGGCTAAAGGGTATAGGTACGGCTGTAAATACGACGTTAATAGTAGATATAAGGGTAGTAGATAGCGTAAGTATAAAAGTCTAGCCTATAGCCTGTTAGTTATAGTATACCCTAAATCTACCTTATTAAGTTAACTTATAAAAAGAGTAATAGATCCCTTTACTACTATAGTAGTAATTTGTATAGCTCTAACTTAGCTATCTAGGTACTATAACATACTCTATCTATAGGCCGGTACTATTTTAATAATAGCTATAGCCTAAAAGGTTTACCTAACCTATAATATAAGTAAGCTCTACCTCTAGGTTACTAGCCTAGTTTTAGTTTAGTAGGTTATAGCCTAGATAAAGAGTTACTAGCTACTATAGTACTATAGTAGTAAGGGCCGTTATAGTATAAGTAGTGTTCTAGAGAAGAAAGAGAAGGGTAATAGCCCTAACAAATAGGTTAGTATTAAGGTACGCTTTATATTTAGGGTCTTTAGCTAACTTATAAGGTAGTAAGGGTAGCGGCTATAGTAGTAGTAAGGGCGATAGCCCTAATAGACAGGTTAGTATTACTATATACTCTATATTTAAGGTCTTTAGCTAACTTATAGGGTAGTAGTAGTAGTAAGGGCTAGGGCGATAGTAGCCGTAACACTAGCTAAGAACACGGCTTTAAAGCTAGGAGAAGAAGAGCTAAGGACTAAGCTAGCCTAACTATTAACAGGCTATTAGCTACGTATATAGTAGTCTGTTATAGCTAGAGGTAAGTAGTTACTTACGTACTAGTAAGGAGGTTGTTATTATAAGTAAGGGAGGTTAGTAGCCTATTAGATCTGTTAGTCTCTTTACTCTCTAGATCTAAGGGTTAACTTACTATAAGCCTCTACGAATTATAGTACCCTTAGTAGGCGTAAGAAAGTCCTTCTCGAATCTATCTATCTAGAAATAGTCTGTAAGGTTAGGAATAATAGGCCGTAAGTAAGGCTATATACTAACTTTATCTTTAGTATTATAGTTATAGTTAAAGTTAGAGTTATAGTTATAGTTAAAGTTAAAGTTAGAGTTAGAGTTAGTAGTAAGTAAGATAAAGGATTGTTAAGATTGAGTTTCTATATAGCTAACTACTACTATTGTCTCCTTTAATAGTAATAAAGAGATTAATTAAGCCCCTTATAGCTAATAAGAGTACTCTATCTGTAAGTAGCGATTTTAATATTACGTGCCGTTACTATTGTCGTCTACAGGTAAAAAGGGGCTTAATTGTTCTGTACTATACTTACTAATCAAATATTTTTGGGTCACGTGACTAAGCATTGTACCCACGCGAGCGAAGCGAGCCATTGCATCCTAGTTCCTGATACTTTGGTGTAGGGATGGCATTCCGGCCCAAAACGAACGTCCGTTTTCAATTGGTGGATGTGTCGCTGTGTGGCTTGACAATGATGGACATGTTCCTGCAGAGATACCGATCGGTGACATGGGAGCAATCCAAGACGACTTGGTCATGGATCGTGATACCATCTCAGGCTTAAGAGCATTCGAGATTCCGACCATGAGGACCTTGCGTCGGGTGTCCAAATACTTCCCTGGGTGCATATGTGACCTATATCACTTGCAACCTCATTATCTAGTTCGAGAAAAAGGACGACAACGCTTGGTTTGAGTTCCTAGGCACACTTCCAGTAGGCATCTCTGATGTAAAGGGTGATGGAGGCGTACCTATCTGGTACCACAACGGGCCACTGATTGCCACAGAATCAAAACAAGGAATAAAGCCTCAGTCAAGGTACGTTAATGGAGACGAAGACGATACTGATTATATCAAATCTGATAGTTGCTTCTATCCGGGAGTTATGCTTAAAGGGAACTCTGGTGACTAGGTATCGGCAGGTATTGCGATCCAGAAAGGCGCTGAAACTAGGGTGACAGTCCCTTCCCATTGTTGGAATTCCGAGAACGAGCAGACACAGCAAAAATTAGGGGATCCTGATTACTTCAAAGCTACGCAAGGGGAAAGCCACGTCGGCAACCTTACAGAGTATATCAACACTACGGACATTGGCTTGATGAAGGTCAAAGATGGCATAGCTTTCAATAACCGCTTGCTCGACCTAAATACCGTGCCGAAAAGGCTTGTATCAGCAGGCGAATTGAACCTTAACGAAGAATACGCTATCGATAGTTTTGTTACTGGTACTCAAAGATTGCGTCTTGCAGGTATACGCGCTCGCAACGACGACGCAGTATCAGCATTGAAGGGAAAGCCGGAAGACATTCCAGATGATGGGTATCACCTTTCTTTTGCCCAAGGGATTTACGCTACAGGTGCACCAGAAATCTACAATATGCCAAGAATTAGAGACGGTGTCAGTGGCTGTGCTGTGGTAAGGGTAAACCCAAGAAAGAATGCGAGTGAACGAGAAAATGTCTTGCATGAAGGCGAAATATGCGGTTTCATGCATTGGTCAAACATACAATTTCGGTATGGCTCCGGAGGTCTGCTTTGCTTTGCAGATGCAGTGGATAGTTTGGTTGCGGAGGGCTGGGAAGTTTGCAAAGTCGCCGAGAAGAGAGTTGCTGAAGATGGAGATCAAGAGGGAGAATCACCCTCTAAGAAGCGGAAGTAGACTCAATCTGTCTGCTGCAAAGTCGCTGAGTTGCTGGTGATGGAGATTGTTAGGGCACCAGCATGTGACCTCGCTTTATGTAAGGTATGTATGTACCATAGTTTACAGTGACAGCACTCTGAACTCTACAGACTTTCACACATAATCAAGGACCGTTACAGAGATCAACAGGAAAATAGCCTTTTCGAGGAGAAAAGGTGGCGGAACAAGCTCCTAGGGATTGGCCGGCGGACACAATTCAGGCGTTGACCTACCTCCTTTTCACAGCAGAGCTGGACGGCGCCCAGGAGGCTCCTAGGACGAACGCCAGGATCCCACAGGAGTACGAAAAATGGGCCAGAGTTTTTAGCAAGGAAGAAGCAGAAAAGCTCCCACAGGAACATAGCCTCAGAGCTGGCCCCGTCCCGCTTCGACTCGTCCCCTCGGAGTGTTCCAGGAGAAACAGGATTTACAGGCGCAGACGTATCGATAGGCAGACACAGCAGCAATTATTGAGAGTAGGATAGTTATTTGTACAGGATAATTATCTGTGTAAAGATAAGTATCATAAGAGGTTATTTCCTTCAAATTTGACTTACCCCAGCTGTATCATTGAAATACATACAGTATGACGTTGAGATTAGAGTGCGGGTCTTCCCTTTCTGGAAACTGGAACACTACCAAGGAGCGAGTCTGGCAGACATGATTATATTAGCTAAGAAGCATATAGACAACTCGTACGCTTATTAGGTAGTAAAGGACTAGGACGTCGACTTGCACACTTGAATAGCCAAAGATGGTTTGGAGTCCAGTTCGACTAATATAAACCATGGGACGGACAGCCCAGCACGTGTATTCTCAACGGTTTGGAACGCCCCACGTAACAAGACGAACCGCAAAAGAGCAAGCCTTCCATTCTATGGCGTACTATCATCCGTCATGAAACATCCTGTAGTATAAGCGTACCATCTCCCACATTTCAGACTTCAGCTTGCCTCTCTCATATTCTTAATTACCGGAACAGCAACCCTTCTGGTTTGACAGCACCGTATGGAGTTTCTTCTTTACATTGCAAGACCTGCAAAATATATAACCTATTCTAGTAATGCCATTCGACAATATTCTTTCTGCGAGCACCAGCAGGAGCAGCGCGCCATCAGATAACCCGTTTACTGACGACGAGTTTGTAATTGAGGTTGGCGTTCCACTCCAAGATGTACCACGCATATCAACGGAGACGACCCGACGTAACGGGTTTCGGCAATCTGTGGCGCCCGATCGAGGGACGCGTATCATTGAGGACATCAGGAACGGAAAGTCTGTAGCCGAGTTATTTGGTCTTCTCCAAGCTTCCCTCCTAGCATCCACAGACTGACGGGAATAGCTACACATGCTCTATTTGTACTGAGCCCATTGTCGATGGCGCGACCCAGGAATATACCATGTGGCACTGTGCAGACTGCTACAATGTATTCCACTTCCGATGCATAAGAACTTGGGCCATGACGAATTCGAGTTATATCCTCCACGGGTTCCGACGTTATCCGGTATGGAAATGCCCGTACTGTCTTGTGATCCACGGGGAGAATCCCAAGGCGACGTGTTGGTGCGGCAAACAGCCATTTGACCCGTGCAACCCCCGCAGCGATATACCAAATGCATGTCCCAGTCAGTGCGGAAAGACAGGCATGTGTAAACACGAGAACCGAACAGAGCCATGTATGAACCGTTGTCATCCGGGACCATGTAACTGGCCTTGCAAGGCTATATGTGCAGATCTGCCGGCAGATTATGTACCCAAGAAGCCGAATGCCTGGGGCAGATTTCGCAGGAGATGGCAGCAGAGAAAAAGAGGAACCGTAACATGTGCGCTGGGATGGACTATATGCGTCGCTGGAGCATACAGTTTCATTATCAAATTCACCCTCCAACACATCAAATGGTGGACGCAGCCATACAACTTCAAATACTTCACCGAGGTTCTCAGCGATTATGAGTGCCTAGCTCTCCTTCTGGTTGGAATGCTGGTGTGCTTTCCAGTGGTGACCATTACCATTGTGGTGTGGCTTTCCGCAGTGGGAGGTTTACTCAACACCCTTTTGAATCTTGATAACCGAGAGACAAAGGAAAAACTGAAGAGTTGGACGCAAGGGTTGGGAAAGGTCTTCCTGGGTCTCATAGCTGTAGCTTTCATCGTTATTCCTATTGTAGCGTGGGTCCCCAGACAAGTGACTGCTTGCTCGATACTGACGGACGACTAGTATTGGGGAAGGTCCTGAAATCGCCTGGTACAATCAGTTTCGACATTCTTGCAACGGCTTCAATACCAGAATCCGAATGGATGGTAGATTGAAACCTGTCAAATGAAGTGGGATTTTGCTGACCAGGCTACTAGGCAGAGGCTTCCATATTAGTGGAAGTAAAAGGGATATCAAACCAGTGCAAGATTTCAGGATCCACAGCCTCTCGCCCTCGATCCAAGATGAAACATTCTATCTAGGGGCTCACTTAAACCCCCAAGTAAACAGCACGGCTCCGTTCCAATACTATCACCGGTTTGGCGGTACCACCAGGGATCACCGAGATATTGCTGTAGATGTAGATTCCGAGCGTCACTCATGGCGCATGCTCTCCCTGGACGGCCCCGACGAGGCAAACAAATGGATAGCCAAGACGTCGACCGAGCTCAACATGGGGTCGTACCCAAAACTCCCTCAGTTTTCCAGCGTGACCGAGACGGAGATTCACAGCGGCACGTTCAGCCACAGCACGGTTTCCTACCAGCACATGCATATCCCGGAGATAGATTTCATGATTGGAGGGATCCATGACTTCCTCGAGCGGTGCGAGTACGAGCCTTTCCTGCGCGTCTACTCGACCGCCGGGCTGGCGAAGAAAGAAATGCAACAGATGGCGAATAAGTCGTGGTCGAGTCGATCAGAGGACAGGCTCGTGATGCGCACCGCCAGTTTTGGACACGGAAGACAGAGGTTGGATATGTGTGTTCGAGAGGGGCCGATACAGCCAACGAAACCTGGTTATGAGCACAGGGAGGGAATGGCGGATGAACTCCTTGTTCCAATGGCAATTATTGCAACGTTGCGGCTGAGGTTGTGGGAGACGGGTAGGAGGGCATTTGTGTGTTAAGATATATCCAAGCCTACCTTACGTTATTTACTCACGCATTGGTTTGTTTAGTGTTCTCCAGTCTTGACTCTTGGTTGAGTTCTCGTCGTTCTTTTCAAGGTTGGCAAACTCTGTAGTCAGTGTACGTACTACCTAGCACAGCAATAATTGAGCCCCAACACAACGCCTGGGTTTTGGGTTCTCGGCCAAGGGGAACGCTGCCCTCAAAACCACCATCCCTTACTTCATTCCCATGTCCCTCCGCCCAATGATCAATCGCACTTCCAGTTGGATGGGTTCACGTGATGCACCCGAGACACTGGTCTCGGTCGACGGGGGAGATCAGTGTTCACTCGTGTCTGAAAAAAACCGGACCTGGTTCGTCTCCACAGACAAATACGACAAGGTAGGATGCAATGAGCGTGACGGTGTGAGATCGAGTGCTGACAAGACCCAGATGAGTGAGACGGTGAGAAAGACGAGTGAGACTGGCAGCGGAGATGCCTGGCGCTGGAGGGAGAGAGGGAGGCAATTGAAAGAACAGCTTCAGAACGACATTGTTGTTCCCCTCGATTCCTCCGGGATATCCGCACTTTTACCACCTCCAAAGGGTTCAAATAGTTCATCCGGAAGATAGGGTCGGCCCCCTCCCAAAGTGCCCGATGGACTCGGTGGGGTCGGAAGTTCTGAACTCGCCGCGATGATCCGTGACGAAGGGTGCTGCAGAGACCCAATGAGCGACAGCAAAACGGCGCACCTACATGACGAATCGACGATGGTTCTCTCTTGAGCCTTGGGGAGGGGCGGGAAGAGAATCCGTACGGCTGCTTTCGTACACTATGTACACAATAGCCTCCGTAAGGGCGACGGGGACGGCCACGCGAGGCACTATTTGTCTGCGGGCCTTGAATCGCTGAGAGTCAACCAATCTTCAGTCGATCTCCTCGGCCAGTGCTCTCGACCCCTACCCCGACCCTACTTTACTGGTCTTACCTGGGCTCTAGTACTCGACCCTTGCGCCGCCAAATACCACGCTCAGCGGCTCAAGACTCTGCAATTGGCGGGCGGCGAGTGGGAGGCCTGACAATGCCCGATACCAATGGACTAAGCTACGGATTACCACCCCCAATTCATCATCCTCCTTCAGCTGCAGCTTGGAACTCGAGCTTCAGCTCAACTTCAGCTCCAGCCCGTCAGCCATAGGGGTCCGAATCCTTTTGTTATTAATGGCTTCCATCCCCTCCTTCGTACTGGATGCATCTTCTTTCCTTGTTTTTTGACCATCTTGTTTTTCCCCTTCCCCTCTTCTCGGTCGCATAGCTTTTTCATTATACATACACATATACCCACCCCTGTATACTCATTACCACGGCATCGGGTCACTCTGTTGACGCGTTGACCCTGTAACCGCACAGACGAAAGAAAGCGAGCTCTCATTCACTGGCAGGCATTGAATCGAGATCGCGATAGCCGCCCTGAAACATGGCTATCCAGGATGAAAAGCCGCCTTCGGTATCTTCCCTTAACGGCCACACAGCAGTTCCGAAGGTGAATGGAACGAACGGGACGAACGGGACGAATGGTCTCAACGGCGCCCATTTCAGCTTTCCTGACCCGGCATCCAAACTGACCGGGATTAGTTCAGATGAACAAGGTCCTAACTCCGAGATTCCTTTCGAGGACACAACCCCTCCAATTCCGCGCTTTTCTCCCCAGACTTCGACAGATGAGCCACGGCCAAATGAATATCCCAGAATAAGAACATACAATGATGATTCAGACCTGAAACAGCCTCCAAGATTATCGCGGCCCGTAGAACTCTTGAGAAAGGAGTATGATGTGGTCGTTATCGGATCAGGCTATGGGGGAAGTGTTGCAGCCAGCCGGATGGCCAGAGCTGGCCAGACAGTCTGTCTCCTAGAACGAGGACGGGAAAGATGGCCCGGAGAGTACCCAAGTGGAGTCGTTGATGCGATGGAGCAACTGCATGTTTCCGGTGATTTCGCTCCCGGACTCCTGGAGCTGGAAGGTTCTCTGGTCGAAGGAGGTGATCCAACCGGACTCTACCATCTCATCGTTGGCAAAGGGCAGAACGTGTTTGTGGGAAATGGGCTAGGTGGGACGAGTCTCTTGAATGCAAACATCTTTCTAGAGGCTGATAACGGCACCATGGGAATGGATTGCTGGCCAGAAGACCTTCGAAAACCGGATGCGCTAAAACCTTACTATGAGCGAGCAGCATCTGTTCTCGAGCCAAAGAGCTACCCAAAGGACTGGCCATTGCTTCCGAAACTACGTATGCTAGAGAAGCAGCAGAAGGCTCTCGGCTTGGGAAAATTCTACCGACCCCGGCAAACCACTCGATTTCAGGGTGGACCTAATAGCACCGGAGTCGAGATGAACCCCTCAACATTGACCGGAATGGATAGTACCGGACTCAATGATGGGAGTAAGTCCAGCACACTTGTCAACTACCTTTCAGATGCTTGGAACTGGGGGGCGGAAATGTTCTGTGAATGCGAAGTGAGATACATCAAGAAGCATCCAGACCCTGAAGAGGAGGGCTACCTTATCTTTTTTGCCTGGCATGGTGACAAAAGAGATGCGTTCCGGAAAAATATATATGAAGATCTTATGTGGGTGCACGCAAAGAAATGTGTGTTCCTTGGCGCAGGGAGTATCGGCACTACTGAGATTCTCCTTCGAAGCAAGGAGCTGGGGCTGCCGATGAGCGACAAGGTTGGCTTAGGTATGAGCGGGAATGGTGACATGTTGGCTTTTGGATATAATACTGAGGAAGAGGTCAACGCAATGGGGCACCAGAATCCGCCCGCCTCCAGACCTGTTGGTCCAACAATTACAGGTATCATCGATTGCCGCGAAGGTCACAAGAACCCCCTTGACGGATTCGTCATTGAAGAAGGCGCCGTGCCAAAGGCCCTGGTTCCTCTTCTTCAAACTATGCTAGAGCTTATGCCTGGTAAAGAAGAACCGCAGCTCAGCCTTCTGGGTAAGGTGAAGCAGTCTCTTGCATCACAAGGTAGTCGCTTCTTAGGGCCATACTTCTCCAAAGGAAGTCTCGAGAAGACACAAGTCTACTTAATAATGAGTCACGATTCCAACCAGGCCGTCCTTTCTCTCAAAGATGATAAGCCAGTATTGGAGTTCTTGGGAGTTGGGCGCAGTGAACATGTGAAGTATTTGAATGGTGTTCTGAAAGATGCCACGGAGGCCGTCGGTGGAACCTTTATTAACAACCCCTTCTATGCTGCCTTAGGTCGACAGGAAATATCTGTCCATCCCATTGGCGGGGCTTGCATGAGCAACGATGGTACAGGAGCGAACGGGGTTACAGACCAGTATGGTGAAGTTTTCAGTGGATCTGATAAAAAGACGCACAAGGGTCTTTTTGTTACAGACGGTGCGGTCATTCCTACAGCACTGGGAGCCAATCCTTTTGCGACTATTACAGCGCTCGCCGAGCGTTCAGTCGAGTATGCAGCATCTAAACGAATCAATAAAGAGATCAATCTGGAGCAAAAGAACGATCTCCTGAACCTTTTTGGTAACCCAGGTCAATTTCCTGACGACTTCGAATTACCTAGTCGGACGAATACGAACCGAATTCGAAGGGCAACTGAAGAGATCGAGAGCACAAATGCAGCGAAAACGAACGGATTCGGCTTCGCGGAAGTCATGTCTGGCTATATTCATGTTGGCAGTGACATCGATAGTGGCAAGTTCGAAGACTTTGAGGTCGCTGCAAAGACAGCCCAGGCACTTTGTGAACAAGCAAGATTTTTCTTGAGCGTTAAGGCGTGGGATACCGAGACTAGTAAGTCTGATTTTCCGCTTATGCCTGGTCCTTTTGATTCTCGTAGAATACCTCCACCCTTGCCATCCCACAGCTAGCTTGATCAATTCTGATATCTGTAGTCGTCAACCGAGCCGATCATTCAGCAATGATCACAGGCACATTTACTTGCGCCGGACTACCTGGCAGCCCTTTCATGGTTCAACGAGGCAATTTCCATTTGTTCACCGTGGATGAAAAGGCACCCGGCACCCGGAATCTCAGCTACGATTTCGACATGTCTTCAATAGATAACAAGCGATATCACTTCCACGGATATAAAGTCATTGACTCGTCGTGTGCCTTGTCACCGTTGCGCTTCTGGACCTCAGCTTCGACTCTCTATGTGACTATCTCAGAAGTCACCAATGGGAGACGCACTATTGGACGTGGTGTGATGAAAATCAACCCAGTTGACTTTCTCTCTGAGGTACTCACCTTCAAGGCATCTGGCAGAAATGCCTTAGCAAGACTACAATCTACAGCTAGCTTCCTGAGTTTCTTTGCCAGGAAATCCGCGAATCTCCTGTTCGCGCCTTTTACGCCTCAACAATACTCGGCTGTCACATACACGGGATATATTAACGACACATCTCCGGATGAAACATTTGATATCGTAGCAAGAGATGGTGTCCATACTTTGATGCACATGTGGGAGTCGCAAAACCCAAATATCGAGACGAAGACAATTTTCATGGTGCCCGGTGCCTCAGTCGACCAACAAATCTTCTCTCTTCCAACTATCAAAGTCAATACTGTCAATTACCTTACCCGCGCCGGATACCGAGTCTATGTGAGCGTGCACAGAATCTGTCATCTGATGGTGGCAGAGACTGACTGCACAACATATGATGCCCGCCTTGATCTCCGGGCCTGCCTAGAGAAGATCAGAGAGAGGGAAGGCACAGAGAAAATATACACCATATGCCATTGCATGGGCGCTGTGGCATACTCCTCCGGCCTGCTGGATGGCACAATTCCAACTGAGTGGATCAAAGGGATCTTCTGTTCACAAGTCTTCATGAATCCAGTCTGGGCAACACTCAACATCTTTAAAGCCAGCGCTGGTCCCATCCCCTTCGACAAACTCTATGGCATGCTTGGCGGGCACTGGTTCTCTTGCTCTTCTACGCCCGACGATTCGTTCTTCCAACGACTGCTCAACCAGGCTCTTCGGTTCTATCCAGTCTCAAGACCCGAGATCTGCAATAATGTGTCTTGTCATCGCTGTTCGCTTGTTTTTGGACGGTAGGTTCCTGTTCTGTTTGATCATATCCAAGTCCCAAGATTACGGTTTGCTAATGAGAAATCCAGACTCTGGAACCATCGTAACCTGAATGAAGCAACGCACCGGCAAATAGACCGCTTCTTCGGAGGCGTGAACATGACGCTCCTGAATCTCCTGATGCAGATGGGTGTACGGGGCAACGTAACCGGCAACAAGCCATTATACAAGGACCTCGTCACCGACCGAAATGTCGCACGCCTGGAAGGGATCCCCATTGGACTCATGTCTGGATCTGATAACAAGGTCCTGAACCCCCTTTCCACGGATAAAACATATTCGATTCTAAGGGATAAGTTTGGGGCGGATTTGTACGAGAGGACTGAGATACCGGGATACGGACATCTGGATTCTTGGATGGGTAGGGAGGCATATAAGGATGTGTATCCGATTGTTCGGAGGCATGCGGACAAGGTATGCAGAGGGAAGGATTATAAGTACGAGGAGCCGGATTGGAGCGATTGGAAGACTTGGAGGGACAGGCGCTAGGTAGGTTCGGGTGTTTAGGGAGGCTTCGCGATATATTGGGATAGGATTGTATTTTGGGTACTGGGTTGGGTAAATGGTCGGAGTTTTGTAGATAATGCATGTACGGATATACAGATAATTAATAAATGTCACCAAGGTAGCTAGCCACGCAGGTTGCTATAATAGGGACAACCTCTACATCACCTCAGTTGCTTTGAGTACCTCCTGCCCATATCCTAATAACCAAGCCTCACAGGACAGTTAAATCTCAGGGAACAACTGAATCTCACTGAACATCAAACGGGACATTCTCCTCATAAATTTTGCACCAAATCGACATCTTAATCTAAAAATTCGTCGATTCTGAACCCTTCCAATCATATCCAGCGAGATGCCCAGTCTTAGCACTCTCCCCAATCTCCAGGAGAATCCGAAAGCTTAAATAGAAAGATGTTTTGTCCTCAAGAGTCCCAGTCACCAACGTCTGGAACGGGTTCATCTGTCCACAAAAAGGATCAGCATCCTTTGCACCAACCAGCCTCAGGATTTATGAAGATGAAACATACGCATTCCGCACAACAAAGCCTGCCATGTCGTTCACAATTGCTTTTGGTTGGTAGAATACCTAGGTGCTGGTGGAAAAGGGGGTCGATATTTACCCCTGAATCCTTATCGTAGGCGATAAGACATCGGCATCAACCACAGTCGTCAGAATTTCGCTTCGGCATCGTCACCAATCTGCACCTCAACTGCACCCATGGCCGAGATTTTGGATTCCTGGACAATCGCCAGTCTTCTGTTTGGTCTTTTGCTGTTTGTACTGTCAATCATGGGCCTATTCGGAGGCAACAAGTTCAATGTCCAGGGCAAGGCAGGTATCCGCAGTCTCGTGCAGCATGCTTGAGCTGACCTTCACAACAGACGGTCCTTCTCACCGGAGCCTCGGAGGGCATGGGCAAAAGCGTAGCCAAGCAATTGGCTGCCAAAGGCGCGAATATCATTATAGTATCGCGGAATGTAGACAAGCTGAAGGAGGCGTTGGAACAAGTCAAGGTACGGGCGGCCTGCGTTTTCCATCCCACCTCGATGCTAACCGCATCTCACCACGCAGGCCGCGGCAGCAAACCCCTCAGCTCAACGATTCCAATACATCAGTGCCGACCTCTCCGACCAGGACGATGCTGCGCGCGTCGTCGCCGAAGCCTCGGCCTGGAACAATGGCCACGCCCCGGATGTCGTATGGTGCATCGCCGGCGCGTCATACCCCCAGCTCTTCCTCGAGACGCCGAAAGCGATCATGCGGCAGCAGATGGACATCAACTACTGGTCGTGCGTAGATATGGCACAAGCAATCTTGGGCTCGTGGCTCGCGCCGGCATCTAGCAGCAAGGGGCGCGAACGGCATCTTATATTTACGAGCTCGGTGGTGGCCTTCTATCCCGTTGCAGGGTATGCGCCGTACGCGCCTAGCAAGGCGGCGATCAAGAGCTTGAGCGATACGTTGGCACAGGAGCTGCTCCTCTATGGCGAGGATGTAAAGGTGCATACCGTGTTCCCAGGCACCATTTCGAGCCCTGGGTTGGAGAGGGAGAACCAGAGTAAGCCGGAGATTACACACATACTGGAGGAGTCGGATCCGGTGCAGACGCCTGATGTGGTTGCTGCAAGAGCTATCGATGGGCTGGAGAAGGGGCAATATCTAGTTACGGTTGGCTGGCTTGGTGCTGCGATGAGGGCTTGTGCGTGGGGTGGCAGTAAGAGGAATAGTTGGGTGCTGGATACGTTGATGACTTGGGTTACCAGTCTTGCCTGGCCATTTGTCGCATGGGATCTGGATGGGAAGGTGAAGGCTTATGGGAAAAAGAATGGCCATCCGAGCACATACGCAAAGACAGCGTCGGCGTAGACCGACTGTCGTACGGTCGATAACCAGTGGTAATATCAGCGATACCCAGGCGTCCATGATTCGATTTTGCTCTCACAGTCGGCTTCATACCACTTTTCATTGTTCTCATCTACTTGAATGATTAAGAGTGAAAGGCAAGTATCTCACATCTATCATCCTCGTGGCGGAAGAGGCTATTCGAGATTTAGCCCCTACAATTGATTCCAAGTGATTCAGCAATCTCTTTCTAGAGAATAATTTTTTTGTATTTCACGGAGGGCGGAGAGAGAAGGCAAGTTACGATTGATTGAACACAGAAAATAGCAGATATCTTATCTGGAGTCGACACCGACATAGCAAAAGCCAATCCCTGGGCTTCCGACAGCTCTCACCTTCGTATTGGCTGTGCCCTAAGAAATTACAAGGGCCAAGTTATCTTTGCTTCGAAGCCATCAAAGGGACGATTGACGAGGGCACTGTATACTACATGAGAATCGGCATGTGTTTCTGTCCCTAGTGCGAATCGGTTGAGCGTGATCACTTCTCGATATCGCGGGTTTTGATCGAGCATCTGCTTTACACGTTGCAGAGAAAAACGCGTCTTTCCCTTGACAGCTCATTGATGGAAACGTCTTCTGATATGGACTGTGAATCCGAGTCTGTTCATTTGGTCTTGTCTCTCTGATCGAATCGCAGCTCCGAAGGTAGATACGGCTCAGACCTTTTTGAGAGCAGTTACAAAGCCTCTTGGGAGAGTTAATTGAGCATTGACTTAAGACCCGAGTGAGATCAGGCCTTCTGGGCTTTGCCAGATGTTGTCATGAGGCACGCGATCATGTCTCTGTCTATTCTGACCCATGTCAGAATTTAGGGCACAGAGAGATCCTTCGAAGTAACCCCCACGACTTCAACCTTAACGGATTCTACAGCCCTTCTGCGGTATGATCGCGGCTGCACCCTGCGCCCTCCATGGAAGGTGTGACCAAACGGCCGAGGTATTGTGCTACACTGCTACTGTACTCGTATGGCTGCCAGAAGCGAATTAAAGTTCCCTCAACTCGGGGTTCTGATGCCATCAGAGCTGGCTATTCTCTGTTCTGATCCCAGAAGCGTCGGTAGTCTGTTATCAGTGACCTTGGAAGCCGCAACCAGCCCTTGCTAAGTTGCAAGGTCGAATTCCCTGGGTTTGAAAAGCCAAACATAAGGCGAAACCCCACGAGCCTCAAGAGCCAGGAAGGGTTTGTAATGCTTCATAATTGCGGCTTCTAATTCTTTGTAAATTCGTTCTTTGCTGACTATGCAGTTTGATCGACCCGCTTCTAGAAAGCTACGAGTCCTGTGCGATTCCATTGGGGGGATGTGGCATCCAGCGGGAATAACCCATGAAAAACGCTTACGAGTACCGGCGCCAGTTCGACCAATAGGCCTCACTTTGCCTAGGGTTTGTCAACGACATGTGGAATCAAAATGGAAGATCGTCGGCACTTCTCCTTCCACATCAGTCGTTCTACCGCGGCAGGGAACTCGATCCTTACAGTCGATCTTCTCCCGAAACGACTGACATCCGGTCTGTTCAACCATGCCAGCCTATCGACGAGATTTCTCTTGCAAGTTGCAACGTTGTTGAAGCATAATGTGGTTTGTACAACGTTAATTGATGTCAAAACACCTCCCTGTTTAAGTGGTATCGTGGTATTTTACATCGTCTTCCGCAGTCGCCATCTTAGCAATCGATTACGATTGCTTACGATTAACGTCGATTCTAAGTAGAATCAAATCCTTGTGTCGTAGTTTCGACCGATTGAATGCATGCACGACATTCCATGTTGTATCAGGATCATATATACACATCTAGCTGATAGATCTCAAGCCTTTCCCGAGTGAGGAGGTAGTTATTGTCAAATAGAGCGAATTGGTGATCGAATAACGGGACGATATAGGGTGGATTCGAGTGGATTGAATTGAACTGAACTGACTACTTAAAAGAGAACGCGAAGGGAGTTATATACAGGTAAAGGTGGCAAAACCAGCATACCAATTATAGCATATGTGGTAATCCAAGTACTTGGTACGAGGTATGCGGTAATAGGTATGCGGTAATCCATGTACTGGATACCAGGTATGCGGTAATACGCAAAATCTGACTTCTGATGACGTTATTACCAAATTAGGCAATAGGCGTGACATTCCCAGTTTCCAACAGTTATGGTGTTGCGAAAGGCCAGAAGCCTCTATCTGGAGATCTCAAGGAGAGTTTATCCTTACCTCTGGTAAACTTCTCGATAATTGTTCCTTCGAGTATGTTGACTTGGATCTGTTCAAAGATCTATCATTATAGGCGTAGTACAGTCTACGTAAAATCCGAGTCAAGACCGTTTCGAATAGGGATAATCTATCAAATCTTCTTGGGTATATCGCAGACGCAATGCTTGGCTTGGGTATCAGAACGACCTCTGACCAAGGATGTTATTGGGCATGTTCCCAGTTGCTACATCAGGCTCCTGGTCTTCGGCTCCCACCGTTTGGGCTGGGTCCCCAATGGAGACCCCTCAGTCTTATCGATGAGATAGTTCTGGACCAAACATTTATAGCATTGCCACTTGTCTCCTTGATATTTTCCTTCAACTCAAATACTTCCACTCTGTCTGTTATCCCTCGCAGCTTTCCCATTCATCATGAGCACGGCATCTGGCCCTATGTCGTCAGCGGAGGCAGCAGAGCAGGCTGCCAGAGCCATTGCACAAAAATCGCACGAGAAGACGGCTGCCTACTTTGCTGCTTCAATGTTGGGGCTGATGGCAGTATTCACAATTTTCCACTGGATAGGAAACATACTACAAGATCACCGATCTGATAACGAGAATGCCTTATCAAGGCCCTTCATTATCATATCGAGGTAAGTATCCCTCTGGAGGATCGAAACGTCTCTAAGATCCTGCTGCAGGGCTGTGAGAAGTGTGCTGCTCCGAAAGTTTCCCGGGTTCACAAGTACAGGACATGCACTTGTCTTCCTAGTCTACGTTGCCATTAACTTTACGCTCATGTTTCAAAACCTTCATGGCGACCTACCAGGTAGCTTCGCGGGGAGGATGGGCTGGTAAGTTGTATCTATTCTGGAAGCTATCAACGGATTGACAATATCAGGATTACGGCCTGCAATATGGCGCTCATCGTATTTCTGGCGTTGAAGAACACCCCTCTCGCTTTCTTAACAGCCTACTCTTACGAACGTCTGAATATCCTTCATCAGGCAGCGGGGTACTGCACGGTCTTTTCCGGCCTCCTCCACGCCGTCGTCTCTCTCGCCACCCTGTCTCAAGCTAACGCTCTCAAAATAATGTTGCTGCGCCCTCAGGTCATGGGAATAGTTGCAGGGTTCACACTCCTCATAATACTAACCACCGCTCTTACCCTAAGAAAGAGATACTACGAGGTATTCTACGGGGTCCATGTCATCATGTTCATGCTTATCATGATCTCACTCGGTCTTCATCGACCCTATCTTGGTCTGAAAGCTGTCTATGTCTTTATCTTTACGGCTTGCATCTGGGCTCTGGATCGCCTCTATCGCATTGTTAAGATCAGTTCGCTGGCTCTCGGAAACACTGCCACTATTAATCCGTTGCCGCACGGAGGAGTCAGAGTCGTGGTCCGCCGCACACCGTGGAGAGCCGTATCTGGCTCACACGTATTCCTGTGGGTCCCGAAGATCAGGGCCGTGGAAACACACCCTTTCACTATCGTATCAACCAATCCACTAGAACTTGTCATTTCAGCACACGACGGCTTCACTAAAGACTTGTTGTCTTTCGCTTCTGAGAATCCGGGTGCTGTGCTGAGAGCTTCTTGTGACGGTCCTTATGGGACGCTCCCTAACTTCTCTAAATTCGACCATGTGGTTCTGGTTGCTGGTGGGAGCGGAGCTAGTTTTACATTTGGGACAGCTCTCAGTCTGATCCGGAAGATGGATAAGTTGACGAAGAAACCAGTCATCCATTTCATTTGGATTATTAGAGAATATGGTGAGCAACTCCTTTCCTTTGCTCTTCTTCTCAAGAGTAACAACAATTAATACTTCCCTAGAACAACAAGGGTGGTTCGCCAAAGAACTCACAGAACTCAACGCCTCCCCTCATATCTCCGTCACCATCCACATCACCCGCGCAACCCACTCCCCATTCCCTATTCCCAAGGACGACAACAACAAAAACGACAGCGCCTCCCTCACCAGCCCAAGTACCCACGACCCGGAGAAACACAGCCCCGAAAAAACAATCTCATCGATTTCCAGCTCCACATTTGAGAAATCAATCGTCCGGGGACGTCCAGACATCGCGGCGCGGATCCAGGAAATCGTATCGCGGACGGGTATGCAGGAGACGTTGATCGTGGCGGCGTGTGGGCCGGACGGGTTGATGGTCGAGATTAGGAGGGCGGTGGCGGGGGTGGTGGGGAAGGGGGATAGGAGTGTGATGTTGCATTGCGAGCAGTTTGGATGGTAGTATTTTTGTTTGTCTTTGCTTAGGAGGATGGGAAATGGGAAAGGGATTGAAACGTTCAAATGGGATAGAGGAGGTTCGTGATGATACCAGATTAGAGAGGCAGGGTTGTTTTTCCTTATACATCAGGTGGATTTGCAAGAGTTTGGAGCTTAGATGGGAGCATCCTACCTGCTAGCTTTTATGAGTTATGATTTGATAGCATGGATCAGAAGGTAGAAGATTAAGATCTTATCACTGTTGTTTGATAAACTTTCTATATCTGAGCCGGGCTTATGTGGTAGCACAGTATCCTTTCCTAATGTTATATCCCTGGAGATACTCCTATTCTACTTCATCCTCGATTCCTACCCTTGACGACTTTTCTTTCATATGGATATCCAAAGCGGCATTGGACTACCTCATCCGCTCACATCCAGAGTCCCCATATCACCTTGAAAACCAGAAGTAAAAATATTAAATAAAATAAAATAAATAAAAGATAAAATCAAAATCATAGGTTCACAAAGCAGCGCTTCTTCTATATTTTGAATAAGCAGCGATCCGACTATTTAAGAAAGCTGAGGAAATCATTATCTTTCCGGCTTGGAAGTTAACGCGAAAAGAAGAATTTCAATAAGAGGGAGGATTGTTGGTCATGTGAGGGGTAAGAAAGGGGAGGGCGTACCTAAGGCAGGTAAGGTACCTAGGTAAGTCTGGATCACTAGAAGGGAGTGCGATTAGCTCGAGGAAAGGGGTAGCGAAGAAATAAATAATAGGGGCGAAAGGGGTAGCGAGACAACAATGGGGAGAGAAGATGTGATGTATTATTGTACGGATGTTCACGGATATGAATGCGTTATTTTATTGGAAGGATTCAGCTTTTAGCCTTGGATAAAGTAGAGAAAGAAAGGATGGGAGAGAATAGGGAAGAGGTGGAAAGCTGGAGGGTGGAATGAAAGATAGAGGAGGAGGGGAATGAGAATGAATATATGGGAGCTGACTTTTATGGATCCCCCCCTCCAGCACTGGATAAAAACAGGAATATATCAAAGACATGTGAATTCCATTGATACATAATAATATGATTTCCTTCTCCCATGCCTCCCCTGAGTCCCCTCTCTTTGCCCCTTCTCACGTGCCCCACCACAGCATCAATATCATCAGCGTCGGCACCAAGCATCCGCCCCCCTCGATCCGGCCCCCCGTCCCACGATTACTCAACACACAAACACAGATTCTGTTCAGTTCTGTTCTGCGCCACTAGATCCGAAGAGGTATGAACGCCGTTGGAGCCGCAAGGCTGAGTTCCTTGCAGTAGTAGTGGGCGGGGTGGCCTCAGCGGGACAGGGATTCTTACGTTGCGGATGTGCTGGGAGCGGTGGATAGTGCAGTGGATATTGGATAAATCATAGATATGAACGGGTGCGGTGCGGTGAGGTATCACATCTATTTTTCACAATTCCTCATTATTCTATAGAATTCTTTGTTAACGCCCTGGATTAAAATATTGATTATCTATTTATTTTATTTTATTCTCCATTTATTTTTCTAATTTATTTTCTAATTTATTTATTGGAATTGGGAAATCATAGAAACAAAAACAAAACAAAAAGGGCCTGCACAGCGCAAAAACCTGACACAGGTGTGCAGATGCGGACATGTTCGGCTCAGGCAGCGGGATTCGCTCGCTTGGCGGGGCGGGGCGGGGACCGGCGCGCGTGGGTTCTCCCTCCTTGAGCTGTGCAAGGATCATTTGGCCCCTTGGCTTCATGCTTTTCATAGCATAGCGTTGAAGAATAATATTGGAGGAAGAATTATATTTCTGTGTTATCGAATCGAAATCGAGTGGGGAGGATCAACATGATGATCTTCATGATGTAAGTGGTGTTGCGGGTATAGCTAGGTACGTTTGAAAGGTGCGCACATGGCATTCCTGATGGATGTCTGTCTGTCTGTCATGTATAGCTGGATACTACTACCGCACACACACGCTGGAGACGGACTAACTACCTTGACTAACCAAACTATCTTAGGGCTTGCTTGCTTGCTTTCTTTGCTACTTACCCGCCATCCGCGATCGAACGGGCGGGGCATCGAAGCTATTTGCATTTCTTCCTCTTCCCCTTCCCCTCGAAAAAAAAAAAAAAATGTATCTCGAAGGATTCACGACGGGGGGGACCTCCCACCCCCCCTGCCAGTCCCGAACATCCCGAGCAAAGCCGGCAATCGATCTCAGCTACACCGCTACTACTCACTACTTACCTGGATGGCAGTGGCACGCTATCTGGAGGGGAGATCTAGTGGCGCTTCCCGAGATCGAGGAGGGAGGGAGAGAGTTTGGTACCGAGAGCGTGGTCAGATAAGCATAAATCCGTGGTGGTGTGTGGCGGTGGCTTGGCAAGTGAGTGAGTTAGGGACGACGGGGGGGAGGGCATCCGGGACTGGCCATGGACGCTGCTCTTGGGTTTTGATTGCTGATTATTGATTGATGTCGTCGAGGGATTCTCTGCTTGTTCGTTGGGGTGCAGAACTATAGGAGCAGTAGTAGTGAGTAGTTCGCTGGTTAAGGGAACGGTCTTGGGACGGGCCGGGGCGAGGATCAGGAGGGACGGGAAGGGATATGCTTGACTTCAGGTCAACTGTCGACCTCTTGACGGCTTCAGGTTTTGGCCGAAAAGGGGAATGGAGGGCGCTTATATGAGATAGATACTGATACACTAGATGTAAGGTAGGTGTACCGTGTATGTAAATTTGAATTCCTGAGACATATATCATATATGTTTATTACATTAATATAATAAACAGAGTAGTTGAACTCTGTATAGATTACTCTTCACCAACCAGTGTTCAACGGGATTTGAAAGCCAGACATTCTTAACCGATAGTTCTGTCTAACTAACCTCTCGCCTCTCCTCATAAACAACGGTAATAATTAGAGGGAAAAAAAGAAAAATAAAAGCAAGAAAAGGAGAAAAGGAGAGGAAAAAAAAGAGAGAAAAAAAAAAAGAAAAAATCCGAATCCCAAGCCTCGGATTCGACGAGACGTTTCAGAATTCGGGATTGGTTACAGAAACAAAAAAAAAGTCCATCATCGTGACATTCGGACTCGCGCATCTCAAGTCCACGCCGCCGCCCCGCCTTCCGACAGGCCGGTCCAACCGACGAGACCCCAGCAGCAAGGCTTCAGCTGGGTAGGGGTCGTAGCGGACCCCAAGGTTCTGAAAGATCGACGGCGTGCTGCGATGCGATGCGCATGCGATGCGATGATGATGTGAGGCGTGGTGGGAGAGACAGAGATAGCTGCTAGACGGAGAGAGAGAGAGGCCACGCGCGCGACATTATTGCTGGGGCGTCGTCTCAGGCGGGACCCTGGCCCAGCTACAACGCTATCTGCTCGGCATATCATCAGCGCATCGATCACGATCGGATCAGGGTGGATTATTGGGGATGGAGGGGCGTCCAGGATACGATCGTCGGGTTCCTGGGATGAGGATGGGGATGGGGATGGGGCGCTCGCCCTGGTTTGGATGTCTGTCGATTGTCTCCAGAGACTCGGGCATAGGTTGGTTTGTTCGAGGGGGAATGGACGACAGCATTGTACGGTATCTACAGGCGTTGTACTGACAGTGGTCTGGCATGGCATGGCATGGCATAGCATGGATGGTGTATGCACTATGAGGCGTGTCTCTGCGCTTCACCGATGTTTGACTTTCAGAGCTGGCCTCTGCCCGTGCCGCCCGAGATCCAGAGACGCGGGGCCGCATGCAAGTAGCCGGCAGAAGAGAAGGAGAGTCGACACGAGACAGCTTTCACTGCAGAATACTACCATGATTGATTGTCTGTCTGTCTGTGGCTCCTAGAACAGCGCAAGTTGCGCAACGATGGACCGGTGGGACGGGGAGAAGGGAGGCCAAGGAAGAGGATCATTCGGGAGAGACTGGATATATTCCGTCTGTGCGTACCTACCTATCCTCCGTACTGTGGAGGAGAGAGACTGCGTGGTGATCATGACGATGGGGAAGCTGATGCTGCTGGAAGTTGAACCTGGTGGAGAGGGCGATCATGGACGATCAAGACCAGGGGCCCGCCCCAGCACCAGCACCAGCACCAGCAAGAGGCCCCCTCGCCCCCTGGCCCTGGAAGCCCACGCACGTAATTCAGCTCGCCCAGGCCCCAGAACTTGACTACTGTCGCTGCTACTGTACGTTCAAGTGTAGTTCGAGGGTAGTCTTGCCCGCCATCAGTCACTACGCGCGCCTGTCAAGTCTCAAGTGGTAGAATTCTGTGGGGGGTGGCTCTTTAGGGGGAATTGTTAGGAACTTAGGGGAAGCGTGAGAGGAATTATTTTTGAATTCCTCAGACCGTTAGTTTAGAAGGACAACCCTTTGAAGTTAGAAACCTGTTCAAGAGATGCGCTCTTTCAAGACTGATTACTCTTAGTCTCTTGTCTTTTTACTGTAGAGGCCCTCGGCCACCGCTTCCACGCGTAGACAAGTCAGGATAGGCGGATCGGGGATTATTACGCCTTGACAAGCATAGACACTATTGTTACGGTTGTCTTTATTTTGACTTTTATATTACTCTTGCTTTATTGCTTGTTTAAGCTTTTACTCTGTATTCTTTTCCTCTAATCTGATTTGAATTGTTTCATTTATAATCATCCTAATTATTACTCCTTACGACAGGCCGTCCCCCTTCCTCCCAAAGCGCCTCTGCTTGGCCGCCAACCCCACCACAACCTCACCAGCTGCAACAACGTGCTCCGACTGGACCAGCCCTTGGTCGAACCCGTCCCCATCGACCCATCAATGCCCATCATCTACCAGAGCATGGCCTGCCGCCAACGCCCTCGACCAGGGGAAGCGCTCTCGTGGGCTCAAGCAGTCAAGGAGTAGTCCAGGGTCCAGCAGAACTAGGAACGACAGTTCAACTAGCAACTAGGACGACAACAGCAAGGCTAGGGGAACTTGGGAACTGACCCAAGCACCAGGGAGGGGATGGCCTCGCTCCTTGGGCCCGCGGCGGAATAATCTCACTTTCACCCGGAAACAAAAAACATCTTTCTCGTTCATTTCTCCCCTCTCCACCAGCTCCAGCACCAGCACCAGCACCAGGCCACCCCAACGGCGAATCCAATCCCCTCTCCACCGGACCACAACCATACACACTATCCGCAATACGCCATCCGCCATCCGCCAGACCATGCATTGTGCCTCAAACGCTCCACCCTGCTCTTCCTCCTCCTTCACCTTGCGCCGCATCGCCCTCACGGACATATAAGAAGGCCCCCACCCCACCGTTCCCGCCGCCACCAGATATGCTGTTCCAAACCCTATCCTCGTGCCCCGGTCAGAACCATCAGCCCTCATCGATTGCCTCCCTGGATCATCGCGTCTAGCTTCTCGGCTCTTGACATCTTGACATCTTGTATCCTGGATCGGGTCTTGTAGACACTAGATAGTCGCTACCCTCCTGTCTCACGATCGTCGTCATCCCTTTACCTCTTGCGCTGAAAAGTGCTTCTCAACCAGCTCAAGAAAGTCGGAGTGCGCGGGGAGCCATTTCCGGTTCTCTCTGTATGTGAGATTCCGCTCGGTACAGGTTGGTAACTCTGAAGCGCATCTCCTGTGTCTCCAGCTCCCGACGAGCTACCTCACACGAGAGCATTTGCTAACCACCGCGCCGCTATCAGCAAAGATGTCCTCTTCAACCTCCCATTCCCGTCAATCCAAACCCGACGTCAACCTCGCCGAGTGGTATCCGCAGTTTCAATCATGCTACCGCTATTTCCTCGACCACGCCCAGCACAGCACACCCGTGCAAGCTCTGGCCGCATACATGAATATCCGACTCCCATATCAGAGATCCCCAGATCCAGTAATATCTTCTGCGTCCGCGAGCCCTAGTCCAACAGGGGCGGCTGGACGAGCGAAACCACCATCGGGGAACAACGCCGGGCCCGCGCAAGTCGTCTCGTTACTCCCATACATCCGACGGTTAGTAGCTACGGGTCACGATTCGCCCGAGATCTTACGGGGGTTCTTTGGCGAAGATTGGGTTGGGGGCATTGGGTCTTTGCACGATGTCGAGCGGAGGAATTATCTGTTTGCCGCGAAGAGCACCAGCTGGATGAAGGTCAAGCAGGCCTATGATCTGTCGCCGGACGAGAGCTGTCCGTTCTTGACCCCGCTGAGGGAGGCCACGGAGGATGAGATCCAGGCCGCGGAGGCCACATGGAGTGAGTGGCTAGCCATGCAGGATTGGATGCTGGGGCCTCGATCACCAGAGATCATAAAGCGGAAATCTCGGTGATGAATCTGATGATATCTCGGCGTGATGCTCTGGAAGGGGAGGCTCTCTTGAACTATGCTTTGGAATGACGCTCGTCGGTAAAAGACGACGGGAGAGAGAGACGTGATATAGGCCATGATACGATTGTCTTCTTTGGAGCACTTGGAGCACTTGGAGCACTTGCTAGGTGGGCGGTGGGTGATCAGCCGCTTGGTACACCAGGGGGGGGATTAATGTCATAAAGTCGTCTTTCTAGCCCAAACAATAAGTATTCTATAGCTCCCAGCATCTCTGCAATGCAATCGTCGTCGAATGTACTCTGTAACAGCTTCGTAGAACCGCGTCTGTTTCCCCTTTCTTGCGTCTGATACGCGATTCCACCCCTCGTTGCGCGGGGCTGACGAGAGAAGGCTGCCAAGATATTCCGCTTCCGTCCGCGCACAAGCTCGACACCCGCTCCACTCCACTCCCACCAACCCTGCAACCTCACTCTTCAACACCACCAAACCCATCGCAACACCTGCACATCACTTCACACATATATCAGGTCTCAATTCTCCCCGTCGAACAGTAATGATAATGTAAACTACGCCTCCCGAAAACTCAATCGCACATCCCGACACCATGTCATCCACCGAGCCCTGGAGCCAACTCCTCACGCGCAGCCTCGCGACGCGCCTCGACCCGGAAACCTTCACATCTTACGCTGAGCTACTCGCCGCCAAACACCCCGCCCCCAGTTCCTACCTCGCCGATCTCTTTCTGCGGCCCACGAGCACCAACCATGGCTCGCTAGACCCGCGGGTCCCACGGTATCTGCAGGCGCTGCTGGACCTGGGGCTCGTGAACCTCGTGGGAATCCTAGGGGCACTGAGGAGATACTCGACATTTGGGGTTGTGGCTGGGGAGGGGGAAGAAGGGGCCCAGGCTATGGGCGCGGAGCGGGAGGCCAAACAGGCAGGACAAGTCGGGGGAGAAGGGAGGAGGAGGAGATGGACGAATTCATACGCCGTGGATGAGATGCTGTTCTATCGGCTTGCGGGGGCGGTCAGCGCGGGGAAGACACCACGCGGGGCTCAGGAGGCGGCGGAACTGGTGCGGGCGTGCGTTGCGTGGATGCAGATGGTGACGCGGGCGGGCCACGGGGCGAACGAGATGCTGGGCCTGGGAGGACATCCGCTCGCGGAAGAGATGAATAACGCGGGGGTAGCGCTGGGGGTGCTGGTGGTCGCCGTGGTGGATAATGGGCGCGTGGTGCAGATGCTGGGGACGAAAGGAGCGCGGGAGGTCAGGACGCAGCTGGCGAAGGCGCTGGCGGGGCTGGTGCCGTTGTTGGTGCAGAGCAGTGCGCAGACGGCGGGGCGGCTCGAGCTGTTCCGGACGCAGACGCTGGCGGCGATGGAGCCGGTAGGGAAGAAGAATGAGGCGGGGAAGGAGATTGATGATATCTTGGAGGAGGGCATGGGGTTGGGCGTCGATAGTATGGTGGTTCCGGATCTACCAACTATGAATTCGAGGGCGGGGTTGTATATATATTTGAATGCTTTGGTACGTCGTCCCCACATCGTAAAGAGCTCTGCTAACTGGGTATAGCTTGTGGGAAGGCCGCTCATTGATGATAATGCCTTGTTTGCATATCTACATAATCGATATCAGGTAGGTTCGGTGGTGTGTGAGAAGGCATCATTGCTGATTCGATTAGGGCGACGTGCAATCTACAAGCATCGATCTTATTCTTGCATCCTTCGACATCTTGGCCAATGCCAAACTTCACAATGAACGCGCGCAGACGACGACCATCCTACGCTCATTTCTTATTAATAAAGTCCCTCTGCTCCTCACCACCCTCTCGGCATCGTTCTTCCCACCCCTCACTGCCGAGTACTGCATCACGGAAGCCCTGAATCACGTAGATACTAACGTCTTCCCAACGCTCTCGACACTCTTTGATGAGTCGAGTAGTAATGATATGTTTTCGGATTCTGTGCGTCAGGACTTCTGCTTTGCATGTTGTTTGCATGGCTTGCTCGAGGAATCGAGTATTGAGACTCTGCTTGGTGACATCCCGATGCAGAGCTTACCGGCGGGTGGAAGATATGTGAAGGAGGAGCTCGTGCAGCAGTGCTTGTCCGACCCGGAAAAGGTCGAGGGTATGATTGATGAGTTGGAGCACATGGATGGGAATGTTGGGGCGGTCAGCCAGGCAATTACAGAAGTACGTGCTGTCCTCACCCCTGTTAGACTATGCTGACAGTCACAGATTATTGGAAGGCTGTGTAGCAATAAGGAGACGATGACTCTGAAGACTATTTGCAGTTTACTAGCTCGGAAGTCGTCAACTTTGGATATCATGCTGCTGTTCGATAAGCCCATCACGATCCTGCAACCTATTTGCGACCTGCTAGATAATTGGCACTACGACGAAGACCAAGTCGAGTACCAACCAGTCTATGAAGAATTTGGCGCCATCCTCCTTCTCGTTCTCTCCTTTGTACACCGGTACAACCTATCAACTGCCGACCTCGGGATCCGCTCCTCTTCCTCTTTCGTCGCCAAGCTCCTGAACCAAGGCCAATTATCCCGTGCTATGGAGAACCTGACAGAACAGGAGCAGAACCATCTGGACGGCTGGATCCGCGGCCTCTTTGACCATGAGAGCGGCGGGCTTGGTGATGAACTCATGTCCTCGTGCCCGCCCCAAGATTTCCACCTCCTCGTTCCTACCTTATTCCACCACATTGCACTGGCATGTTCGACAAATTACCTCTCGGACGAGACACTCAAAGGCGGCTTAGAACTATTCGTCGAGCCTTTCCTCCTCCCCTCCCTCATTCCCGCCATCACCTGGCTCGCCTCCCACCTCTGGGAGTCCCGCGGCGATGCCAACGCCGTACTCCAGATCCTCTCCGCCCTCGTCACCAACTCCGCCTCCATCTCCAACAACATCGAAGCGTCGCAGATGCTCAACTCGGTCATCAACATCATCGCCAAGAACCTCGAGCACAGCCTCCGCTGGCTCCAGCGCGCGGAACCGCAACGCCAGGACATCGAGCCCCTCTCCAAAGCGCTCCGCGGCAATCTCGGCTGGGAGCGGCGCGGCGCCAGCGACCACACGGAACTGGAATCCTGGACCAGCACGCCCGGCGGCGGCCTCACCGTCGCCATCAAAAACACGATCAGCGGCCTCGTGCACTGGGGCCTGAACCCCGGCATGAACATCAACCCGGCAAACTACACGCACCGGCAGATCCTGGTGGGTCTGAAGCTGCTCGGCGCGCGGCGCCTCCTGCACACCATCATCGACGAGGTGAAGGCGCAAACAGAGGCGGGCAACGGGCCCGCGGTCCTCGACGTCGCGACGGCCATCATCTGCGCTCCGGACGCGGCGACCTGGGAGTCGTCGGCGGCGGCGGGGCTCGAACAGCTGCTCGGGTCCGGGACGGCGGCGGTGCGGCCGCAGCGCAGGATGAGCCTGCGCGAGGCGCTGAAGATGGAGGCGGAGCAGGCGCCGCGGACGTATAAGCAGGACGTGTTCCAGGCGGAGACGGTGGTGCGGCTGTATCGAAGGGTGGAGGCGCAGGCGGTGGTGCCGGTTGGAGGGGCGAGCATGCAGGATGCGATGGAGGTGGAGAGGGAGTTGATGAGTGGGTACATGGGAGGTGGGGGGATGGGGGGAGGAATGGGGGGAGGGATGGATGGAGGAATGGGAGGCGGGATGGGAGGCGGGATGGGGACGGAAGATCTGTTTGAGGGGATGGGAGGGGGTGAGGGGTTAGATGGGGCAATGGGGTTCTAGATGGAGATTTAGAAGATTCGTTGTATAGTAATCAGCGAAGGAAGGAGAGGGGGGAAAAGGGAGGTATTGATCGGATGGAAGCAAAAGAAAGGAAAGAAAGAGAGAGAAGAAAAAAAAGGAGGAATACCGAATGTAAACTAGGATTTAGTCCTGAGATGGCGGGACCCAGGGATATAGGTACATGTGTGCTAGTAGCGGAGTGTGTGCTGTTCCTATTATTTATCATTTCCGGGCTTGTATTTGTTTGTATAGTGGGTGGATGGGATAGATAGATAGATATATGGTTGCTTGGTGTTAGGAAGGAGGGCGTGGGTAGGAAGTAAGGTTGAATCAAGATATCACAGAAGCACACACACACAGGCGTGCAATAAAAGCATATCTAAGCAAGCAAGCAGACACATAAATAAATAAAATTTAAAAAAAAATGGAATTCAACAACAACAATGGTATCTTCAAGAGCCATAAGCGGCAACAAGATAAGATAAGATGATTCATTACGCAGAGCCCTTCTTCCTGTTCCTCCTCATCATGCGCTTCTTCTGGATGATCTGCTCTCTACGAGCCAACCTGCCCTCCTCGCCCGGCGGGAATCCCGGCTTGAATTTTTTGGTTTCGGATTTTTCTTGTTTGTTATTGTCTTTCTCGTCACTTGATCTGGCCCCCTTCGCGGGTCGCGCACGCTTGATGAAAGGCTTACCCTTCGCGAGCTTCATGCCAGGTTTGGTAGCAGCCACGCGAGGCTTCTTCAGGGGCGTCTTGGCGAGGGGTTTCTTTTCCTTCTCCGGGAGCTCGCCGCGCTCGCGCGCGGCCTGGACCTCCTTTGATCGCTGTCGGGCTTTTTCTTCTTTTTCCTTGCGGCGCTGGACGACCTGGGCGTTCTCGATGGCGAATTCGACAATGAGTCTTTGTTTCTTGCCCGAGGAGTTGGTGACTTGGTGGCCGTTGAGCCATCGGAGGCCCATCAATGCCCATCGGTGACTGCTGTACTCGATGAATCCGTAGCCGCGGGATCGGCCGGCACCGCTGTCTTCGGGGACCTTGGTGCCTTCGCGGCCTTCGAAGACGATCTTGGATTGGCGGACGATTCCTTTGCCTTTGGCTTTTCGTTGCTTCTCGGCTTCGCGCATCTCCTCGCCGCCACGGGCCTCTTCTTCCTTGGACAATTGGGCGCGACGGCCTTCTTTCACGTCTTTGGCAAACCCGACCACGGCTTCGCGGGCCAAGGCTTTGAGGTCTTTGGAGGTGATGTTTCGGGGTAGGTTGCGGATCGACAGACGGGTTAGACTGAGATGGAGGGTTGGATTATTCTCGATGAGCTTTTTCCTTTGCTTCGCACTGTCCTCGCGCATCTTGATCTCGGAAGGCGCGAGCATTTCATAGAGAGGCGTACCGGATGGGATGGTTCCCTCTGAGAGGAGGTACAGCCTGCGTTTATCTTTGTCGCGGTTGTCTCGATACTTTGTGCCCAGCTCGGTCAGTTGGGCCGCCTTTTCCTTCTCCACGGCTTTGGCTACTTGGAGGACTCGGCCTTCGATAGTATACATGCCGGTTAAATCGGCATTCTCATTCTGGAGAACCGAGTGTTTGACCTTGGGGCCTTCAGCCAACTTGTTGGCGCTTGCACCGGTGGACTGATATCGCGGTGCATTTCGGAAGCAATTATCTGCATCCTCGACTTTGAAGAAGCAGACAAAGCCGGTTCCTCGGGGACGGTCGGTTGCACGATCCATGACAACTCTGGCGTATCTGACCGGCCCGAATTGTTGGAAATGCTCTTTGAGGTCGGCATCAAGGGTCGTAAAGGGGAGATTGCGAATGAAGAGGGTTGAAGAATTGTCTGTGATCAACTCCTTCTGCGGCTTCTCGTCCACGCTTTCCTCATCGTCCGTGGAGACATCATCATCCTCGTCCTCTTCATCCATATCAACATCCATATCAGCATCCTCATCATCGCTTTTCACATCCTCGTCGCCGCTCTCAGGCTCAGATTCCAATTCATCCCCAAGATTGCGCATGAAATTTGCAACATCATCTTCCTCGTTCTCGGACTCCGGTTTCTCTTTCTTCAATGGGGCACCACCATCCGAGTCCTCGTCCTTTGCATCTTCCTCATCAGCCCCAGCGGACTTGTTCTGACTCTCCCAAACCTCCTTCTCAACTGCCCAATCCACAGCAAGTGTCCTGCCATCAACCACGGTTCCATTAACAGTAGCCAAAGCCTTCTCCGCATTTTTCCTGCCTCGCATAACCACAAATCCAAAGCCTGCCTGCGTATCCTTAACCTTAGGCAAATTGGCGTGCTTCACCTTTCCAAACTTCTGGAATAACTCCGTCAACTGCTCTGGTGTCTTGATGCTCCACGGCAGATTGCGTATGATGAGTTTGGATGGTTTTCGAGCTTGAAGCAACTTCTCCTCCCGAGCCTTCTTTAGCGCAGCAGCTTCTTCAGAAATCGCACTTTTCTTCTTGGCTCCTAGCACGCCATTCGTCCCCGCCTCTCTTGATCTTGGTTGTGCAATCTCGAGTTTCATCTTTCGGCCAAGGAAAGGTTTCCCATTGAACTCATCCATAGCTCTCTGCGCATCTTCGGCATCTGCGAACGTGACAAAGCCATAGCCTTTTGATTGCTTGGTAGCTGGATCGAGCACAACGGTTGCGTGTTTGAGGGGGTAGCTCTGGGAGAATAATTCTGTCAGAGCTTCGCTGGTTGCAATTGCTGGAAGAGAGCGGACGAAGAGGGACCTGCGTGCTGAGGCATTGGTTTCTTTCCGGGCTTTCTTTTGCGGATGACTTTGTTCGTTGTCAGAATGCAGATCCGCAGGACCGTCATGGTCCTCGACAGAACGTTGTCGTTTTCGTTGTTCTGCCATTTTGTGCTGTTGGATTGCACGACTGCACTGTTTGGGCCTCAATTTTCTGATCGGAAGTTTTTGATAGTCGAGAAAAATATCTCGCTTATCAGCACGCTAGTTGATTATGCGCCATCCCTGATTAGGCAGACTTATGAAATACGTCAAGTCTTACCTAATCGAGGTTGAAGGAACAGCTGAGACTTGAAAGCAAAAGGCACGGGATTTTGGAATTGTATTCTGGATATAAATTTGTAGCTCCTGATGAAGATTGATATTGCGCATCTGGGTTTCTCCAAGTCTTTGAGTTGAAGAAAGAAACATATAACGCTTCCCCCGCGCGCAACTCTTTCATCCCATCTTCTGCAGGCAAAGCACGTGATCCCAGCCTCAAACTTCCCTTGTTCTTAGCGCGAATCTCGGTCTACGAGAGGACTCCGGTCGCATCAGCCTCAGCTCACTCGATCCTCCAGCAACACCCGCGGCACCACAACACCAGAGCGTCGCCAACCTCGACTGTCCATCGCGATATTGGCATCCGCCCCGAATAGTTGTATGAAGTAGGATTTGGCGTCGCTGAGCGTTGTCGGGGGCGCACTGGCAGCGAATCTGCGACCGCATCCCCCCCGGGTTCCTCCACTCATTCACCCCTTGCCTCTGGACGCCGAAGCAGCACGAGGTTACAGTTCTTCGAGATTCGAGAGAAGGGTATCGAGGATAGGTCAGAATTACAGAATTCCTCGAAGGCCAGGTCAAACTCGAGGCGGGTGCAGGCGCCTACGAGTTACGATACTAGTTGCTCGTCGAATACAATAGCGAAGTTCTTTGTCGAATTCATTCGAAAATCTCAGATCTCCCCGATCTACGACCGAAATGCCTTCTGACCTCCCGCAAACACCACAGAGCCCTTCTTACGATTCCACTTACTTTCCTTCGAAGCTCGCGGCATCCCCCCGAACCGGTAGCTCGCTCCCCACGCCAGCACACAGCATAAACGGCAGCATGTCTTCGACCACACCAGATGTTGTTGCAGAGGCAGCTCACGTAGAGGATCCCTCAAACAAGCGCAAGCGCGATATTGAAGACGGTGGCGATCGAGATCAGAAGAAGGTTCACCTCGAGGACAGCAGACTGCGTATTGAAGACCTCCATTTGGATGTGGGCGAAAAATACCTTCTCTGCAGAACTCGTAAGACTCCCTTCTTCCTAAGAGATATGCCCTCTCTTCGCCTAGCCGGGCATAACTCTTACCCAAAAGTCCCCCCGCACATCATTAACAGTACCTGGTTAACGTGGACTTTGATGCGCAGCTCATCCGCCTTTTCCAATACCTCTCAAGGAAGATCTCTTCCAGAGGTACGGTCTAACTGATCTCGCTGAGACTGTTGCCCGGAGCAACCCAGATGGCTCGAAGAAAACAGTTCGTAAGACATACAAGGGTCATATCAAGAGGGTTCTCAAATTGAGTGGTAATTTCGACTCGGTGAAGAGGGGGGCCGAGGAGCCTAATTCATTAGTTTCGATGATGTGCCAACCAGATGAGGTATGGAACGCACAATATGCCCAGGCATCCAAAGAAATTGAAACGGGCATACCACAACCAGTTTTGGCAAATCTGGGTAAGGCTGTGACGATGGCAAGAGGGGTAATACCGAAGGATATGTGGAACAGTAGTGTTCTAGGCGAGCTGGTTCCTCCTTCAGCTCCCGCTCAGCCTGCAAAGGGCGTTCAGAATGGAGTCAAGACACAGCAGCCCCCGCAAGCCGCTGGGGTCCGCACAGTCAAGCCCGAGGTTCCACGTCCAAAGAGAAATATCAAGAAGCGTACCTATGGTGATGCAAGTTTTGAGGGTTATGGCGAGGGCTTTGTCGATGATGATGCTCAGGAGACTGGATACTCTACTGGCGATGGCGATGAAAGAACAGGGCGCAAACGACCCAAGAAGGTTTGTACTTGGCTATACCAACACCATGACCCGGCTAACATAACAAGACTATACAATCAAACAGTTTTCAAGGTCCGGTTGCGCGGCAAAATAGTTACGGTCCAGGCATGGTTGGAGTATGAATGCCGGTCCCGACTTCTTTTTTCCAATCCCATGCCCATACCAAGTCACGGGGCGCCGCAGATAATGACCCGTTTACTCGATACCAAACTTAGCTGACAAGACGAGCCATACCTCGCGTTTGCTGGATGGTCTCGAGATTGCTCGCCGATAGCACATAGCGACAGGAGAGCACTCGCCTAAAAGCGCTTGATGAGAGACAGCCGAGCTGTGGGCTTTGGTCTCGAAGCTACAGCCGCAGTGGCTTGCAGCTCTCAATGTATGATTGATGGCACGCTTTTATGCGGCCCCTTGCTTTTGCATTTCTGATTTTAGCGGGAGTCCTGGGTAGGTAGGAAGACGGCTGGATGGGCCTGTATGTGGACAGAAATTCAGAATGCAAAATAAGCATTCCATGAGTACAATTAATATTCGTGATGATGCCCCTGCTGTGAACATGGTGAACTGCAGTCTGACGCTTTTCAAGTGAGACTGATACTTTAGATGATTGCCCTCAACGTCCATCAATAATTCATCTTCTGCCAACTTCCTCGGGCTCTCCCAAGTCTACTCCGTAAGGTATCTGATGAGCCCCCCCCCCCCTCCCCCCGCTTTTTTTTTCCCCATGCCTTTGTATTTTATATCCCTTTTCCACTTCCCACCTTCTGAACGGCAAACGTATATACTGACTTCTCGCAGCTTCTCATAGTCAATGTCGGATTCTTTCTACTTTTAGACATCATTGATTGATTTCTCATACATCGATCCGGCTACTTGCGTGCGAAACTACTATTTAGAGGCTGAACCACCAATTGTCATAATGGCTTTTTGGAAAAGTACTGTCGACATTCCTTGTTACAGATTTCCTCATTTTTCATCAGACTGATACTAGAGATAATGTGTAAGACCAAAAGACAGCGAGCAAAAAGCTCAACTCAATATCTGCCGAAAAGGTATCGAAGAAAAGGGGGGAGGCCGGTGGCCGAGAGAGTGGGCGGTGAGGCTGCAATCACGCTAAGCTTAACATCTCGCTAAATTTCTTGGAGACAGATCGCAAGACCGGAAATCCACCTCTCCATCCTTCTTCACCTTCTCAATCACCTTTTCTCTCAAGGCAATTGACCTCACAATGGTTTCTCTCAAGTTCTCTGCTCTCGCCCCTCTGGCTCTATGGATTGTCAGCGTCTTTGCTGCCGCTGATGCTGTGAGTATATCACCAATTTACCTTGCGATGACCTCGAATCCTAACACGAGAGCAGGCCGAGCCAGTCGACGCCAACCTCGCGGTTGAAGTCAGCGTAGCTTTCCCCGAGGCCGAGATCTTTGGGATCAAGCTCGTGAATGGACGACCGACCAAGGCCCTGCTCGATTTCACGAACAATGAACCAGAGCCGGTGCAGGTCGCGTTCATCGGAGGGGCGCTCCTCAATCCTAAGCCACTAGCACCTGAACAGCCTCCCTGGACTGCGGTGGTGAGGAACCTGACGAACACGAGATATGATCTCTCAATTCCGGCCGGCGAGAAGGCGAGCTTGCCGTACAATTTCGTCACGGATATGAACCCGCAGGACTTGACGCTGAACCTTCTCGCCGTGATTATCAGTCAAGCGGGAGCAGTTTATCAGCTCCAGGCGTATAACGGGACGGTGTCTGTGGTGGAGCCTGCTACGAGTTTCTTCGATCCTCAAATGTAGGTTCCCATTTTTAGACTGCCATTATATCAAAAGCTAATCAGTGCCCAGCATCTTCCTGTATCTCTTCCTCCTTGCCGTTTTCGCAGGAACCATCTACTTCGTCTACAAGACCTGGATCGAGACTCTCTTCCCACAAACAAGACGCGGAGGCAAAGGTGGTGAGCGCGCTAAGCGTTCTACTGCTGGAACGAAGGCTGCTGTTAGCCCCAAGGAGGCGTCGGCTACTGGAGCAGCGGCCGCGAGTGGAGCATCACAGAAGGCATATGATGAGAGCTGGATTCCGGAGCATCACATTAACCGCCCCAAGGCGAGGAGAGTGCAGAGCGGAGGCGCGAAGACGAAGAATAGGGCCTCTGCAGAGTAGATGAGCTGTAGAATTATGATTGAGTATTGACAGCCGAGAAAAGAAGGTGTATTATTGAGGGTTGGGGGTCTATCTTGGGTAGATATTGGGAGGCAGCATATGGTAAGGCACGGTTGAATGCCTTAAAGCAAAAAAGTGTATATTACGACACGACGCAATATAAAAGCATTGGTAGTCGTACAACCAATGTCATATATTTTGCGACGGAAACATATTCGTTCATTATAAGCAAAAGAAATAATGATTTCCGGGATCCAGGGGAGAAACCGCCTATGAAACAGCAAGAGCAACAGAAGCGTCCTGCCTAACAGCCTCCATCGCCTCCCTTTTCGCCTTCAACGCCGCGAAATTCCTCTGCATGGCCCTCTCCGTGAACTCCTTGCCCGTAATCATGGGGTATTTCTTCAACGGGCCCTGGATGCAGGCATCCGTACACGGCTGATTAAAGAACGCCATACTATAGCGCGGACCATAATAATCGACCTCTGGATCACAAGGGGTCTTGACGCGGTGGAAGGTCGACTTGAAGCGGTCATCGGACCAGGACATGAGCAGATCGCCGATATTACAGACGATCTCGCCGGGCGCGGGATCGACCTTGGTCCAGGTATCGCCGATGGCGAAAGCCGTGGTGGTCTCGCGGCCGGGGCAGATCTCGAGACCGCTCTGGCCGGCGCGCTGGAAGAGCAGCGTGACGAAGTCCCAGTCGACGTGGGCGCCCGCGCGATAGTAGTTGTCGGGGACGGGCACGGAGCGGTCGACCTCGAAGTAGTGGAGCAGGCGCAGGACGGTCTGGGACTCGGGCCGCGAGACGTCGTGGGCGTCGATGAAATAGGAGTCGGGGAAGCCGAGGCCGCGGGCGAAGCAGAGCATGAGCTTTTCGCTGACGGCTTGCGCTTTGTGCATGAATGCGAGAGCGGTGGTCTTGAAGGAGGGGAGGACGGAGTCGGGAAGCCAGAGACCGTCCATGTTGGCGCCGAACTGCATCTGGTAGCTTTCCTTCTGGTCGGGCTGGCCGGTGGAGGGACGGACCTGGGCGTTCTTCTCCCAACCGGCGTTCTTGGTGGTGAATGGAACCTTGGCCTTCTCGGAATCGGGGAGGGCGAAGAAGGCTGCTGATGTCTCGAACATCTGTCTCTCCGTTAGGAAACGAGCTGGATGAGGGGGAAGAGTTGGAGAAGGGGATGCGTACGTTCTCTATCTCTTCCTCGGAAATACCATGGTTGATCAGCCCAAAGAATCCGTCTGTTTCGGCGGCGTGGACGAGTTGGGCTGTGATCTCGTCGACTCGGGACTCGAAGTCATGGAGGGAGATCTTGGGGATGCTGCGGTCGGCGTACTTGGTTGGTGCCATTGTTGCACTTGTTGATAACTTTGGCTGAGAACCGAAAGAAGACCTCGATTCTGGTCGCAGTACTGAAAGGCCACAGGATGATTTGAGCCGGAATCAGAGGTGGGGTGAGAGCTTGAAGACCAAGATTGTTTGCTCAGGAGTCTGCACAGAGAAGCTGAAGGCATTTATTTATATTCCAAGGTCTCTCTGCAGTTTTAGGGAAGCCTCGTCTTTTCCTCGTCTCTTGTCAGGCATCTCACTCCGATGTCCGTTCCACAGGTCGCTCGTTTCATGAAAATATCCAAGAAAAGATTTTCCTGGCTTCGAGTGAGATTCTGGAAAACATGTGGTACGACTCTATCAGCGGCTGGCTCCGCTGCACTCCAATGCGGGGAGCGAGGGGCGGATGCTTATCGGCCGGCCGTGTCGTCCGCGGAACTCCGCTGCCAAGCATCTTTCCGGGTGCGCTTCGGCCGAGATCACGGGTGAGAGAGATGCGTGAGGGTTAGAAAAGCTGCGACTGAGACGAGGCCGAACTCGTATTCCCTTGGGTTGAAGCGGTTCAAACTGACAGTGTTTTCAATCCTGTGGGGAGAAGCTTTAGTTGCTTATAGATCTCAGTAACTAACATGTGGGTATAGACTTGGAAATCCTAGGATGAACGATCAGTTAAGGGGGTTTTAGAAGTCGGGACGAGAGAGCTTGACTTTGTTCATTGCATTGTCATATCCATTATCCATGTAGTCATGGAACCAAATGGCCTTTACCTCCTATCCAGTCTAGACATATTTCCAACCTCTCCTATTCTCCGCCTTGACCCCCGATCTCTCCCTAATTCCCCTAATCGATTTCTTCGCCGCCTCGATAATCTCCAGTTCATCAACCTTCACCAGTTTCCTGTCCTTTACCAGGCACTCCCCATCAACAACAACCATCTCTATATCATTTCCGGTACACGAATAAACCACCGTCGTCATCGGATCAACACCACCACTTAGAACATCCTCTTCATCGTACGGCGCACAATACAAGCCCCTCGGATCCACAACCACGAAGTCCGCTTTCTTGCCTATCTCAATACTACCAATCTCCTTATCCAATCCAAGAGCCTTCGCACCATTCATCGTTGCCATCTCAAGAACGGTCTCAGCGCCCACCGCTTTGGCGTCGAGATGTGAACCCTTATGGAGTATGCCCGCGAGGTGCATCTCGCGGAACATATCGTAGGTATTACCGCACGGGGCGCCGTCCGTCCCTAGACTCACATTCACGCCGGCATCCAACATTTCAGGAACGCTTGCAATCCCCGAAGCGAGTTTGCAATTGCTGTTAGGGTTATGCGCTACCGTCGTGCGGGTCTCTTTCAAGATTGGTAGATCAACAGGTAGATCCAAATGCACCATATGCGCCAGCACGGTTTTTACCCCCGTGAGCTGGGCATCTTGGCAAAACTGCATGGGCGTGCAAGAGTAGAGATCTTTGTAAATGGTAAGGTCTTTGGGTGCTTCGGCACAGTGCATCGTGAGGCCGATATCATGTTCTTTGCACGCTTGTCCGATTCCAAGGTGGGAACTGAGGGGCGAGCCACGGGGTGTGCCGGCTGCGGCCCAGACGTGCAGACGGTCATTGAAGGAGCCATGGTGCTTTTCATGGGCTGCCAGCATGGATGCGATGGACATCGAGTCAATATCTTTGTCTCGAGGATCTGAGATATTAAGCTGCCTATTAGTTTCCTCAAATTTCACCAACTTGCCCTAATCCTGCATTAGAATCTGACCATGCGGAGAACTTGTACACGGGCAAACTAACAAGACAGGCTCGAATACCAGTCTCTCCAACAGCCCGTACCACATTCTCAAATCCGCTCCGATGCGTAAGCATACTCTCCAGAAAACAGGTCGTCCCACTCTTTAGCATCTCCGCGATGGTGAGTCTCGCAGCCACGTACCCATCATCTGCGGTGTAATTTGCCTCTAGGGGCCAGACAGCATCGCACAGCCAAGAGTGGAGAGGGAGGTCTTCGGCCAGACCGCGCAGGAGGGATTGTGCAAGATGCGAATGCGTGTTGATGAGACCTGGGAGAAGGATGCGTCCTGCGAGGGAGACGATTTCGACTTCGGGAGGGAGGGGGGACTCTGCTAGGAGGGAGGTTTTCCCGATAGAGATGATACGGTTTCCCTCCACTAGAACAGCACCGTCCAGGATAACTTCTCGAGAGGGATTGATGGTGATGATTGTTGCATGCGTGTAGAGGGTTGATTTTCCAGCTGTCATCTTGACAGCTTCTTAATCTTGGAAGTTGAGGAGATGTGATTGGAAAGCAAAGCAAGAAAAATGTAAAGGAGTATGAGGCACAACTGCTTCTGAATGAATCAATGACACCAGATGGAAAGTTCAGGAGAATCTCGAAAGGGATCTTGAGAACTTCTCAAACTCCATCTCCCATATCGTTTCCGGAAAAGCACGCTCCGAAGCAAGATTTCTCAAAATCAAACTCAAAGCATCGACTCTGATACTGCCATTTCCGTGAAGGTATCTCGGGAGAGGCACGTGCGTGACATCCCCAGATTCAGCCCCTGTCAACGGTGGTCTCCGACGTGATAAGAAGCTATCAGTGCCAATTTGCGACGTATGATTGGCTTCGGTCACCTCCTGAGATCCCCCAGATTCTTTATCATAATTCCCTGCTCCAGCCGGAAGTTGAAGTCTGGCCGCTGATCGCAAAATTCGAGTTTCTAGACAATTTAAAAAGACGAATGATATAATACTAGAGGAGAAGAAATCCCTTAGGGATCGTCAGTAGGTCACTTGACTAGCTAGCTCTCTCTTGTCTCTTCTTGACCTCGAATTTCCGGGGAAAATCGCTGATGATGTATAATCCAGAAACCGTGGAGAAAGTTCCAGCAGCGCAGGATGGCATTCAATATGAACCCTCTTCCCACGAAGGGGTTGTTGGTGTACCAACGCGAAGCCACTTCCAATACTTGAAGCACTATTTCACCAGTCGTGAAGGTTGGATCGGTGACTACGTATGCCCACTTCCCCTTTACTCTACTCCATCCCAGTACTTACAAGGTCTCATAGGATTATGTCTACCTCATCACACCCAACGTCTGGCCCCTAGATCGCAAATATAAGGACTATGAGGCTCCTTTCTACGGCCTCAACGACGAGATCCCTATCCTTCTTACCATTCTCCTTGGTCTCCAACACGCACTGACTATGATCGGGTCCATCGTGTCCCCACCTTTGGCCATAGCAGGCGGAGCTTTCAATTTCGATGCCGCCATCACCCAATATTTGGTATCGGCAGCCTTCATCACCACCGGGATCGCTACTGCTCTCCAAGTGACGCGGGTCCATCTGGCCAAAACCCCTTTCTTCATTGGGACGGGATTGTTAAGTGTTGTGGGCCCGACGTTCGATATCCTGCCCATAGTGTTCAACTACACTGCGATGCGATATAAAAATGGCACGTGTCCGACTGCATCTGATGGGACCCAGCTCCCGTGTCCGGATGCTTGGGGTGCGACCTTAGGGACCATGTTGTGCACGGTCTGGATCCAAATTGGTATGTCCATGGTGCCGCCTAAGAGCTTGAATAAGATATTCCCCAAGATCGTGACCGGCTCTCTGCTTTTGCTCGTCGGTGTCTATTTGATCAGCAATGGCATGCAGAATTGGGGCGGAAGTTCTAATTGTAATGGGGGGACGGGGTTCTATGCATTGTGCCCCAGTATCGATGCTCCTAAGCCTCTTGTTTGGTAACTAATCCTTGGAAAATGGGGGTTCGGAGCTGATGAACAGATAGGGGAGATCCCAAACTCATCGGACTCGGCTTCAGCGTCTTCGTATCTATCATCTTAGTTGAGCAATTTGGCTCGCCGCTCATGAAATCTGCTTCAGTCATCCTCGGTCTCGCAGTTGGGTGTGCCATCTCTGGCGCCACCGGTTACTGGTCAAGAGAAAATATCGACGCAGCTCCCGCCGTTACATTCCTCTGGGTTCATACTTTCAAGCTCTCTGTTGACGGTGCGCTTGTGCTGCCTTTGTTGATCATGTTTGTTTGCGAGGCAGTCAGCTGTATGCCTGATATCCTCGCCACCGCCGAGATCTCAAATGTGGATATCGAAGGGACACAATTCAATAGCCGCATTCAAGGCGGGATTCTCTGGGATGGTTTAGGGTCTCTTATCAGTGCTTTTGGGACCGGTCTTCCCATGGTCTCGCAAGCAGGGAATAATGGCGTTATCTCTTTGACCGGATGTGCGAGTCGGAGAGCTGGGTGGTGTGCATCCGCATTCCTGATCCTCATGGGCCTGTTTGGTAAATTCGGGGCGGTGTTCGGGAGCATGGTATGTTAATATCCCTGACGGTTTGGGAAAATAAGCCAGCTGATAGTTGAATAGCCACCCTCCGTCTTAGGTGGCATGCAAGTATTCCTCTACTCAACTATCGCCGTCGCTGGTATTCGCGTCCTTGGATTAATCTCCTTCACGCGGCGAAACCGCTTTATCTTGACGGCAGCTCTCGGGATCGGCTTCATTGATATCGTGCAGCCAAAATGGTTCAGCCAAATACTCGACTACAGCGGGTCGAACGTCCATCTTCAAGGCTTCGAACAAGGAATCAACCTTCTGGTCGAGACGCCGTTTATTATTGCTGCTGTTGTCGGCGTCTTCTTGAATTTGGTGTTGCCTAAGGATAATAGTGCGATGGATAGGATTGTGAGGGATTCTGCAGGCCATCCCATGCAGGAGACGAGAGCGGATTAAATCTTTCTGATTGTACCAAACAGATAGAGAGGTTACAAGCCAGGAATATAGAGAAACATTTTGATTTATGCAATATATGCACTCCAAGCTGTCTCGCGGTGCCGTTAATCATGAAAGGAGTAATACCCTAACACTCTTTCTCGTTTGAACATTCCTGAGTCTGGAAGTTTTGTTCCAGTCATAAATTTAGGTGTACGAGCACCAGTGGAGAAGACCTCTTTGCCTGCCTGAATCAAGACAGCACTTGCTCATGTAGAATACGGCGCGGCCAACTGCCTCAGAAAATATCATTTAAAGAGAAAACTAGGGCAGTAAAAAGCAGGTACAGGTATAAGTCAGGTTTTACCCAGCGTAGGACTCGCAGCTACTTGAAAGAGCTCCAGGCAACATGCCTGACACTTGCACAAGGCAACACAACTATGTCTTAGGCCAACATAGATTGACAGCATGCCCACGTACTTTCATCCAACAACATCAGCCTAATCAACATCTTGATATATAGGTCATTTGATATGGCTCTCCAAATGATTAATCAAACAACGCGACAAATGTCAATGCCTGGAACCCTCAAAGTGAGTGGAAAATAATTCAGGTGGCTTCGTGCCTTGCCTTGTTCTCCCGCATGTCCCACCGGGTCGTTGCTTTTGATTAACCTTGCAGTGTTTCTTTGTTTATATATCTTTCAACAAAGTCACATACTTCTTGAGCAGAGACAACGTCAGAACGCCAACAGCGCTGAATGATCTTCCCACAAGGTATGTCCGTTATGTCAGGGAAATCCTGAGCGCAGTAACGTCTTTCAACTTCGTCGCTCTCTAGCTCCTGGTACGGGGCTTTGCCGGTCATGATATTGTACATCGTAGAGCCTAGTGCGTACAAATCTTCCTGAACTGTCGGTGGGGTACGAAAAGTAAAATCGGGCGTTATAAACCGTGTCGAGGCGCAGCCTGACGGTCGAGAACCATCAAGAGAAGATGAACCAAAGTCAGCAATCTTAAGACTAAGATCTGCATCGAGTAGAAAATTCTTAGGCGCTATATCGCAGTGAAAAACTCCTGCCGAGTGTAGTAGATGAACTCCTTCTGCTGCTTCTCGTATCCAACGAAGGCGTTGTGTCTCTGATATCTCGTCGTTGTGTGCACAAAGGTAATCCTTAAGACAGCCGTTTGACATATACTCTATAGTAAGAGCGCACTCTTCGGAATCCCATGCAATTATCCTTACTAAGCGGGGATGAGGGCCTAGTCTCTTGTATATTTGGTACTCGAGCGTGATATCACTGCGAGACTGAGTAGCGCGAGAGCCTAACCACGGTGATTTGACAATATCACCGGATGGCAAGCGTTCTATAAGCCCCGATAGTCCGCCGGATATCGTCTGCCCTCTCGATTTTCTATAACTGGTTTCAATCCCTCCTATATATTCGGTCTTTCCAAACAATGATGCAATTCCAGCAGGTTTGGCAATGGCTGGGCCCGTCTGCATAATAGTGAGTATTGTATAAGCAATAGCATGTTGTGCGAGGAAAAGAAACAAAGAGTTACCTCTCTGACCGTAATGGATACATTGCTCTTAATGTCCTCGCTGGGAGACTCCTCTTTATGATCAGGAAGGATCCTACTGCTAGTGATGGAGCTCATGGCTGAGAGGAACAGAACAACTCTTTTTATAAAAGATGTAAAAGCGAAGGGACTTGTTGAAAGGAGGGCGAGCGAGAGGCATTGTAAACAATACAGATGCCAGGGGCCGACTTGTCGGTACCTGGAAAGGTACGTACCTAGGTACGTCGCGATAATGCCGGACTAACATTAATCCGTGTCCGAAACGCTAAGATAACCTTACGCGGACCAAAAATTTCGATATCGCAAAAAAACTCACGATCAACACCCACCTCTATTGACACTTTGGATCAAACAGGAAAATGGCAAAGAAACGCAAAGCATCCGCTCGCGCGGAGGTGGAAAATGCTACCGAAGGATGGAATGAACAAGGCGGAAAAATGGGTCCAATCAATTCGTACGAGGATGTCGCAGACTCGGAGGATGAATTCCACATGAACCGGGATAAGATTATGCTGGATGAAGGGCCAGATGCGAAGAGGAGGAGGAAGTGGCAGGAAGAAGGTATATATTACTCAGAATTTGTTTGGGAGCATTCATTGACAAGATTATAGATGCGTTACTCGAACCGTCCGACGAGGAAATATTGGGCTATTCTTCAGAGAGCGAAGATGATGATATACCCGAGCAAGCCGATGAAGTGGCATCATCAGATGAAGGAGGGGCCGAAGAAGAGGATGAAGATGAAGAGGGATGGGGATCTTCAAAGAAAGACTACTACAACAATGACAATATCGAAACAGAAGCGGACGCATTGGAGGAGGAGCAAGAGGCAAGACGCTTACAGAAGAAGCGTTTACAAAAAATGAGCGAGGCAGACTTCGGTTTCGACGAGCTCGAATGGACTGCCGGAAATGAGGCCAAGGACGGAGACGACGAAGGGGATGTAGTTACTGAGGTGTTGAAGGATATCGAGATCACGCCAGAAATGGGACCAAAGGAACGACTGAGCCTTTTACAGGCCCGGTATCCCGAATTTGATTTTCTCGCCAACGAACTGCTCGAGCTTCATCCTCTGTTAGAAGATCTCAAACAGCAAGTGGCGTCCGAATCGACCACCGGCGCGACGACAACTGAACCATCCGTCACTCTCATAAAGGCAAGGGCTCTGGCAGCATACGTAGGCTCTCTCGCAATGTATTTTGCAATCCTCAGCTCTCCTGCAAAGAGCAGTCAAGCCCTCCCCCTCAACCCAGCCGAATTGCGAGACCACGCGGTCATGGAGAGCCTTCTGCAATGCCGCCAATTATGGACGAATGTCAAATCACTCAAAGCTCCGGCACCTGCACCAGCGTCCACTGAGTTATCGGAAGATGAAGAAATGGAAGATGAGCCAGTAATTTCTAATGGCGTCCAATCATCCAGCGATGATGATAAACCTAAATCGACCAAAAAATCCCGGAAACAACTCGCAATTGAAGCCACCTCTGCCTCCCTCGCAGACCTTGACTCCCTTCTTCCCAAGCGCACCAAGAAAGTCAGCAAACCTGTCGTTTTCCGATCCGACGATGATGACTCTGATTTCGGTGAAGAAACCGCCCTTACTGCCAAAGCCGCCGCTGAGAAAGCCACCCGTCGCAAGAATCTCAGTTTCTACACGAGTCAAATTGCGCAGAAAGCCAACAAGCGTGGAGAGAAGGGCCGCGAAGCCGGTGGTGATATGGATCTACCGCATAAGGAGCGCTTGCGAGACCGCCAGGCACGACTCAACGCCGAGGCCGAAGCGCGGGGGAAGAAACTCGATGAATACGGCCGAGGAGGGAAGGGTGTCGCTCTTGGTGCTGGAAGCGATAGCGAGGATGACGACGCTGGGGTAGCGAAGGAACTTCGTGGCGAAGAGGATTCTTACTACAACCTCATCTCCAAAACGTCGCAGGATAAGAAACAAGCCAAGGAGGAGCACCGCGCAGCGATCCGGAAGGCGAAGGAACAGAATAGTCTGCTGAGAGTGGTGGAGGGTGAGATGGATGAGGAAGGCAAGAGAGCGATCGGGTATGTGATAGAGAAGAACAAGGGATTGGCGCCCAAGCGGAGGAAGGAAGTCAGAAACCCGAGAGTGAAGAAGAGGATGAAGTTCGAGGAGAAGAAGAAGAAGCTGGCGAGTATGAGAGCCGTGTATAAAGGGGGTGAGGAGAGAGGCGGGTACGGAGGTGAGAAGACCGGTATCAAGACGGGCCTGGTTAAGAGTATCAAACTTTGAGTGCGGGATCAGCTATCACTATCCTATACAGGAACGGACATCAAAATTCTTCAGGTTTCTTAATTCTCTAGTTCGTGTCGTGAATCTGGCTAGACGAGTAGGTAGGTGGTACCTTAGGTACCTAGTGCAGGGTGAAAAGTAGAGTAAAGATGTACGAAAGGCATCAGAATACCTAAATCTAGCCAAATCAACGAGATAATCACAAGTTATATCGAATGAGCAATTACCTAGGAACTTTGTTAATTATGAGCGCGATCCAAAGCTCCAATATCTGTATCAGAAGGGGATATAGATTATGCTCGTTCGAGGGCCAGCATAACCGCAACGTAAAAGAGAATAGCTACCTAGCTTGTTGTATGTACCAAGAAAACATCGAAACACCTATTTTCTATCAAAGCAGCAGACTCTTCTTGTATTATTAAGAATAGCCGTCCAACTCAAAAACCCAGGGTAAATAAGTAACCCTCTCTCTCTGTGATACAATATTTTCAAGTTGCGAAACTAAAATAATAAATAGATAGGAGACTGATATATGATATGATATGCCTGGAAAACAAATGTAGATAGGTAATGCGTTTTGGGATATAGATAGGTAGGTAGGTATATGTTAAGCAATAATTGATTCATTCCACGATTCATTCATTCATTCATTACCTTATCTTCTATTCTTTCCGCTTGCTTTCTATTGGGTTTGGATGTATAAGGTACATAAGGTATAAGGTAGGTAGGTAAGTGGTGAATGCTCCGATATGTGTGTATAAGGTATTTACCCTGACAAGACGTAGCAAGAAAGCCAGTTAGTAGGTATAGAAAGCCCAACGGCATACGCATCAACCAATCACACATCCAGCTTCTACTACTCTATACAATAATAATAATAATAGAATAACGATAAGATCTACATACACAGAATTCGTAATCATCGAGCCACCTCAGCAGGATCAGAGTTTATGGAGTTTTATATCCGTGAACGGGAATAGTCGATCCGTCGGACGAAACGGGAGGTCGGGTTCGGGAGATCTATTTGTTGCACATCGTTATCGTACCTGAACTGCCGACTTCCGATAGTGGAGAGCTTAGTTGGATGGAAAGGCGAGTTCTTGATATCTGGTGTTTCGTTCCGTCCCATCATACGATTGATCGATCGTAGGACGGTTGGTGGTTCTTCCGATACCAACTGTAGTTGTTGTTGTTGTTGTATTAATTTTCGTCCGGCGGGCGTAGGTAGAGCCTACGTACCTAAGCCTCTTATAAGGTATAGGGACGTGCTAAGCTATAGTGTTACATACAAAGAAGCCCCTAGAAAGCATACTAAGTAAAAGCGGGCTAATAGGCGGTAACTACAACCTGTCCCCTCTAGTTAAGATAAGTACTAGTTTTATATATAAAGTAAGGTAATCCTTAAGTAAGTATTATATTGTTATAAGACTGTAAGGCTAGTAGGTTTAAGCCTTTAGAGGCGGGTAGTTAGGGCTACTACTAAAAGATAGTAGCTAAACAAAGGAAAAGGATAATATATGTTTTTGTATATATATAAAGAAAAGAAAGTTAGAAAGAATAAATGTAGCCTAGTACTTAAAACACTATATAATTATTACTTATAATAAGAAAGAGGTTCTAACCCTTATTAGGTACAGATTTTAGAGTAGAACTCTATAACCTTAAAGAGCTTATAGAACTCTACTAGTACTACTATTAGGTAGTATAAGTATTTAAGGGCCTCCTTCTAGTTAGAGAGAGAGGCTAAGGGCTTAAGGGGCTATTATTAGAATATACCTAGCCTCTATGTCTTACGATATAGAACTAGGTATAGTAGGGTTTTTAGTAGGCTATAAGAGTAGTCTAGTTTAGTATCTTTATAATTAAATTACTAGTAATACTAGGTAAAGTCCTTATAAGAAGTTCTAAGGGTAAGATAGTAATATAGTATTAGTCTAAAGAGCGTAAGCTCTTTAAGTAGTTTAACCGTATAGTCTAAGTCCTAGGACTTATACTAAGTAAATAGCTTAGGTCTACGTCTTATCTATTAGTTATCTTATACTTAAGAGACTAACTCTTACGTAATTAATCTTATTCTTACGACTATAGGTTATATAGTAAGGCCTAAGTCTTAGGTAGGCTTTTAGGCGCCTTTGTCTATAAGCCTATTAGCCGCCTTATTACCTTTAATTCTAGTATACCTAAGGGACTACTTTACTCTAGTATTAATAGCAAGTATAGTGTTCTAGTAGTTTAGGATAGCTTACTATAAGGAGTTTAGTACGTTCTTACGTATACCTTAGATAACTAAGGTACTATCTATATAAAGCTAGATACGTTTTTAGCTTACCTCTAAAGAGAGGTATATTATATACTAGAGGCCTTTTTAGGCCCTAATAGCTTTTACGTTAAAAACGTAAGAGATGTTATTAATTAAGCCGTAGCCTAAGGCGATCTACTTACTAGCCTAGTAGACTATATAGCCGTACCTTATAGTATGTTTACTATTAATATATTATTTAGACCTATTAGAGAAGATAGTAACTATATTTAGTAGAAGTCTTACTTACTACTCTTTAAAGGCTTTAGTAGCTTTACGCTTATTAATTCCCCTTATAAGGTTAGTCTTACTCTTAGCTAAGTAGTATAAGATAACAAGTCTTAGTCTAAAGATCTCTAGAAAGAGTACTCTAAGTCTTTATACCTTAGTAATTAAGCGCTAAGGAGTGTATACCTATAAGCCTCTTTTAATTATTAAGGGCTTAATTTACTATATAAGTAAGTATTATTTATTAATTATCTAGAGCCTAAGAGTAAACTAGGCCTTTACTTCTTTTAAGGTAGCTATAGCTAATAAGAGTCTTACGTCCCTTAAAAGGGCGATAGTTAAGGTCGTTCTCTATATAAAGAGTACCTTATATACTATAAGTACAATAGTCTTGTTAATAAGCTTAACGAGTCTACTAACCCTAGTACTAACTATTATAGTCCTGTCCTACTACTATAGTTATAAGGGTTTAGTCCTCTTTACGTACTACGCCTTTATTTTGTATAAGACTAATAAGAGAACGTAAGTAATTACTACTTTCTTAAGAAAGGATACTAGAGGTCTGTAGACTATCTATATAAGGCTACGTATCTACTAGACTACCTTTCTAGCTTTTACTACCTGTTCTATAATATAGTGTTTAAAAAAGAGCTTCTTATTAAACTAGACCTTAAGCTATTAAAGGGCAGGTTACTTACTGTCCTTTAAGGTAGTCGTAATTAAGTATATCGTAAGGTCGTTATTAATGTAGTAGTCTAGAGAGTAATACTCTTATTCTTTACTTATATATATTATCTTAAGTTTCTTAGACATAAAGAAGACCTTATTCTTGTTACCTTATTTAATAATACTCTTTATATCTTAGGCTAAGAGTTTAACGTTTATATTAAAGCTAAAGGAGGCGTAATATATATAGAGGTCGTCTATATACTTAAAACGCTATTTTAGATCTTATAAGAAGAGTTTAGTAAGGTATAGTATATATAAGACTAGAGATAGTAGAGATCCTTATAGCGTACTATAGTAGACGTTATACTCTTTTATAGTCTCTTTCTTAAGTTAGACTTATACCTTATAGTCTAAGAGAAAGGACCTTATAAGCTTAAGTAAGGTAAGAGGCTATCCTTACTCTAATATCTTCTTAAGAAGACAGTTTCTAAGTAGAGCGTTAAACGCCTCTTAGACGTCTATTATAACTATTATAACTTTCTAGCTAGCTACTATTATAGCCTTTACGTTATAAGTAAAGGCTATTATAAGGTCTATTGTCAATCTTTTAAAGAGGACGCTCTTATACTAAGGGCTAAGTATCTCTTTAGTAAGAGTAGTCTAGGCTAGGCAATAGGCTATAATTCTTTTTAGTCCTTTAGATATATATAAGAAGAGTGTAATTAGCCTTTATAATTAGACTAAGGACTTGTCTTTCTTACTAACCTTTAACATTATAACTACCTCTATAAGTTTCTAAGGCTCTAGAAAGTAGCTATACTAGATATACTAGTAGTATAATCTGTGTATTAGCTCTTTAATATAGCCCTAGTAGGCCTTAAGAAGCCGGACTATAACTTGGTCTATTCTTAGAAAGGTACTTAATACTCTAATCGTGTTATACTTAACCTCTTTTATTAAGACTGTCTAGGCCTATTCTAGGTGTCCTGTCTTATTCTAGTTAGTTAAAGGGTCTTGTTCTAGGTTATTATCTATATTAAAGTAATTAAGGACCTCTAATCTTAGTATCTTTACCTTCTTAAGTATGTCTTTTATAACTGCCTTATTTAGAACTAGTAAAAGGGCCTTAATGTTTAGTACAAGCTTATACTAGCCGATAACCTTATATAAGTCCTTATTACCCTTTATATTATTAAGGACGTGTTTCTAGTAGTCTTGTTTTACCTTATAAACTATCTTAAGGAACTATTTAGTCTTAAGGGTAATTTCTTCTTTCTAGTTTATAATACGTAAGTTAATATATACCTAGTAGGCCTCTTAATAGTCTTTTGTCTACTATAAGGTAGTATACCTTATACTACGCTATAGCTTTCCTATAGCCTTAATTATAGAGTAAAAGACCTTTATAAGCCTAACTACGTACTTATTAATTTATACTATAGTTATAAAAGTCTATAGGCTTAAGAGACTAGCTACCTTATTCTTAACTAGCCCTAAGAACTTATTAAGCTCTATATCTAGTACCTAAAAGTATACTTGTTCTAGAAAGACAGTTCCTTATCTAAGAATAGTAGTAACCTAGGTTATATAGTCTAAGCTATAGTATATGTCGTTATAGACGACTAATTATATAAAGAGGACATTTAAGAAAGTAAGGTTAATAACGTACTTACTCCTTTAGGTAAGGACCTCTAGTATACTTATAAAGTCTATCTTACTAGTACTAGCCTAGTCTACTAGTTCTTTACTATAATAGCTGTTCTATACTTCTAGTTTAAACATATTGTACTAGACATTAAAATCG